GAGAGAGACAAAGAATGTGGAGGTGACATATCCAGCCATTGCCAATTAGCAATTCACAAAGCAAACAGAATGTGAAACCTTACTGAAAAATCAGGAGGTGAGATGGGAAGGTTGGTGAGTGAAAATGGAAGTGATGGAAAAATGAGAAATATGGTGAGAGGACAAAGAATATGGGATTAAGACTGCTGTGCTGAAGCTGCATTATCTTCTGGTCAGGTCACAACTTGTTTTCAGTTCTGGGATTGATACACAAGATGAAAATAAAAGCTCTGAAAGTGGTGCAAAGAAGATAACCATGAGGTTAATCCACAGTGATGGGACTAATAATCCTGAATTCTGTTTTAAAACCATTTAGACCACTTAAATTTATCCACTGAAACATTCCAAAGGATTTTTGTCTTCATTACGCTATGTATGAAGGATTTTCTGGTACTTGTTCTAAATTGACCTCTTTTTGCTGTAAACTTGCATTCTTTTGTCTTATTCTTGTAAATTAATTTAAAGGAAATATGATGGATGTTAACTATATTGCATTATTCTGAAAATATCAGCTCACCAAACCTCTTTTTCAAGATGTAAAGAGAGATTTATGTGGTTAATAAAAACGAAAAGAATTGCAGATGCTGTAAATCAGGAACAAAAACAGAAGTTGATAGAAAAGCTCAGCAGGTCTGGCAGCATCTGAGAAGAAAAAAATCAGAGTTAACGTTTGGGGACCGGTGACACTTTCTCAAACTATGTTCCGAGGAAGGTTCACCGGACCCGAAACATTAATTCTGATTTTTTTCTTCACAGATGCTGCCAGGCCTGCTGAACTTTTCCAACAACTTCTGTTTTTGCTCGAGATTTATATGGTTCCCTGGCTGGTACAAAGCTCCAAAGAAATATTCAGATGCATAATTGGAAAGTTGTAGCTTTGTGTTAATGTTTATCTAGATTAGCTAAATTTCCTGCTAATGTACAATTTTCTTATCGAATTCACAAGCTAGGTGACATTAAGAGCTGAATTTTACAGTCACCCACTGCTGTAATTAAAGGCGGCGTCTCAAAATACAGAAGATGGCCTTCCCATTGTTTCCCCAATATCCAACCCTGCCCTCCCAGCCAGACCCAGACAACGAGATTTACTTTTGAGTCCTAACTTCAAACTCCTCTTCCTTGGGAATTCATTGGAGTCTCAATAGTTCCCAGCACTGGGACTACACAATTACCAATCATACTGGCCAGCAGCTCTCTTGGGTGGGATTTCCTCCAAGATAGGGACAGAAACCTCATTTTGTATCAATTAAGGGTACTCCCTGCATAATACTTCTTAGCTAAAAGTCATTACCCATTTTAAACCATATGAAATAAAAACCAAAAGAACTGCGGATGCTGTAATATTTTGCTGAAATATTATGAAACCAGCTGAACTAGAATATCCATCACAAAGAATAACACGTGGAGCATTCACTAAAAATGAACAGGTTCATATTCTTTGTGTCACCTAAGCATGGCAACCCAAGTATATACATCTCTGAGATAACAAGGTATAGAGCTGGATGAACACAGCAGGCCAAGCAGCATCATAGGAGCAGGAAGGCTGATGTTTCGGGCCAAGACCCTTCATCAGAAATGGGGGAGGGGAAGGGGGTTCTGAAATAAATAGGGAGAGAGGGAGAGGCGGATAGAAGATGGATAGAGGAGAAGATAGGTGGAGAGGAAACAGACAGGTCAAAGAGGCGGGGATGGAGCCAGTAAAGGTGAGTGTAGGTGGGGAGGCAGGGAGGAGATAGGTCAGTCCAGAGAGGACAGACAGGTCAAGGGGGCGGGATGAGGTTAGTAGGTAGGAAATGGGGGTGCAGCTTGAGGTGGGAGGAGGGGATAGGTGGGAGGAAGAACAGGTTAGGGAGGCAGGGACGAGCTGGACTGGTTTTGGGATGCGGTGGGGCAGGGGAGATTTTGAAGCTTGTGAAATCCACATTGATACCATTGGGCTGCAGGGTTCCCAAGCGGAATATGAGTTGCTGTTCCTGCAACCTTCGGGTGGCATCATTGTGGCACTGCAGGAGCCCCAGGATGGACATGTCGTCTGAGGAATGGGAGGGGGAGTTGAAATGGTTCGTGACTGGGAGGTGCAGTTGTTTATTGTGAACCGAGCGTAGGTGTTCTGCAAAGTGGTCCCCAAGCCTCCGCTTGGTTTCCCCGATGTAGAGGAGGCCACAATGGGTACAGCGGATGCAGTATACCACATTAGCAGATGTGCAGGTGAACATCTGCTTGATGTGGAAAGTCCTCTTGGAGCCGGGGATGGGAGTGAGGGAGGAAGTGTGGGGGCAGGTGTAGCACTTCCTGCGGTTGCAGGGAAAAGTGCTGGGTGTGGTGGAGCTGGAGGGGAGTGTGGAGCGGTCAAGGGAGTCATGGAGAGAGTGGTCCTTCCGGAAAGCAGATAAGGGTGGGGAGGGGAAGATGTCTTTGGTGGTGGGGTCGGATTACAGATGGCGGAAGTGTCGGAGGATGATGCGTTGGATCCGGAGGTTGGTGGGGTGGTACGTGAGGATGAGGGGGATTCTTTTTTGGTTCTTATTGCGTGGACGGGGTGTGAGGGATGAGTTGCGGGAAATGCGGGAGACACGGTGGAGGGCGTTCTCGACCACTGAGGGGGGGATGTTGCGGTCCTTGAAAAACGAAAATCTCCCCTCCCCCTACCGCATCCCAAAACCAGCCCAGCTCGTCCCCGCCTCCCTAACCTGTTTTTCCTCCCACCTATCCCCTCCTCCCACCTCAAGCCACATTCCCATTTCCTACCTACTAACCTCATCCCGCCCCCTTGACCTGTCCGTCCTCCCTGGACTGACCTATCTCCTCCCTACCTCCCCAGCTACACTCACCTTTACTGGCTCCATCCCCGCCTCTTTGACCTGTCTGTTTCCTCTTTACCTATCTTCTCCTCTATCCATCTTCTATCCGCCTCCCCCTCTCTCCCTATTTATTTCAGAACCCCCTCCCCCTCCCCCATTTCTGATGAAGGGTCTAGGCCCGAAACGTCAGCCTTCCTGCTCCTATGATGCTGCTTGGCCTGCTGTGTTCATCCAGCTCTAAACCTTGTTATCTCAGATTTTCCAGCATCTGCAGTTCCTACTATCTCTATATACATCTCTGAATTTTTCTTTAAGTATTTTACTTGCCTTTCAAATATTCTTGACCTTTAAGGTGTTTTACCATAGTTCTTAACTCCAACACATCAAAATTAACTGAACCAGTTCAACTGATCAATTCAAATTTCCAATTATTCTGTCTCTTTATTTGATATAATGTCAGCTTATAATGAGAGTCTAAAACAAATAACAGAGATGTGACTAACGCTCTCAAAATAACATTTTTAAGTTAATATATTCTAGACCTGTTCTGCTTAATATCTGCAATATGTTTAAAAACTCTACATGCTGATTCCTAATTTCAAATCCTACTCTAATAATTTTAATTAATAATACATTTATCAAATTCGACAGTGCCACTCTTTTTGAAATCATCATACATCACAAAGATGCCTGAAAACTTTTCTTTATGATACCAATGACCTTATGCATCACTGTGCAGATGTGTGGCTTTTATTACAATTGATACTCCCATGAGAATGTGGCAAAAAGATTTGCAGTTTATTTTCCATCAGCTGTTTCACCCAATCATTCTTCAAAACCTCCAGCAACCAGCCTTGCTTTAGCCTTACCAGTGCTGTCTCGAAGGATTTTTGTCAGTGTATATCCACCAGTGCAACGAGGCTACCTTCCTCCCATCCAATACCTAGGAATTCATTCCAAACTCTGTCTGAATATCTAATTTCCTTTAGTAATAAACACAGAAAACATTTGAATAACTCAGCAGGCCTGGAAACATCTGTGAGGGGTGTAACAGAGTTACATTTTAAGATGTTCTTCAGCACCTTCAACATTAAACACGCACACTGGAGATACAAGATGCCTTGTTTACCTCAAATGGATGCTTAGAGTCTGTGTGAAATTTTATAATTAATTCTGATTACTCATGAAGCATGAATGATTTGATTGCCACATTTGGCAAGTATGGTTCTTCACATGACCCTCTTTGATAAGGCACCAAGTATCCTGAACTAGATTTGATTTCACATGGTCTTACATAATGCCTTGATGCTCTCCACGTTTTATCCAAGAACTCAGCAGTCATGAAAGCCTATCTTTTTGCATGCAAATGGACTATTTCTATTGTTTTCAAGAGCAGGAGAAATACTGCACTGCACATAAGGCAATATGAAATTTCACTCATAGACAAGTTGATGAGGACAATATCTTCCAATTAATGGGAGTGAATTATCTGCATTATCCTTTTATGTTCCTTATCAAGTTTCATTCAAGTACGCTCAACAGCATAGGTATCTCATTAAAAACTGTTTCAATACTTTTAGAATGGCTTCCTCCAGCAATTGAACTTGCTTCGGGAATTATTGCTTCTTTTAATAAACTCAATAAAACCATGAAACAACTGATACTTTTATATCCTTAATGTTGTATGAACCCTCACGACTGCATAAATCAAGAAAACATATTAACCACTGTTCCATATACTGTCAAAGTGCAATTACTATCTAGCACTACACAGGTGGAAGAGTCCACAACTAATGCATTTGTCACAGGACTTGTGACCAGTATAATTTGTTCTGACTCATCATTGTATGAATCCTCTTTATTAGAATTCTCTTTGTCATGTGTCAATTTGAATTTCTTGGATTTGGGCAGTCTCCTGCATTATAAATATCTGTGGCCCACCTGATGCACCTATTAATTATTCCTTGAGCATTACGGGGAATCATTGACATTTATCTCTTGTGTCTTCTTCCTTTCTTTCAACTCTGTTTCTTGTTCTGTCACCTTTCCTCTCACTCTTGCAACTTTTTTTTTAAAACTTTCTTCTATCTTCTTAATTCTCTCTTCATTTCAATTTATGTTTCAGTATAATGATCTATATTTTATGTTGTGTCTCAATAGGTTGAAAACCTTCAAAAGGTCCAGCCATCTCAGGCACAACAACCCAGTGGTCTGCAGAATAAAATGAATCAGCTGAAACCGGAAAATAAGGTAATTACTGGAAAGATCTTGAGCAAGTCTGAGTTTATATAATGTCTACTAGATCGTAATCTCCGACACCCCACCCTCCGTCCTGTTGTATGTTATGGTTAGGTTTTAACTGATGTTATGGTTAGGTTTCAACAAAGTAGTCAAACTAATAGGCTCAGGATAGAGGAAGATGGCTGCTAAATTCATCATGGAGCTGGGTAGCTAGTGGGTTCAAATTAGAGGTAGGTATTTGGTTAGTTCAGCATGGAGTTAAGTGGGATCAACGAAGGGATGTGTTTCTTTTTGAGTGAGCTGGTCATTGGGTTGCTTGTGGAGTATGGCTGCTTTATGGACTGAGCTGAGACAGAGTGTGTCATTGTGGAGTTTAAGCTGATGAACATAGCATGAAGGTGGAATATCTGGTAAGATTATGGTGGAGTTAGGTTTGCTGATTAACTCATTGTAAAAACGGTAGTTGATTTGCACATGCTGCAAACACCACCTCTAGGTAACACACAGAATGCACCTGCATGAAGAGGAACACGACATAATTCAAAAGTGACGGAAATCAGCATCTAGTTTCAAAGTTGGCATGTCAGTTTATGCTGAGGGGGCATAGCAGCAGCCCTGGCCCTGGGCTCAGCGTCCTGGGGCTTCTCCCTAGGGTGTTATGGTAGCTGGAGAGGGCCAGTCAGTAAGGTGACAGTGGTGCAAGCTGAGCACAGCATCTGAGGGGCCTACTCTGCAGTTACCATCAGGGAGGAGAAGCTCCTCTTCGTCAGCCGTCCACCTCCTCCTTACCCCCAGCCTGGTGACATCAGCGGCCTATGCTCAAATGCATCCTGGCATGGTGAAATGGCCTGTTGCAGCCAGCTGACTTTACTGGCTACGTTTGTATTCACGATGTTATTGTGGTGTTACAAATAATCATTCCAATCATAGAGTCATAGAGTTATACAGTATGGAAACAGACCCTTCAGCCCAACTTGTCCATGCCGACCAGATATCCTAAATTGATCTAGATCCATTTGCCAGTATTTGGCCCAGATCCCTCTAAACCCTTCCTATTCACATACCCATCCAGTTGCCTTTTAAATGTCATAATTGTACCCACCTCCATCACTGCCTCTGGCAGCTCATTCCACACATGTACCACCCTCTGAGTGAAAATGTTGCCCCTCAGATCCCTTTTAAAAATTTCTCCTCTCACCTTAAACCTGTGCTATCTAGTTTTGGAGTCCCCTACCCTGGAAAAAAGACCTTGGCTATTCACCCTATCCATACCCTTCATGATTTGAGAAACCTCTATTAGGTCATCTATCAGCTTCCGATGCTCCAGGGATAAAAGCCCCAAACTATTCAGCCTCTCCCAGTAGCTCAAACCCTCCAATCCCAGCAACGTCCTTGTAAATCTTTTCTGAACCCTTTCAAGTTTAACAACATCTTTCCTATAGCAGGGAGACCAGAATTGCATACGGTATTTCAAATGTAGCCTAACCAATGCCCTGTCCAGCTGCAACATGACATGCCAACCCCTATATTCAATCCACTGACCAACGAAGGCAAGCATGCCAAATGCCTTCTTCACCACCCTATCTCCCTACAACTCCACTTTCAAGTAATTATGCAGCTGCACCCCGGGTCTCTTCGCTCAGCAACATTCCACAGAGCCCTACCATTAGCTGTACAAGTCTTGCCCTGGTTTGCCTTACCAAAATACAACACCTCACATTTATCTAAATTAAACTCCATCTGCCACTTCTCAGCCCATTTGCCCATCTGACCAAGGTCCTGTTGTATTCTGAGATAACCTTCTTCACTGTCCTCTGCACCACCCATTTTGGCGTCATCTGCAAACTTATTTATCATACCTCCTATATTCACATCCAAATCATTTCTATAAATGATAAAAAGCAGTGGACCAGCACCAATCCTGTGGTACAGCGCTGGTCACAGGCCTCCAATCCAAAAAAATAACCCTCCACCACCACCCTGTATTTCCTATCTTCAAATTAATTATGTATCCATTTAGCTAACTCCTCCGGATTCCATGTGATCTAACCTTGCTAATCCGTCTACCATGTGGAATCTTGTCGAACACCTTGAAGTTCATACAGACAAAGTCTGCTACTCTGCCTTCAAACTTCTTTGTCATCTCCTCAAAAAACTCAATCAAGTTAGTCAAGTATGATTTCCTACACACAAAGCCATGCTGACTATCCCTAACCAGTCCTTCCTTTCCAAATGCATGTAAATCCTGTACCTCAGAATCCTGTCCAATAACTTACCCACCATTGACATCAGGCTCACCACTCTATAGCTCCCTAGCTTTTCCTTACCACCTTATTTAAACAATGGCACCACGTTATTCATGTTATTGTCCTGTTGTATTTGCCACTGTGGGTGCATCTGAGCTTGCAGGGCCAGCTGGCTGTCCCTTCTGTGCATTGTAAAGGAAAATGACTAAGACTGCTCTCAGCGGGAGTAATTGAAATGACACAGGTGAACTCAAAACGCTGTTAGGACCATGCCAGCAATACCCTGAAAATGAACCCATATTTGGACAGTACGGATCCTGCCCTTTTCTCATTCAAACTCTTTTTTTTTTAACTTTTACTGACAACTCCCAGGACACCAGGCACTCTCTCTTCGTTCCATGCCCTTGACTCCAACCTCTATCCTCCTTTGGATCTCTCTTCCACTCCTTGCTCTACAACTCCAAACTTCCAACCCCTTTCCCCTCCTCACCCTTTTTGTTCCAAAGCCTAAATGTAGTTGCCGTTCTCCTGTTGGAAATTTTACAGCCCGTACTATTCAGCCATCTCACACACCATGTTTCATGTCAGCAAAGTGGAATTGCACTCCTGTCAATCTTGTCTTTCTTAGGAATAGGACAGTCATCTTTCTGTACTCATGCTGTACGTGGTTAACCACAGGGCAATCACTCATCTTAAACCTAGCCCTTTTACCTTTAATCACAGTGAAAAGTCTCCACTCTGAACTTACTAAGCCACATCCTTGTCGTTCAGTAATAATGCTGGAAATTCTCAGGAAGTCACACAGCAACAGAGTAAACAACTGGGATTTTCAGGAATGAATTTTAGGGTGTAGGCTTCGATGTCCCTGCAGAATAATGGACGGCTGAGTTCTTTGCCAAACCTCTTTCTGCAGTTCTTGATTGAGAGGTGCCATAGCCTGGCACAAGGATCATGCTCGGCTGTCATGGGTGGGTGGGGCATGTGGAATCAGTGGGAAGTGAGGACTGGAGTGTCTTTTTGTTTTATTGCAACTGGGACAAAATTTCAAGAAATGAAAGCAGGCATTGGACTACCTGACCCGACTGCAGCTTGCATCTGTTACCCCAACACGCACAATGAAAGTCCCATCCTTGGTGGCACCAAGTCAGAAATTTTTCTGATTCCTGACATCTGCCTCAAAGATAAAAATCTGTTTTCATTTCAAGTCGAGATGAGTTGTGAAGAAAAATCCTGTCCACCTGGAGCATTAACAGTGTTTCTGTAAAGCCTGAGGTTCTGAGTATTTCCAGCATTCTTTGTTTTCATTTCAAATTTCCAGCATCTGTAGTAGATTACTTTTATCTTTATCACACAATAATAGTTGTTGTCTCTCCTCAATTACTTCCTTAATCTTTTCTCATTCTACCTGAGCAGGAACCAGCCAAACAAATGGATTCCCAGTCACAACCAGTAAAAGAGATTCCTGTGCCAGCTGTTCGTAAGAAACACAAGATATTTTCATCTTCACGTTCAACTAGTAAGGTAAGAGATGAAATAAGCATGTATTCCAACATGGCTCAGTATCAAGGTGCATGGTTGAGTGTATCCTTGATTTGCGCAGACTAGGTAGGTATCAAGTTTTATCCTTGGTCCTTGCTATGTCTACAGTGGGGTTGCTACAATCCATTCCAGTGTCTTTAAGATATGACACTTCACATGTTTCTCCAATCAACACAGCTTTGATCTCAACTTACTGATGATGGGCTCATTTCTGAACCTATCACCAGGAATTTCAGGAAGGAAATTGACTCTTTTGAAGGAGCAGCGAGCTGTGCGAATATGAATAGTTTAATTCAGCAAGACATCTGCTTGCAGGTTAAGTGGAGAGAAACTGAGGAATAGGATGTCTGCCAGAATGCTATGGGGAATAAGAGGCCCTGGATTGGGAACAAATACAGGGAAGAGAGGCCCTAAGGCTGGAGCTAGATTTCCCTTCCTTTCTGTGTAGCAAGGAAAACCCAGGCTGAATAGCAGCCTGCTTCACCTAGGTCACCTCAGAGCGTGCATCACCACAGGCAAAACAAGGTCACTGTTAGTTAAACCTAACTGTTTAGCTTGGCTCCAGCCCCACCCATTTCCCTGATGATCAGGACTTGTGTTTTGAAGGGGTGTATTTGGCATTCTGCTATGGTGGCCTAACCAGCACCGTTGCTGTGTGGGAATAGCAGACCACCAATACTCAGATCACCTTCTTCCTGGGAGTTGCTTGTCAGCATGCAGCAATTTATCTAGGTATATAAATACAGATAAATTCGGGAGAAGGGAAAGGTAAAAAGAGATTAACAATATTTCTAATTATGTAGGCAAGACTGTTTGATTTTGCAAGTTGTTTGGTGATAACATAGAATATTTTAAGTAGAATATGGAGTACTTTACACCATTTGGTGGTTGAGGAAGAGAGCAGCATGACCAACTGTCTCAGATTTTAATGGATCATCCCTCGTTTGAGGTAATAGAGTCACAGAGTCATAGAGATATACAGCAAGGAAACAGACCCTTCGGTCCAACCCATCCATGCCGACCACATATCCTATTTAAATCTAGACCCATTTGCCACCATTTGGCCCATATCCCTCAACCTCCACCACTTCCTCTGGCAGCTCATTCCATATACGCACCACTGTCTGTGTGAAAAAATTGCCCCTTGGATCACTTTTATATCTTTCCCCTCTTACCTTAAAACTATGCCCTCTAGTTTTGGACTCCCCCACCCTGGGGCAAAGACCCTGCCTATTTACCCTATCCCTGCCCCTCATGATTTTATAAACCTGTATAAGGTCACTCCACAGCCTCTGACGCACCAGGCAAAATAGCCCCAGCCTATTCAGCTTCTCCATACAGCCCAAAACCTCCAATCCTGGCAACATCCTTGTAAATCTTTTCTGAACCCTTTCTAGATTCACAACACCCTTCCTATAGGAGGGAGACCAGAATTGCACACAATACTCCAAAAGTGGCCGAACCAATGTCCTGTACGGCCACAACATGACCTCCCAAGTCCTGTACGCAATGCATTGACCAATAAAGACATGCATACCAGACACCACCTTCACTATCCTATCTACCTGCAACTCCACTTTCAAGGAACTATGAACCTGCTCTCCAAGGTCTCTTTGTGCAGCAACACTCTCTCAGACCCTACCGTTAAGTGTATAAGTCCTGTCCTGATTTGCCTTTCCAAAATTCAGCACCTCACATTTATCTAAATTAAACTCCATCTGCCACTCCTCAGCCCATTGACCCATCTGATCAAGATCCCATTGTATTCTGAGGCAACCTCCTTCACTGTCCACTACACCTCCAATTTTAGTGTCATCTGCAAACTTACGAACCATACCACCTATGTTCACATCCAAGTCATTTATATAAATGACAAAAAGCAGTGGACCCAGCACCGATCCTTGTGGCACATCTCATCCTAGATTAATTACTGCCGGGACACGGTTTTTCTCATTTCAGTCCCTGTGCATGTCCGGTCGTGCCTGTGCTCTCTTATGGAAAACTACTCACAGCAGCAACAGTCTGTGGTTCCCCCACATCCAATCTAAAAGTTTGCGAGCACCTCCTTCACAATGCCAAAGTATCCTTTCATTTTTCTCCCTGACAGCTTGTCACCAAGGCAGAGACCTTTGTATCTTTTGAGGTAAAATTGACTCAATATTTGAGGCAGAAGAAGTTACTAGGATATAGGAAAAGCATGAAGGAGCAGCATTTGTTGATGAACTGAATGGGCTTCACCTGAGCTGTAAGCATTGTGCTTGTCAGTAAAGTGCAATTCGCCATCCAACTTTTATTGATCTCTCTTCTTTACCTGAGGAATGTCCGTTACCAGATGTGGAACCCGACTCATTGCGCTCAGATTCAGGCCATGATGCTCACCATCTAAAATCAGAGGAACTCCACAGAAGGTTTGTGAACAGATTATGAATTCCAGGTTTTTGGAGGAGGAGAAAGCATAAGCGTTTTCCTCTCCCAAAAAAGCTGCATTTTCTGCACCACAAATGGGTTGGACTAGATTTCTAATAAAGTTTATTCTCTCTTGTTTGGAATGTGTAATTTGATCCTGCCTGCTGTAGGGCATTCAATGTATCTGTACTGAGTCATTTAATTCAGTTATGTCAGGCATTCAAAGTGGTTCCAAAGCCTCCATTGCTAATGTTACTGTTTTTACATGCAGGTAGATTATAAACCCACATGAAGAGCACTCAGCAATCACACTACAGTATTCAGAGAATGTGCATTGTTCAGCATTAAGCTTAGGAAATGCGCAACTCTCACAGTGCACATTTACAAATTTAGATCACCTGCAGAGCTCACTATCCCAAGTTTAGAGCCTGTTGAGCATTCACACTCAGTGATGTCAGAGAGAAAGGGGTGAAGGATAGAGGGATTTTCAACCTGAAGGAGGGAAATTTAAAATTGAAATGTTGCTAGGTTAGGGTCAAGTGAATGGGACTTGCTGCAAATTAGAATACTTCCACTGGATTTTAAATTAACTCATGTTTATTGAGTGGTAGATAGGAACCTGACATTGAAATGATGAATCTGATAGTAACACATGAATGTAATGCAATTCTTGATGATAGAAACACAATATAGTTTAACTTTTTTTTTAAAGAACAACAGCTTTCATTTCTCTAGTCTGTCCACATGATTTAAACCTTTAATTTTTGGTACATTCTGGTAAATTTCCTCCACACTTCGTTAGATATTGACATCTTTTCCAAAGCCTAACCAATTATAAAGGTTTGGCATAAATTCCTCGCGTTTGTGCTATATGATTAATAAAACCTAGAATCCTGTAAGCCTTTTAACAATCTCTGTACTTGTCCTGAAGCCAACAAAGACTTGTATATGCGTAGGTCTCACTGTTCCTGCACTCTTTTAACGTTGTACTATTTATTTTATATTGCCTCTCCCCATTCTTCTACTTTTTCTATCTGCCCACTGACATCCCTCCCCTGAGTTCCTGGTAGATTTCCCTGTCCCCAGCTTCCTGACATTCCAACCACCACCCACTTCAAACAACCCCCAACACCACGACCACCACTGTGAGTCCCAAGCAAGAAGACAATGCTCAGGCTCCACATAAGAGATTTACAAGGGTTTTATTGTCAGCCATGATCTCATTAAATGGTGGAACAAGTTCAAGGAGCTGAATGGCCTACTCCGGTATATTCCTATAATTTAGCTGTGACTGTAGTTTTCATTTTTCCCCAATGGACACTTTCCCTATACAGAAGCCAACCCCAACTGGGGAAATACAGGGTTTGAAATGACAAAGTTCAATGCACATCACTTGCTGTCAATCAGCTCTTACAGGTTTACCCTGAAAGGGATCCACATTTCTAATACTGACATGGACAGCTGCAAATGAGCTACATATATGCGGCCTCAGTGGAGAACATGTTCTGAGGAGAATCCAATCTCATCTCCCATTGCAGGTTTGCGTGAATCGTTGTGTGGTACAAATAAACTTTCTTATTCAATATGTGGATGTACTGACTAGAGAAGAAGCAATACTTGATGTTCTGTTGGGAAATGAGGCAGGGCAAGTGACTGAGTTGTCAATGGGTAAGCATTTTGGGACAAGTGATCATAATTTTATTAGTTTTGTAATAGTTATGGGAAAGGATAGAACTAACCAAAATGTTAAGTTATAGTAAACTCAATTTTGACATTATTAGACAGGAACTTTGACTGGGGGAGGCTATTCGCAGGTAAAGGGATGGTTGAGAAATAGGAGGCCTTTAAGAAAGAGATAATGAGAGTTCAGAGTATGTTCCTGTTAGTGTGAAGAGCAAGGCTGGCAGGTGTAGGGAGTGCTGGATGACTAGAAAAATTGAGGTTCTGGTCAAGAAAGAGAAAGACATACCTAGCATATATCAGGTGTAGACAGCTGGGATCGAGTGAATCCGTAGAAAAGTATAAGGGAAGTCAAGAGGGCACAAAGGGGACATGAGATAGCTTTGGCAAATAGAGTTAAGGAGAATCCAAAGAGATTCTATAAATGCATTAAGGGCAAAAGAGTAACTAGGGAGGGAATAGGGCCCCTTAAAAATTAGCATGACCCCCTACGTGTCAAACCACAGGAGATAGGTTAGATTCTGAACAAATATATTGCATCAGTATTTACTTTGGAGAAAGACTAGGAAGCAAGGGAACTTGGAGAAATAAATAGTGATGTCTTGAAAAAAGTTCATATGAAGAGCTGCTGGAGGTCTTAAAACACATAAAGGTAGATAAATCCCTGGGACCAGATCAGGTTTTTCCAGAACTTTGTGGGAAGCTAGGGAAGAGACTGCTGGACCCCTTGCTGAGATATTTGTATCATCGATAATAACGGGTAAGGTGCCAGAAGACTGAAGGATGGCTAATGTGTTGCCATTATTTAAGAAAGGCGGTAAGGAAAAGCCAGGGAACTATAGACGCCTGAGTCTGACATCAGTGGTTGGCGAGTTGTTGGAGGGGATTCTGAAGGACGGATTTACATGCATCTGAAAAGGCAGGGACTGGTTAAAGATAGTCAGCATGGCTTTGTGTGTGGGAAATCATGTCTCACTAACTTAATTGAGTGTTTTGAAGAGGTGACAAGGAGGATTGATGAAGGCAGAGTGGTCGATATTGTCTAAATGGACTTTGGCAAAGCATTCAACAAGGTTCTGCATGGTAGATTGGTTAGTAAGGTTAGATCACATGGGATCCAGAGGGAGCTAGCCGATTGGATACAAAATTGGCTTGAAGCTTGAAGAACAGAGGGTGGTGGTGAAGGGTTGTTTGTCGGACTGGAGACCTGTGAGCACTGGTGTGTCACGAGGATCAGTGTTGGGTCCTCTGCTTTTCGTCTTTTATATAAATGATTTGGATGTGAATATAGGAAGCATGATTAGTAAGTTTGCGGATGGCATGAAAATAGGTAGTGTAGTGGACAATGAAGTAGATTATCTTAGAGTACAACAAGACCTTGATCAGATGGGCCGAGGAATGGCAGATGGAGTTTAATTTAAGTAAATGTGAGGTGTTGCATTTTGGTAAGGCAAACCAGGGCTGAACTTGTACAGTTAATGGTGGTGCCCTGGGGAGTGTTGCTGAACAAAAAGACCTAGAGGTGCAGGTGCATTGTTCTTTGAAAGTGGAATCACAGGTAGACAGGGTGGTGAAGAAGGTGTTTGGTACACTTGCCTTCATTGGTCAGTGCATTGAGTAACGGAGTTGGAATATCATGTTGTGACTGTACAGCATATTTGGTGAGGCCACTTTTGGAATGCTATGTACAATTCTCGTTGTCCTTCGATAGGAAAGATGTTGTTAAACTTGAAAGGGTGCAGAAAAGAATCACAAGGATATTGCCAGGATTAGAGTTTGAGCTATAGGGAGAGGCTGAATAGATTTGGGCATTTTTCCCTGGCACGTCAGAGACTGAGGGGTAACCTTATAGAGGTTTATAAAATCATGAGGGGCATGGATAGGGTGAATAGCTAAGGCCTTTTTCCTAAGATGGGGAAGTCCAAAACTGGAGGACATAGGTTTAAGGTGAGAGAGGAAAGGTTTATAAAGGACCTGAGGGGTAGAGGGTTGTGAGTGTATTGAATGAACTGCCAGAGGAAGTGGTGGGGGCAGGTGCAATTATAACATTTAAAAGGCACCTAGATGGGTACATGAATAGGAAGAGTTTAGAGAGACATGGGCCAAATGCTGGCAAATGGAACTAAGTCAGATTGGATGTCAGTTGCCACAAATGAGTTGGACTGAAGTGTCTGTTTCCATGCTGTTTGACTCTATAACTCTATAATCACTGTATTCAAAAATACCTTCCACGAACATGAGAAAAGCTGTAGTGTCATTTGGGATGTCAGAATTATTCAGATAATTGATCATTCATTTCATTATGTGCTTATCTGGAGTGCTGGATGCTGTATTTCCCTGCATCACAACAGTCAATGGGCTTCAAAGCTGTACATTCTATGAAGAAACACTTTGTGAAGTTTCTAAGATATGATAAATTACCATGTAAATGCCAACCTTTCTTAAACGTCACAGATGGATATCCTTCGTGGCAAAGATTACCAACCCTTATGGAGCCATGGTTCTTGGGTTCCATTCCTGATCTTGTCTGGCACATTGGAGTCTAGTGAAAAATTAATATGGGTTCTCCAAACTGGTCACAATTCAGTGATTACTGTTACAAATTGCATGCATGTAAATACCTGCAGGAATAAGATCAGGCTCGGTTACTCCCCCACAGTTGAACATCTTGTCAACAATCTGAGTGATGTTAATGGGGTCTCACCCAACAGCTGGAGAATCAACAAGAGCCTCACATTGCCTCCTCTGGGTGAAGGCCTACTGTTGTGAAGTGCCTCTTAAGTGGCCAGTAGCGGGCCTTCCCGGAGAACACATACCCCGGGAAATCTTCTCTTCCCACCTAGAGTTGTCAATCAGTCAGAATTTGGAAGCTGCCCGTAGCAGGCAGTACCACCTGGACAGTGGTGTACCCAACAATAGGCCCAGGATCACTGAGGGACTCGGCCCAAACGTAGGTGAGGGCAGGTGATGCCATGGGTGAGGGGAGTGGAAGCCAAGCTGTCAACAGGCACCCCTTGCCCAATGCCAGGTCCTTGCAATTAAGCATGGGGTGCCTTTGAATGAGGAACCCCTGCCACCCACAGAAACCCACCGGTAAACATAGCTGGGTTCATATTTTGAACTTCCCACATGACAAAATTACTGCCCACCTCTGATTAAGTGCCAACAACTGTGGGATGAGGCTCTCAAATCAGCATTAATTGCCCAGCTAAGAGCCTCACTTTGCAGCAAGGTGGAAAAATTGTCCACATGCCTTCCCACTCCAGCCTAAATTGGTAGCAGGATCTCCACCTGGAACCCTCTTGCCCTATTAAATGCCCCTTCCCACCTCCAAACTGACTTCAGAGCAGGCATTAAATTTTGTCCTCAATCTGTAAAATCAAGGGCTACCTGTGGGAGATTTCTACAAGGTTAATGAATCTACCAAAGCAAGAAGACGAAAGATGAATATTTGAAATTGCAAAGCAGAACATTTGTCATCTGTTGTATATTCTAGGTGCCACCATGAGATTAATCGGCTAGACTCTAAGAACCATGATCTACAGCGGAGGATGCACAGACTGCAACAGGATCTCGAAGAGGTGACATTGAGGAATGAGACACTCGAGACGGCTATGGAAGAACACCACAATCGCTCCAGAGATGGCACTGACTGTGAGAAGGAAGTACTAAAAGCTAAGGTTAGTCCAGACATCACAAGACATTATAACTATTGTGTACTCTTCATTTAGTTGTAGCACTGAGTGAGACAAGGGTATTCCTAGGTGGATTTATAACTCCAATACTGCAAATTGACAATATTTGCAACCTATGTCTGACCACTGAGTAGAATACTTTTGAAATCGTATCTGCATTGAATTACATTTTCTCTTGCCAACTTTCTCTCCAGTACTTAACTCACTTGATTTGATTTATTACTGTCCCATGTACTGAGATACAGTGAAATGTATTGTTTTGCGTGCTAACCAGACAAATCATACTTTACATAAGTACATCAGGGTAACAGAACAGATTGCAGATTATAGTGTTATAGCCACAGAGAAAGTGCAGAGAAAGATCAACTCCAATATATGAGTGTCCATTCATAAGTCAGATAACAGTGGGGAAGAAGCTGTTCTTAAATCTATTGGTATGTGTGACGATGCTGTCATTTTAAGAGGTTATTTTGTACTTTTTTTTGAAGAGAGGTTCCGAGGCAGAGGTACCGAGCTGTCTCTAAGAGAGTAAACAATTTGTGAGGCCTTGGGAAAACAACAAATGCTAGAGATCACAGCGGTTCAGACAGCTCCATGGAGAAAGAGCAAGCTAACGTTTCTAGCCTAATTGACTTTTCGTCAGGCCTTGAGTTCTTTTTTAAAAGTTGGAACAATGGAAGCAGCCTGGGGACTCCATCCGGGTTAGTTGCTTTCTGTGAGTTCACTCTCAAGAAGGCCAATCTGACGTGTGCAGAGGTGACAGTACAGGGGCACCCAAGGCTATTGGGACAGGTGACATCATTTCACTGACCTTCTGTTCAAAATGAGCTTAGGATGCAATGAATTCAATGGGAGGGATGCATTGTTGTTAGCGACTCTATGATTTCACTTTAAAGCCCATTATATCACATATGTCTTGCCACAGTTGATGTGTGTTCATGTGGTTAGTCTGGGACTCTAGTTTAGTCTGGTGTTAAATCTTGAAGCCCCTGATGGCTTTTGAAGATCGTACATAGGTTTCCTGTATAGCGCAGGGTCACCCAACTTGGAACATCTCAGAGCTGGACTTCAGTCGGGAGTGGATCTTCCGATTCATCCATGGTTTCTGGTTGGGGAACACTTCGATTAACTTCTTTAGCATGCAGTCCTCTACACACTTACTAATGAAGTCTTTGACGGTAGTGGCAGACTCATTTCATTTGGCTGCTGAGTTCTTGAATATAGACCAGTCCACCAATTCAAGCAGTCACGTAGGAGCTTGTCCATTACCTCAAGCCAGCACTGTACGGCTTTTTGTACAGGATCCTCACGCTTCAGTTTCTGCTCGTAAGCCAGGAGAAGGAGCGCAGCCTTATGGTCTGAGTTACCAAAATGAAGGAGGAGGATGGAGTAGGTGTCTTTGATGGTTGTGTAGCAATGGTCCAGGGTGTTTGAGCCTCTGGTGGGACAGTAATGTGTTGATGGTATCTTGGGAGCACACGTGTGAGGTTGGCCTGGTTGAAGTCACCGGCTACAATGAGCAAAGCCTCAGGGCATTCTGCTTCATATTAATGTCTACAATCCTTAGGGGCTTTGCCTAATGTACTATTACTCTTGTGTGAACCTCAACTGAGTGTTTGCTAGAACGTTCGACTATAAAGGTCAAAACTAATCTTAATCTCATACAAAATCTAAAAGGCTCCTGAAGATGAAGTGAGATTGGAGGCAAGTTGTTCAGAAAATAACTCTAGAGGGCAAGATTCTAACAATAGAAACTTTACTCATCAAAAGCGGATGATATATGGGTTCACTAGGAATGCTGACAGTATAGAAAGCTGAAGATGGATTCAGCACAAGTTGAGATTTATGTTGAAATGGCTGGAACAAGACTGGGGTAGATTTCTAAATGAGGAAAAAAGAAACCTCAAGTTCATTTTTAAAGCAGCAGGAAGACAACAGAGCACAGCACAGACAAAGTTACTTGTGTTATTTAAATTTCGTTTTTTTACTGAATAATTATTTTTATTTAATGAAAAGTGGCCGGTTCTTTCCCAATAGCCTGTATTTTCGTTATATCTTGAAAGATGCAATAACATCTTTGTCAATTAGAGTCCATGGCAATGCATTCCATACTTCAATAATCCACTGCAAAAATCAAAATTCTCCTTACCTGTCTCCTTATGTTTTTTATTGTATTTTGTTGGACAAAGGATGAACACTGTGCCTGTTTTCTCTTGAAAATAGAAGACTTAAAATTACCTAATACAAGTCTTCAAAATTTAATAAACAAAGACCTCCCAAAAAGAATTTTTAGAAAATATTGCAGTGTTCTGTGAGAATTGATATGTGAGGCTTTCAATTAGATGATGATTACAAATAGTTAGCAGGGCAATGTTTAGCTTCAGAAATTGTAACTAGCTGAATCTGGCTCATGCAATTGAGATTATTTTCAACAAAAATAATTTCAAAACAAACAGAGAAATCTTTGTTTAATCTTCATATTTGCAGATTCAATGAAGAAGAATACTAGGTTTCCAGATTGGTGGCCTAGCTTCAGATCCTATTAGAACTTGTGAGCGTATTGAAAGGCTCATAGATGAGGAGACAGATCCTTTCATATCCTTTCAGCTGTTATGGAATGAATTACTTGATTTTCTTAAAATTAAAGTCTCAGCCATGCTATATGATCATAGATTCAGACGCACGATGTTGGACCTTGAATCTTGGTCTTGCTAGTGAACCATGCTCCGTTTTTCCAAAGAACCTTTATAGTGATTGGAATGACATCAGCCAGGTGGATCTCATAGAATATGAGTTTCCTGAGTGGGGCTGTGAACCTGGTCCAAATCAGGGAGTCCTGGCTGACAGATATAAACAGAAGTGTCAGGGGTTCTGTTCACTCTAGGAGCCAGCTCTGAGCTAGCTGGGTCAGTGTCATGCACTAAACACTTGTAAATAAAGGATGACTTGGTCACGGGACACCGGCCTTCGTGAAGTTATTTCATTTATGTGGCCATTTTCCAAGATGACACACAACAAGACGGCTCTAAGGTTGTTCAAATCATAGCAGATGGCTTAATGTTATAGATATTGTCTGGTAACTGTGTACTACATAGAAGCCATTGCAACAAGGAAGGCTGCTTGTTGTGATGAAGACTACAGCAGATTTGCATTATATGTACAATAATAGAGGCCTCTAATTTGAGTGTAGGATATTAAAGTGCAATAATTCTGTATAGAGTTTGATGTATTGCAGCAAAGGTTACAGTTTGAATTTACGCATCATAGTAGTTGTGCTCAGTGTCAGGGATGAGGCAGATTAGCAGACGTCATCTATGTTGCTATTTAAGGAACTAATACTTTGGTTACTTTATGCTGCAGAGGGGAATTCTAAGGAGGCTCTGTGTGGAAATGGAATGGTTACCTTATAATTTATTGGCTAAGTTGGATTATGTATGTATACCTTGCTGCCATGTTAACATAGAAGTACTTTCAACCTTTCCCTTTCTTAAAAAGAAAGCTAGTGTTTTCTCTGATATTCTTCTATTTCTACACAGATCACCAGTATGGAAACTGATTATGCAAAACTTAAGAGAAAGTATAAGGAGCTTAAAGCAAAAAGTCAAGAAGTGATCAGCGCTGTGAGTAAGGAGCAAGATATTCAGGAGGTGAGATTTTATCTGATCTGTGAATTTGTGAAATCTGTGATTTTTGATAAGGAAATTAATGCTCGAAATATATAATGGCCAAAGGAAAACCCAAAGGTGTTTTACTCGTACATAAACAGCAACTTCGTATCCACAAAGGAAAGGAATGGTGTGAGTATAGTAATCCCAAAAGAAGCAGTGTGAAATGTTGGACAAAATTATCATAACAAGAGAGAAAGTGTTGGAGGAGTTGGAATCCTTGAAAGTGGATAAGGTGCCAGGGCCAGATGGATTGTTCCCTAAGATTTTGAACGAGACCAAGGAGGAAATAGCAGATGCTCTGTGGATTCGTTTCCAATCTTCACTAGACACCGGTGAAGTGCCAGAGGTCTGGAGGAATGCAAATGTAGTTCAGTTGTTTACAAAGGAAATGCCAAACTATTCTATAATTAGTCTTTTTTTGATGGTGAGCAAATTGTTACAATCTGTTCTAAGAGATCAGTCACTTAGAAAGACATGACTAGTCAAGGATAGTCAGCATGGCTTTGTTCAGGAAAGGTCATGCCTTACAAATTTGAGGCATGTGGAAGTGACAAGGAGGATCGATAAGTGTAGTGCAATGGATGTTGTCTACATGGATTTTTTTTTAGGCATTTGACATGGCAGACTGGTCAAAAAAGTAAAAGCCCATCGGATACAGGGTAATGTGTCAAACTGGATCCAAGGTTGGCTTAGTAATAGGATTGAAAGAGGAATTCTCGATGGCTGTCCTTGCGAATGAAAAGCTGCTTTAAGTGGTGTTCCACAGCGCTTAGTGTTAGGATCCCTGCTGTTTGTTTTAAACAATTAAACTTCAGCAATTTTGACTTTAATGTGGGGCCGCAATTGGGAAATTTGCAGATGACACGAAAATTGGCTGCGTAGTGGGATAACTGTAAGCTCCAAAATGTTATAGATGGTTAGGTGATGTTGGCAAGAAAGTGGCAGATTACTTTGAGGTAATGCATTTAGAGAGATCAGACTATAAAAGGCAATACACAATAAATGGTAATATACAGAAAGGGGTAAATGAAGTGAGAAATCTTGGAGTGTAAGTGCGTAGGTCCCTGAATGTAGCAGTACAGGTACAATAGGTGCATAGGTCCTTAAATGTAGCAGTACAAAAGTAGAATATAATGATGAAACTGTATAAGAAACTGGTGAGGCCACAACTGGAGTATTGTGTGTAGTTCTGGTCACCACATTACAGGAATGACATAATTGCTCTGGAGAAAGTGCAGAGGAGATCTACTATAATGTTGCAAAGGGAACTGTAGCTACAAGGAGAGATCTGAGAGGTTGGTGTTGTTTTCCTTGGAATAGAGAAGGCTGAGAGGGTGACAAAATTGAGAGGGGCAAAGATAAAGTAGGCAGGAGGAAGCTATTTCCCATAGCAGAGAGTTCAAAAACCAGTAATCATAGATTCAAACTAAGTGGCAGAAGGATTAGAGGGGACACAGGGAAAAATTTTATGCAGAGGGTCGTGAGTGTCTGGAATTTGCTGACTGAGTTGGTGGTGGAGGCAGAGACCCAAAACCCTTTTAAAAAATATTAGGATCTGCACCTTAAGTGTTGTAAGCTGCAGCGCTATGGACCATGTGCAGGAAGATGGCATTACAAAGGACATCAAGCTATCTTTGTCAGTATGGACAAAATGGGCCAAATGGTCCCCTTTTGAGCTGTATCATTTCTATGGTTCTAATCAGTGGTGCACTAAGAACAATTGCCAGAGCGTTATACTGTTGGCATAGATCATATCTTACAGTTCAGACATACATTTAACAATCTCAGCATTTGCAGTTTAGAATAATGTTCTATTCTTCAGACCTCTTCGATGTGCAGTATAAATAATGTAGCCAGTGAGAAGATGCAACTGTCCTGACCTGAATTACTGGACCAGAAGGTGAAGGTTCAATTTCATTTTTATAATGAAAAATACTGATGTCAGCCAGATGTCAGTAGAGGCATTCTGTTTGACTTTGGTACCTTAATCTAGAGACTGGGAACAAGATTCTGCCTAGTAAACATACTTGTTTACTAGGTGTAAGAAGGATGACTGCATTGATGGCATTTGCCTTAACTGGAGTCAGGGGCAACAGGGAAGTGGAGAAAACATTTTTGGGAAGATTGCAACGAGGTATTTTTAAAAAGAGCTGGAATAAAAAGAATTGTGCCTTATATTGTACTCAAACACTGATAACTGGTTTCGTTATCTTCAACAGCAGTTAAAAAGGAGTCAGACAACAATGGAGAGCGTACAGCAAAGGCTTGAAGAAGAAGTTAAAAACCGGGAGTATCTTGAAACTGCACTGTCTGATGCCCAGCAGTCAAAAGTACGAGCAGAGGAGGTAGGGCTGTAAGGAAACTGCTCCATTTTAATTCATCAGTCACTGGTACCAGAAGAAAGAAGGAGCTGTACTATTGGGACAGCCTCATCTCAACAGCGCTGGGATCAGTGCCCTGGTAAATCATATAAACAGGGTTGTAGAACGAGCTTTAAAAACTTAGTAATGGAGATTTGGAAAGTTTCAGAGAAAGGACATTTGGAGTACCACAGAGTTATGACATATGTAATGATAACCAGAAAGTGACTGGAAGGAACAGAATGTACAAACATAAGTGTGCACCAGTAAATAAGATCAGAGTAAGCACAAATGGGGGAAACCTAGAATTAAAGGCTCTTTATCTGAATGGTTGCAGCATTCATAACAAGATGGGTGAATTGAAAGCACAAACAGAAATAAATGAATCTGATTAAATAGCTGTACAGAGATGTTGGTGCAAGTTGGCCAAGGCTGGTACCTGAATATTCAAGGGTATTTGACATTTTGGAAGCATATTAGGAAAGAAATAGTAGGATAGCTCTGTTAATAAAAAATAAGGATCAGTACAGTAATGGGAAATGATCTTGGTTCAGAATACCAAGATGTAGGATCTGTTGGGTGGAGGTGAGAAGTAGCAAAGGAAAGAAATCACTGGTGGGAGTAAGTTTTAGGCCACCTAACAGTAGTTGCACAATAGGACAGATCATAAAGCAAGAAATAATAAACAAAACAAATGCCAATGCTGGAAATCTGAAACAAAAACAGAAATTACAGGGAAAATTTCTGGCAGCATCTGTGGAGAGAAAGCAGTTAATGGTTTTGGGTCCAGTGACCCTTCTTCAGAACAGCAGTCAAACCGTTAACTCTGCTTTCTCTTCACAGACCTACTGAGTTTTTCCCAGCAATTTCTGTTTTTGCTCATAAAATAAGAAAACATCAGAGCTTGCAAGAATGATATTGAAGTAATTGTTGGTGACTTGATTAGACAGTTCAAATTGGCAATGGTAACCTGGATGATGAGTTCGTAGAGTGATTTGAGACTGTTTCTTAGAATACTAGACCATTTTTAGTATGTTCTGGAACTTTACAGGGACTGGGCTATTTTGGACATGATGATGTATAATAAGATAGGATTAATTGATGACTTTATCATAAAAGAAACTCTAAGAAGAGTAATCATAACTTGATAGAGTTCCACATTCAATTTAAGAGTGAGAAATGTGTGTTTATAACTAGTGTTTTGAACTTAAATAAAGACATTTATATGAGTACAAAGACAGATTTGGCTAAAGTGGACGGGATAATAGTTTAAAAGATAAGATGATTGAGAAGTAGAGGCTGGCATTTGAGGGGATATTTCATAATTTTCAACAAAGCTATATTCCATTGAGGGAGAAAGACTCTACCAGAAGGATGCAACATCAATGGTTAACTAAAAATGTTAAGGGTGGTATTATTTGAAATAAAAAGTATACAATGCACAAAGATTAGTTGGAGGTTAATAGATTTAAAAAGTTTCAGAAGCCAACAAATGACTAAAAATAATTAATAAATTGGGATAAATTGGCATACAAGAGAACACAAGGAAGAAAAATAAAAACAGGATATAAAATCATCGACATGTATATAATAAGGAAAAGAGAAGCTAAAGTGAGCATTTGTCTCTTAGAGCAGGGTTTCTGAAGCTAACGATTTTGACTGCTAAGGCCAAGCAAGCTAGCAATAATCACTGTGGAGATAAATCTAGACCTTAATGGAACTCTTGCAATAGGCCACTTTGATAGAACTACAACTTCTTGCCATGCTGTGCAACTGGTTATCGCAAGATATGCCAGTACCAACTCCATTTTGCTGCCTTGGATTTGACCCACTGGCATTTGCTGCATTGCCGTCAGGCCACTTGTTATTCCTTTTACACCTGCTGCCTCTCTCCTGCTCACCACATCTTCTGCTTCCTTACTCACTTCCAATAGTCTAAAAGTCTTGTTGACAGTGAGGACTCATGAGAGGGAAGTGGCAAGTTGTGAGGGATCAATGCAGCAAGTGATGGAGTTGGAGGAAAATGGAGATCAGCTGGGAGACAGCAACTGGAAGAGTTGGTGAGCTTTGATATGACAGAAAGGGCAGAGGAATTCTCTCTTGGATGTTGGGAATCAATTTTGTCAAAGGTCTGAGCCTTCAAAACAATGTTGGAACTCTCCCCAACCCCTCAACTCCCTCCATGTCCCATCCCCAGCTCTCATAATCACTCTCCTCCTCCTCCCCAGTCACTGGAGTCATGTCAATTTAAAAGCATTAAAGTAGGTTTTTGGTGGATGGAAATGTTGGCAAGTACCAATTTAAAGGGTGACATTGAGGAATTAATAATAGAAAACCAGGGAATGGCAAAAGCTTTCAACAAATGTTTCATATTCAGGGTGGACAGCGGGAGCCTTTTTCCTCGGATGGTGATGGCTAGCAGGAGGGGACATAGCTTTAAATTGAGGGGTGATAGATATAGGACAGATGTCAGAGGTAGGTTCTTTACTCAGAGAGTAGTAAGGGCGTGGAATGCCCTGCCTGCAAAAGTAGTAGACTTGCCAACTTTAAGGGCATTTAAATGGTCATTGGATAAACATATGGATGATAATGGAATAGTTTAGGTTAGATGGGCTTCAGATTGGTTTCACAGATCGGCGCAACATCAAGGGCCGAAGGGCCTGTACTGCGCTGTAATGTTCTATGTTCTATGTTCACCATAGAAGACAGAAAACACAAAGAACATTTCACGAATCAAGAAGTAAAAAAAGATGAATTTGTAACAATCACTATTGTGAGAGAAAAACTAATAGGAATACTAACAGTATTTACGGCTGACTTTTTGCCTGGATCTCAAGACCCTAGAATGTAGGCCATAAACGTGGCTGCAGAGTAGTGGGTAGGCTGTTTGGAATCTTCCAAAATTCCCTAGACTTTGGAAATATTCTAGTGAAATGGAAAACTACAAATGTAATACCTCTGTTCAAGAAAGTGGGGAGACAGAATGCAGGAAGATACAAGCCTACTAGCTTAACATCTGTCATTGAAAAAAAAATGATTATTGATAAGGTAGCAGCATTTGAAAATAATAATACAATTAGGCAGAGTCAGCATGGTTTTGTGAAATGAAAATCATGTTTGACAAATTTATTAGAGTTCTATAGGGATGCAGAGTGAATAAAGGAGAACCAGTAGATGTAGTGTAGTTTGTTTTTCAAAAATCATTCATTAAGGTGCTACATAAAATATTACTACAAAAGATAAAAGCATATGAATTGTGGGGCAATATATTAGGATTGATAATAGACTGGCTAACTAACAGCAAACAGACAGTTGGGATAAATTGTTAATTTTCACGTTAGAAAACTGTAACCAATGGACTGCCACAGGGATCAGTGCTGGGGCCCCAAAAATTTACAATACATATTAATTACTTAAATGAAGGAACTGTCTGTATGAAAGCCAAATTAGTTGATGATACACAGATAGGTAGGAAAGCAAGTTGTGAACAGGATACAAAGAATTTTCAAAGGGATATGGATAGTTTAAGAAAGTGGGAAAACATTTGGTAGTTGAAGTATAATGTGGGAAAATGTGAGAGAATGTCCACTTTGCCAAAGCAGTATTATTTAAGTGGAAGGAAATCTGCAGAGGGTTGCTGTACAGAGGGACCTGCATGTTCTTGCATATAAATCATAAGATCAGTTTGCAGATACAAAGGTAATTAACAAGGCAAACATATAAGTTCAATTACAAATACAAACAGAAAACTTTAGATACAGCCAGCAGAATAGGCAGCATCTGCTGGGGAAACAAGTTAGTTGACAGTAAAAAATAAACATTTCCTCAAAGCTAAAGGGTATTGCAGGTGGTCATCATTTAATAAGGAATATGGAAATATCATATATACACCTGGAAATAAATAGAATAACCTGCAAAATATCATGTTGAAGATCAAAAAATTATTAAAGGGTAACAAGAGAAATTTTGTAACAAAAATTTTAAAAATAGAAGATTGAAGACATATTTTCCTTTAAAGCTCCACTTTGCCATTGTTGCCAAGCTTCCTATTTCACTTACCTTTTGAATAAATAGTACTGGTTTGAATAATCCCACAAATGCAGCATGTCCAATATTTTTTATAAAGACCAATGGACTGAACTAAAATTCTCAATAATGTATACTTGTTTCAAAATTTTACAATACTCATTTATATAGAAAGGCATGTCAACTTTTTACATTGCATGAAGATCACAAAAGAACAGTCGGAGGAAAGGAAGAAAAATAGATGGAATTAAGGAATGGGGCTGGAAGAACAGGTGAAAAGAATTACTGTTTAAAAGCTTTTGGAAGGAGGGAGTTCTGGTGTTTAGTGGCATGTTGGCTGGAAGAACAGCTGCCAATGGTTGGACTGAGGAGGATGGGGAAAAAAGAACAAGCTATTGTTGACTAGCAAAGGATTTAATCAGACTAAATGACCGAAGTCGAGTGGTAAGAGACAGGGAGGCATTTGAAGGAGCTGGAAGTTGATTTGTAATGGCATAAGGAGCTAGTGGAGCAGCATAAAACATTGAGAAGCATAAAACAAAAAGATCAAAAAAATAATGAGATCTAGGAGCAGAAGTAGGTCATTTGGCTCCTCGAACTTGCTACGCCATTTAATTAGATCGTGGCTGATCTGATCATGGCCTCAGCTCCACATTTTGACCTATGTCAGGTAAACTTTGACTCCCTTGTTCATCAAGAATCTGCCTTAGAAATAATAAATGACCCCTCCTTCACTGCTTTCAAGAGCAAAGTGGTTGAAAGACTTGCAGCCTCTGAGAGGAAAATTTTCTCCACATCTCCCATTTAAATTAAAGTCTTTAGTTTTAAAAACTGTGTCCCATTTCTAGCCCTTCAAATAAGAGGAAGCACTCTTCTAACATCCACAATCAAATCCCCTCATGGGCTTAAAGGTTTCAATAAGATCACCTACCAATTCTCTAAACCCCCAACAGATACAGCCCAATCTGTCCATTCATTCTTCATTAGATAACTCCCACCTCCTCCAGTATCAGTCGAGTGAATCTTCTCCGAACTGAATCCATTGTAATTACACCCTTTCTTAATTAAGGAAACTAAACTGTGTACAATACTCCAGGTGTGGTCTTACCTGTACCACTGGAACAAAACATTCCTAAATTTGTATTCCGTTCTACTTGCAACAAATGGCAATATTCCAATTGCCTTCCTAATAGCTCGCTGCATTTGTGTACGAACCTTTTGCGATTCAGGTAGTAGAATATCCAATCCCTCTCTATCACAGAGGTCTGCAGTCTGTTTCCTTTTAAATAATGTACTGTTTTTCTAATCTTACTGCCAAAGTGGACAAGTACACATTTTCATACATTGTACTCTTCTGCCAAATTTTTGCCCACTCATTTGACCTATCCATATCCTTTTGCAGACTCCCCATGACCTTTTCACAACTTACACTCCTACCTATCTTTCTGTCATTGGCAAATTTAGCAGCCATATATTTATTACCCTTATTCAAGTTATTGTGATACATTGTAAATAATTGAGGCCCAGCACTGATCTGTGTCTCTGCCCTCACTCACCTTGCCAACCTAAAAAGATTCATTCATGACTACTTTTTGTTTCCCATTAGCTAACCAATCTTCTTTCTATCATAAATATGCTGCTCCTACACTATCAGCCCATTATAGAAATCATAGTAACCCTACAATGTGGAAGCAGGCCATTCGGCCCATTGTGTCTGCACCAACCCTCTGAAGAGCATCCCACCCAGACCCACATCCCTACCCTATTCCTGTAACCCTCCATTTCCCATGGAAAATCTACCTAGCCTGCACACTATGGGGCAATTTAACATGGCCAATCACCTCACCTACATATCTTTGTACTGTGGGGGGAAACCAGAGGAAACCCACCCAGACACGAGGAGAATGTGCAAACTCTACACAGACAGTTGCCCAAGGCTGGAATCAAACCTGGGTTCCTGGTGCTGTGAGGCAGCAGTGCAAACCACTGAGCCACCCTTATTTTGCACAGTAATGTCTTGTGTGGTGGTTGTCAAATGTCTTCTGGAAAGTTAAATTCAGCACATCCACGTGTTTTCCTTTATCCACTATGATATTGATATTTCTTCAAATAACTCCAGTAAATTGCTCAAACATAATTTCCTTTTCACACAACCATGTGGACTCTGCCTGATTTTTCTACATGCTCAACTATAACCTTACTGAGAGATTCCAGTATTTCCCTTTGACAAATGTTAATTTAACTGGTCTTTAGTTTCCTGATTTTTGACTCTTTGCAGGGAATTTTGGGAAATTGTAACCAATGCATCTATTATTTCAGTGGCTGCTTCTTTTACATACTGAGGATGAAGTGCCTCTGAAGACTTGTCAGTTTCTAGTTCTAATAATTTGCTTGGTACCCTTTCCCTGATAGTTGTAATTGTTTTAGTTTTTCCCTCCCTCCACCTCTTGATTTAGAATTTTTCCTGGGATGCTATTTGTGCCCTTAACAGTGAAGATAAATGCAAAATGTCCGATCAATTCATTCACCATTTTCTTATTTGGCATTATTTAATCTCCAGTCTTAATCTCTAGATGACCAAGACTTATTTTATCCATTCTTTTCCTTTTCAAATACCTATAGGAATTCTAACTATCTGTCTCTATATTTCTAGCTAGCTTTCTCTCATACTCTCATTTCTCCTTCCCTATTAATGCTTAATCACTCTTTGCTGTTTTTTGTATTCTGTCCAATTCTCTGAGCTGCCTCAGCTTTGCAGAATTGTATGCTTATTCTTTCGATTTGATACCCTCTTTAATTCCCTTTGATAGACACGAATGATGTGTCCTCCCTTATGTATTTCTTTCTCACTAGAATGTATCTTCTGAGTATCTGTCTTCCTAAGTGTCTGCCATTGCACCTCTGACCCATCCCTTTAACCTAATTTTCCAGTTCATTTGAGCTAGCTTTGTCTGCATCACTTCATAACTGCCTGTTTAAGTTTAAATGGTGGCCTTAGGTCCACTCTTCACGCATTCAAATTTAATATGAAACTCAATCATATTATGACCTTTACCTAAGACTGCCTTCACTATGAGGTCTTTTGTCTCATTGCACATTGCCAGATATTTATAGCTTACTTTCTGGTTGGCTGTAGAATATGTCTAAGAAACTGTCCCTAAAACAGTCTAAGAACGCAGTATCCGGGCTATCTTTGACAATATAATACAGCCAGTCTGTATGTAGATCAAAATTGCCCCTGATTATTGCTGTACATTTCTCAGAAGCCCCAATTATCTCTGCTCTACATCACATGCTACAGTCTGCTTACTGTTAAGGGACCTACAAATTACTCCCTCAGTGATTTTGTACTCTTATCATTTCTTATCGCTACTCAAACTGACATCTTGATCTCCAGAACCTAGATGATCTCGCTCTACTGTACAGATATTATCCTTATTGAATAAATCTAAATGTCACATACCTTTGAATATTCCATTCCCAGTCTTTGCCATCTTAAAGCCACGTCTGTGTAATGGGTATCTGATAATACATATTTATTTCTATTTGCACTGTCAATTCATCTGCCGTCTGTGTTGTTACAAATGCTACGTGCATTCAGATAGAGCCTTTTTACTATTTTTGTAATCCCTAGCCTTTCAGCTGGTACTCCTAGCTTTGTTCACTTTTCCCTTCCAACCAGACTCTAATTATTATTTCTCTTATTGCTATCTTGCGCTCTTCCCTCAATTTCTCTATTTAATTTGCCACATCTTCCCAAACTTGATCCCTCACTCCAACAATCTAGTTTAAAACCTTTGTTACTGCTTAGCTTTATAACTCACTATAATACTAGTCCCAGCACAGTTCAGATGAAAATCATTCCAATGTTATAGCTCCCACTCTCCCTAGTGCTGATGCCTGCATCCCATGAATCAAAACCTATTTCTTACATATCAATCTTTGAGGCATGTATTTAACCCTTTCCTAATTTGCTTGTGGCTCAGGTCATAATCTAAAGATCGTTTCCTTCGGAGGTTCTTCTTTTTAATTTAGCCTCCAGGTGTTCATATTCCTTCAGCAGAACCTCTTTCCTTGTTCTACCTATGTTGTTGGTATTTATGTGAATCACAATCACTGGATCCTCCCCTTCCTCCTGCAGGTTCCTCTCAAGCCTAGAGCTGACACCCAAAACCAGGTACCGATTAGGCAACACAGCTATCTGGATAGACTCTTGCACTGGGCTACGGTATTGTGTCTATTCCCTTAATTGTCCCCTGCTACTACAATGTTCTTATTAACTACCCCAACTTGAATGACTTCCCATGCTGTGGTGCCACGGTCAGTTTGCTCATTCTCCCTGCAACCAACCATTTCAATCATACAGGCTGCAAGAACCTCGAACTGATGGAATGATTGCAAGAGCTGAGGGTCCTCCACACCTACCTTCTGAGACCAGGTACTTGTCTCATCACAGTCACACCTTCCTGTCCCTGACCACTGGCCAAATCTGAAGACTGCATCAGTAGGACCGCCTCCTGCAACAAACTGGCCAGGTGATTCTCTGCTCCCTGTTGTGTTGCAGCGTCCACAGTTGTACCTCTAATTCAATCACTCACTGCAGATGTGTTTGCTCTGAATCACATTGGCCTCCAGAAGCTCCCACAGCCTGCAGTTGAAACATTTCACCTGCCCTGCCATTTTTGTTATTTGTTAATTATATTATTTTATCTTTATTAATTGATAACTAATAAACCCTAATACTTCTAATAAGATTTATCATAATTCACTTATTATTGAACCATTGAGTTACTAATCATTTGCATAAGTTTAGAAAGGTAAGTGAGTAAAATACTCACCAATAAATTATGTACCTGCTTACCCTTTACTTCACCCTTGATTTTTCTCCAAACGTGCTCATTCTCCTGGACTTAAAAGTATAGTAGAGAAGCTAGGATAGGACAGCCTCTCTGCATTCCCCAATCTTTTTGAAGTTGCTACCTCCTGTTTGAGTGCTGTCTTTACAATGAAGCCTGCACTCAACACGTTTTTTAAATTTTTGCCTCTGTGTGTCTCTCTCTCTCTCTCAAATCAGTAGCATAAAAACAAGTTTAGGAACTTCCAACTACCAGAGGCCAATGGCTCAAATTCCATTCCTTTAATCTTTTGCAATTGCCTGAAGATGTTCTCTGAAAAGGAAAATGACAGAATTTTATGAGTTTGTAACTTAATTTTATTTATCTCAATATTGTTGATCTACTTGAAGAGAAATAATTTTAAGAATTCAATTTCTGCAATAAATATTGGTATACGTAATATTTACAGGACTTTTTAAAAATTATGCTCTTATGAATATAACAGATTCATATCAATCGAAAAGGTCTGATTTAACTGATATCACCCAATATGATGATTATAATTTGACTAGACCCAGTCCCCCTATGCTAGAATGAATGATAATTAACCAGACTCCTAGAGTCCAACATCTTCTTTTGGAGTATGAATCCATGTAGCTGTTGAGTGATGACAACATTGGGTGTGAACTTCTTTGTAGTCAAGTATCCTTTCAGGCCTTATTATTTCAATTTGAAAGTGCAGCTGTATCCCATTAGGGATTGGGGTCTTCTGGAGATGAGATGTATATGGGTGAAGAATAAAAATGACATTGCATTAATGTAAAATTGAACATTGTTTTCAGGAGCTGGAGGCTTTCAGAACTCAAGTGCACTTTCTGAGCGTGGAAATGAAGAATTATCATGCAGCAACAGAACAGAATCAAGCATTAAATACTGCTCTTGAAAGGATGCAAGTGGAGAATAATGCTCTAGAACAGAAGGTAAAGCCCTCAGAAAGAGCAGCAACTAATACAATACTTAATATCACTGCAATGTGCAGTCAAAGCAGTGTACTTAATACCAATTGCACTTGCCAAATATAGTTCCAAGATCATTTTGAACTGATAGGCAGTATTCACTCCTCAACACCTTGTGCACCAAAATATGAAGTACATTTTGCAAGTTTGCATTTCCAGAAAGAAGTTCACTCATGATTTTGCAATTATTTAAATAATGGGCATATTGCGAGAGGGGTGCATATCAGGCGCACTGATCATTATGCCCATACGTGAGATGTGCCCTCTCATCAAGGGAGGTTTCCAGATCGTACACTTATAAGGACAAGGGTGGGCCCTGCAGCCCCTCAAGCCTGAATTAGGCCTTGGCTGATCTGAGAAAAAGGTCAAATTAAAGGTGTGCGGCCCAAACAAGTACTCATTATACAAATACATGGAATAAAAGGAAATTGAATTCAAGAAAATCCTCAAAAAATTTGCCGTTTTGCTGGTCCCAGTCTTCATGACTGCTGTTCAGCCAACAGCCTGGTCATGGATGTGTTGCCATTGCACGCAGTGACTGCCAGTCTTCAATTCATCAACAGCTTCAGGCAAGGTGGGATTTCTCAGTGGCGGTACTTAATTTGTTGAGAAGCCAGCCAGTCACCACTTAAGTAGTGATTTGCACTTGATCTAGTGGACTTTCTCCTTGGTGGACACAGGGCACCCCTGGCCCTGACAGGCATTTACCCACAAACTTTGTCGACAAATTGGAAAATCCCAACCAGAGTCTGTATCCTACAATGCCAATAGTGTGGGAACATTTCAGCAGGAGCATATTTACACCTAGGTCACAAATGTGAACAAAAACGTTGGAACAAAAGTAAAACAGAAAACTGACTCCTTCTCCCTTGACATTGGCTCGTAGAGAAAAATTTATCTGTGTTAAGTGCTTGACTAAGGAGCAACTTTAATGATTCAAAATAAAATTGAATCTTGACATTTTGTCTGTCTTGCTTGAAAGGAACTGGTCTGTCTCATTTATCTGTCCTATTGGTCCTCTTCATTCAGAGGAATATAAGGCACCTGTACAAGAGACAATATGAATTGCACAATTTGCATATAGGATCTCTGGTGAATAAGATTTCAGTTTCTTCTTGACAGTTATGTAAACCTGTGGTTTGACCCTCTAGAAGGGTACATTTTTCTTTGCTTAGCACCACACATCAAGAAAGATGTATTGACCTTGAATTGGTGTGATACTCTTCCGCAATAACAATATGTCAGCATGAATGATCAGATTATGAGGATAGTGTGGATAGACCAGGCTTTTATGCCCTTGAATGTAAAAGATTAAGGGGTGTTTAATTGAGGTATTTACGTATGAATTACGAAGTTAAAAGGATTGAGAGAAACTATTTTGCCTAATAGAGGAGTCCAGTGGCAGGCAATGGCATAGTGGTAATATCAATGGACTAGTAATACAAAACTTCAGGCTAATGTTCTGGCCGTGGGAGTTTGAATCCCAAAATGTCAGATAGTGAAGTTTGAATTCAGTAAAAATCTAGAATTAAAAGCTAGCCTAATTTCAACCATCTGGCTCACTAATGTCCTTTAGGGAAGAAAATTTTGCCTAGTCAGACTACATGTAATTCCAAACCCAGAGCAATGTGGTGGTCTCTTAACTGCCTTTAAAATGACCTGGCAAGCTACGTACCAAAGTGCTACAAAGCCTAAGGAAAGGAATGAATGAAACCAATAGACCACCTGGCATTACCTAGCCATAGAAAATGACAACAATCCTATGAACCTTGAAAAGTTCTCTTTACTAATATCTGGGGACTTGAGCCAACATTGGGAGAGTTGTTCCACAGATCAGTCAAACAATAGCTTGACAATCATAGTCATTTACCCTTGAGAAAGTAGTATAGAGCTACCTTCTTGAACTGCTGCTGTCCATTTGCTGCAGATAAGTCCACAATACTGTTAGGAAGGGAATTCCAGAATTTTGACCCAGCAACAGTAAAGGAATGAAGATATGTTTCCAAGTCAGGATGATGAGTAGCTTAGAGGGAACTTGCAGGTGGTGGTGTGCCCATGTATCTACTGCCCTTGTCTTTCTAGATAAAATTGGTCGTGGGTCTAGAAGATGTTGTCTAAGGATCTTTAGCAAATTTCTGCAGTGCATCTTGTAAATAGTACCCACTACTGTTACTGACCATCAGTGGTGGAGTGACCGAATGTTTGTGGATATGATGCCAATAAAGCAGGCTGCTTTGTCCTTGATGGTGTCAAGCTCTTTTTGTGTTGGGAGTGTTGATGTGGGATGAAAGTAGAAGCTAAAATGTTTTGTAAAAATATTTTAAATTTCTACAAATTAACCAATTAACTGTACTCCACATTTTTTCAGGGGCAGTTCTATTTGTTACATTAAAAACATAGTTGCACCTGTTCGAACAAGTGTAACATTTTGATGAGTTTGAGTGCAATGTGGGTGCAGGAAAGTTGAAAGTCTTGATTTCAGTCATTGGAAGAGCCACAGTGCAACCTGTATTGGAACCCTGAGTGACAGACTACAACTTTGTGCATGCCTGATATGCTGAGGGGTAATGACAGAAAATGTTGACAGTTCACTTTTAATTGTTCCCAAAAAGTCCGGCTGGATTTGTTGATTATTCTTTCACGTCTTCACATTGTGAGTCCATTTATAGCAATGCCATAACCACTGCTGTCAATATCAAGAGTTGATCCAAGGTAACCACAAACCACAATGTTCTAAGTAATGTTAATAATAATAGAATAATTTGTGTTTAGCCATTCTTTAGAATCATATCTCCCCTCTTGTGTTGATCAAATGTGGAAGTAAATCATATCAGTTGATTATTGATCCCAGAAACTTGGCTTGGCTGTGTGAGAATTGTCACTATCTTAGTTTCACATTAAGTAAGTGCAAAGCTGTGAATGAGCCATCAGATGGTTTCAAATTCAAGAGGTTTTCCATTTATTGTTAACTTCTGCTCCTGTGAAATATTAAAAATTCAGGATTAGTAAGCATTAATTTGTCTTCTTGATTAATTTATTAGCTCAACAAGATGCTGGAGGATCACAGAGAGATATCAAATTGTCAAGGAGCACAAAACAACAATTGGAAAGAAATGGCAGACCGATACCAATGCCAGATAGCAGAATTGAGGAGAACCATACACAATCTCCAGGAAGAAAAAGTCTGCGCATTGTGAGTAATATGAGTTCAGTTGAGAATTAAACAGGAATTTGTAAATGGCACCCATCCAGCTTATCCAGAACAAAAAACTTTACAGTTTAGTGAATTTTTTTCTTTACAAATTTTGACATAAGCTAAACCTCTGACAATATCTCACGAAGAAAATGAGCTGTGTAATTAGTTGACTTTGATGAAACATTCTGCTGTAGTTCTGAGTCACTTAGACACAGCAGAAACATTCTGTTCTTATAAAATGGACTGTGTCAGTCAGCAAGGCAACGATGTACTAAATATTCCTCTTCGTACCTATCCCCCTGTCTTATCTATTATCTTTCAACATGGATTTTAAGCTTGCTACCCCCATCTATTTTATACACTGCATAACAATTACTTGTTGGAGAGTAAACAAAAGAATTATACATGTCAGCTTAATATTCTTATCTCTTTGTCAGAAGATTATGCACTCAAACTCGATGCCAAGAGTAGCACGTTCCTGCTAAAATACAAGTTGTTCTTTAAATGTTGAATCTTTATCCTTTGAATCCATTTCCATTATCAAAAAAAACCTGTTTATTCTACTGAATGATTTGGAAATGCTTAAAATGTATGCTTGCACATTGATAAAATTACACAGCTTCGTCTGGTGTTTGCGTTTTTTCCTACAAACAGCAGCTGCAGTAATGGCTGCCATAGCGTGCTTCAATTAGGAGCTACTGAGGTGCTATGGTAACATCACTGAACTAGAGGACCAGGTGAATGCTTTGACGTCATTAGTTCAAATACCACCAGAGCAGCTGGTGAAATTTAATTTCAATTCATAAATCTGGAATTAAAAGCCAGTCTGAGTAATGGAAACAATGTCAGTGTCTATTGCTTGTCATAAAGACCCATCTGGTTCCTGAAATAACGCCAGAGGCTGGTATTGCATCACCAAGTCACCCTTTATTTTCACTTGGAAAGTCCTTGACACTGATCCAGCTCTGAGAGCCTGTTGTCAGTGTCAGGATGTCTGATATTCACTTTTTATATCTGTCAGCCAGGGCTCCCTGATTGGGGCTATTAAGCTGGTCCCATCAGGGAACTCATATCCTGTGAGGTCCATCTGGCTGACCTTGTTACAATCGTTACAATCACTACATTCCTACCACTCTGAGGCCAAGGACATAGGCAAGTTCTTTTTCTAGTAGCTCCTCCTGGAGCATTTTAGCACCAGGTCAGTTTCCTCTGACTCTGCCTTGGATATGGCCAGCATGTAATGCACAGTAGCTTACCTCTTGTTCCTGAAGCATCTCAGAAGAAATTCATTCTCTTCTTCAGGCGGCAAAGGCATCGAGGCACCAACATCCACTGGACCTGACCTCATGTCCACCATCTTACGCATCTGGAGCCATTTCAGTAGTCCCTACACCAAACTACGTCTCCCATAGTAAACAGTCTCTCTTGTTTAGCAGAGTCTTGTATCCAGCATTGGCATTCCAGATGCTTGTTCACCCACCTCCTGAGCCCATGAAAGGACCTGCGTAGTCGATGTGTAACCAAGTCCAGGGTTTACTCAGCTATTCTGAATATGGGGGCGTTGCTGGCAGTAATTGTTGTCTTTGTTAGGACTCTGGGCATTGCCCCACCAACGCGGCTATGTCAGCATCCACTCGTGGCCAACAGATGCAACTTCTCTCCAGCATCTTCATTTTGGATATTTCAAATAACCCTGGTGGAGTTCAGACAGTATCTGGCAGCAACCTTTGCTCCCCATAATAACATACCATTCTCTCCTATGATCTGGTCTCCCTGCGTCCAAACAGGTTTCAATTCTGGTTGTGATGGCCCTTTGGTTTCCCCCATCACCTCCAGTTGTTTCAGTTTTGCCAGTACTGGATCTTTCTGTGTCCAAAGTCTGATATTGTCAGCTGTGACTGGAAGTATGTCCAGAAAATTTAAAACCATACAGACACTTCCAGTGGCAGTACCATCGATGGTGTATCTGCCAGCGGTAGGCAGATCAATGCATCCGCATTTGCTACTTGACCTCATGGACAGTGTTCCAACTTGTAATTTTTTGCACTAGGTATTAGAGCCCATCTCTGAATTTGGCCTGAAGCTATGGCCAGCACTGCCTTGTCCTCTAAGTGGACCTAACAGGGTTTTGTTGTCAGTTATTATTACAAATTTACATCTGTAAAGATATTGGTGGACTTCCTACTCCAAATATGACCACTAAACCTTCCTTCTGTATCGGGCGTATTTACCCCCTGCATTAGCCAAACCCCTGGAAGCGTACATTATTGGGGGGTTCCTCTCTGTTGGACCACTTATGAACTAATACTACCCCAATGCCGTAATGGAAGTCATCGCATGTCAATATCAGATCTCGCTTGGGATCATAAAGTGTGCCAACACCTTAGATGACAATAGCTTCTTCACTTCCCTGAAAGCTATGGTTTGGCTACGTGATCATTTCCAACGCTGACCCTTTTATAAGAGTTGATGCAAATCTGCCAGGATGGAGGCCAGGTTATGTATGAACTTTCATAATAATTCACCAGCCCAAGGAAAGACCTAAACTCTGGTGGAGATGTGGGAGCCAGGGCACTTTTGATTGACCTCACTTTATCTTCCAATGGGTGCAACCCAGTCTTGTTAACTCTGTAGCCCAAGTAGGTCACTTCGGGTGCCTAGAATACACATATCTCCCTTTTATGCTCGCCTAGGAGAAATGCCTAAAGGACTATATCCAAGTTCTCTAAGTGCTCGTTATTGTCTTCCCTGTTGTTAGCACGTCACCTAGATAAGTGGTGACTTGATGTAGACCTTGTAAAATGTTCTCCATCGTCTGCTGAAAAATTGCACAAGCTGATGATACCCCAAATGGCAGTCTTGTATATTGGTACAAATCCTTGTGTTTATTAATTGTAGCATACTTCTGGGAATCCTCATCTAATCACAGTCGCAAGTATGCATGGCTCATGTCCAGCTTCATGAAAGACAGGCCCCTGCCAGCTTTACGTATAAATCCTCTATGTGAGGGATTGGGTGTATATACAATTGCGAAAAAGGTTTACTATTTATCCCCACAAAGGTGAACCGACCTGTCGGACATCACAATTGGTATGACTGGTGCTGCCTATTCCACCAACTGGACTGGTTTGCTAATTCTTTCACTTTCCAGCCTTCACATTTCTGCCTGTACTTTTGCACATAAGGCAAATGGTACTGGGCGGGTCTTGCAGAATTGTGGAATTGCTTCCTGGTCAATGTGCAAGGTGGCCTTGACTCCTTCGATAATAGCTAGACCTTTCTGAAAAACTTCTGGGTTTTTCATTAAGACTTCACTCAGGTGGCCATCTTCTAATTGAAAAATATTGAGCCAATCTAGGTGAATCTTTCTCAATCAATTTTGCCCATCAGGTTTGGGCCTGAGCCTTTTACTACAGTCAGTGGTAACTGAACCAGCTGCTTCTCATAAGAGACCAGAGTTGAAGTTGTACCCTTAATCTGTAAAAGATTTCCCGGTATAGGTGCTCAGTCTAGCCAAAGTCTTGCACAAATTTAAGGGTTTGAGTCCAGAACAAATTTTGTTAAAGACTGACTCTGCGATCATTGAAACTGCCATACTGGTACCATCCTCCATTAGAATTGGCTGACCATTTCACCAGACATTTGTTTTGATTGGTTCTGATCTGGATGTTGCTAAGCAATTTAACTGTTCCAAACTAGATGTATGTAGATTTTCCAGGGTGTGCACTCTCCTGGATACCAGCCTATGAGTTCTCTTAGTCAGTTTAGGTCCAGTGGGACTCTTCTGCTGACTGGAGTCCGCACATCAGCAGCAACAACAATGGCTTGCCAGCCCAGATCATGAAGAAAATTTAAATTGTTTGCCCAAGGCTGGGCTTTGTTTTGGGGTTTTGCTGTGGGCTGTCAGAGTCTCTCTGTTCAGGATATGTCCTAAGTGAGACTATGCAATTCCCTCCTCCTAAGTGGTGTTCCCCAAGCTCAGTCAGACAGGAGAGGGTGTCAACTTCCATTGGAATACCCTGCAACTCCTATGCTCCACTTTCTGCATTTTCCATTAGTAAAGTCAGTTGCAGTGGCTGTTCCTAACTGTTCCAGTTAGGCTTCAGCTAGTAGGCACTTTTGCATGGCTATATCATTAATTGCACATACCAAATCAGTCTCTCAGCTTCTCAGTAGGGATTAAATCAAAGTCACATGCCCCTGCTAGTTGTCTTAACTGAGTCAAAAATCCCATTCCCTGGTTCTCAAATTGAGAAGTAAAAGCAATAGCGTCTCAGAATTCGAGGAGGCTTGGGCTCATAGTATTCCTTAACTAAATCCATCAACTCTTGAAAGGTTTTAGTATCTGGTGCCTCAGGGGAAGTTAGACTCCTAATAACCAAAAAAAAAAAAAAATGCTGCAGGACCACAAGCTGTCAGGAGAATTACTTACTTTTCATCTGCCTGGAAAAATAACGTATTCTTTACACATACTGGGCCCCAGTCTTTGACAGCAGGATCAAATGAGTCTAGCTTCCTAAATAATAGCATAATGCCAGAAATGCTTACCCCAACTCAAAGATAACTATTGCAATCAAATTTCCTCAGGAGCATGCTGTTCTCTTGTAGCCACTGAAATAACTGTGCAGAGGCTGGTATCTTGTCACCAAGACGCCCTTTATTTACATGAGGAAAGTCCTTGACACTGATCTAGCTCCCTCAGAGCTGGCTGTCAGAGTGTCAGGATGTCTGACACTCCTGCTTTTATCTATCAGCCATGGCTCCCTGATTGGAGCAGATTAACAGCACCAATCAGGGAACTCATTCTGCAAGATCTATCTGGCTGACCTCATTACAATCATTATAGTTCACTAATATTCTGTAGCAAAAGAAATCCTCCATCTTTACCTGGCCTGGCCTACATGTGACTCTAGATCTACAGCAATAGATTCTATTGAGGGGGAGAAATGTCTTTACTCAGGAGGTGGTGAACCTGTGGTATTTTATACTACAGAAGACTGTGAAGGCCAAATCACTAAATATTGCTGTTCCTTCAGTATTGCGAGTTCAAAATCCTGGATGTCTCTGAAATGGCATTCTGGGTCTACCTAGACCAAATGGACTGCAGCAGTTCATGAACAGAGGTCACCACCACCTTCTCAAGGGCAACCAGGAATGGGCAATAAATGCTGGCCTGCCCAGTGATGCCCACATCCCATGAATGAATTTGGAAAAGAAATAGATTTCTAGAGGCTAAGGGGTATGGGGAGAAAGTTGGAGTATGACATTGAAATAGGCGTCAGCCTTGATTATGTTGTATGACAAAGGGGGCTACATGACGTACTCTCGCTCCAATTTTCTAGCTCTCTAATGTGCTTGCCTCTTAGTTTCTGCCTTTGAAATGAAGGACAATTGGGGATGGCCCACAATGGCTCAGTGCCTAGCATTGCTGCCTCACAGCACCAGGGTCCCGAGTTCGATTCCACCCTCAGGCGACTGTCTGTATGGAGTTTGCACATTCTCCCCGTGTCTGTATGGGTTTCCTCCGGTTTCCTCCCACACAGTCTAAAGATGTATACAGTAGGTGAATTGGCCATGTTAAATTGCCCATAGTGTCCAGGGATGTTTCGGTTAGGTGGGTTAGACATGGGAAATGCAGGGGCAGTGTGGACTTGTTGGGACGAATGGCCTGTTCCCACACTGTAGGGATTCTATGAAATGCTGATCTTGCCAATGACGACCACATCCAATGGAGGTAAAAAAAAAGACCTGCAGTTCAGCCATCCTGTGCTTCCATTGCCATTTATTACCTGCTCTCTACTCAATTGGTAGCCCACCTCTGTGAACTTTGACTACATCTCACCTGACATGCTGGGAAATGACCTTGAAGTAAATTTCATGACCCTGGAGGGAAAAATCTGCCCTAAAGCTCAACCAGCTTTCCTGCATTTGATGCCTGGTACTGCCAGGAAAAGCACAGAAATGGGAGAAAACTGGAGGAGCTAAACAAAAATTCAGTATATCTCTTGCCACTGTCAGTGGAATAGTAAACTAATACAAAAGAAAAATTCTGTGGATCATGTAAATCTGAAGCATAAACAGAAAATGCTGGATATGCTCCAAAGCTTAGATATCAGTTCTGGAAAGAAAGAAAATGATTTTTCAGAGCTAGAAAATGTTATTACAGGTTTGAAGTAGGAGCAAAGAAGAAGGAAGGAGGAAAAAAAGGGGAAAAGGATAGTTCTGTGAAATTCGGGAAGGCAGCAGTGACAAAATGACAAAAGGGAGCAATGATAGTGTGAGATGAAAGGGATGGTAAAGGGGCAAATAAAGAAAGAGGTGGCACAATGCCTTCCCCTGTGGTGGTGAGTTTGATGAACGGGAGACATTTACCATCCTTCCACCTCTTCTCCAATTTAAGTCTGTGGTGGGAAGGCCCACGATGGCCATCCTACCCTGCTGTGCATACCACGACAAACAAACTTTGTCAAAGTTCAGGGAGTGGGGCAGGCTTCTCCATCAAAGACACTCACTGCCTTAACAAGGGACCCTGTATTAGGAAGTGAGGGAATCCTGTGAAGAGTCACCCCTCCCCTCTAGTTGGTGACCTCACACCCTGTGACACCCCCTCCCCCTCCAACCGGGATTCACCTATGGCCTGGGTGTCATAGCAAGTGCAGGCCTCTGATTGGCTGACAGCAGGATTTCCAATCTCAGTACACCCTGCCCCACCCCCAACCCCAGGATCCTTGATCCATGAGAAATCCACATCACTAATTGGCAAGTGAAACAAGAGAGAGAAAAAAAGAGAAAAAGCACAGGTCTTGCCATCTCTCCAATAGGCAACCAAGCTCCCATCAGCAGCATGGGATACCAGCCAAAATGGGTCTAGAGGAGATATGCATGGCAACAGGAGAATTATTACCAGTTCTTCCCGTCAGAGAAAAAAAAATGGGAGCAGGGGCTGTGATGTGAAATTGTTGAACCTCGTTTTGTTTTCAGAAGCTAAGCTAGTGCCTAATGAAAGATGAGGTGCTGTTCCTAAAACATCTTTTGAACTTCATTAAATTATTGTAGAAGGCTTAGGCTGTTATACTGACTATTTCTCTTTAAAATTTTGCTCCTCAGCAACCAGGTGACCGACCCTGCCAATAAAAATCTAGAATGTATGCAGCAGCAGCTCAACGCAGTGCTAAAGGAAAACCAGCAGCTGAACCAGGACAATCTTGTTTTGCGGCAGCAATTGTGCTGTGACCAGCATGGCAGCCAGAATATGAATCAGGAGATTTGTAACTTACGGCAGCAGCTTATCGCCAGTCAGCAGGAGTGCAAATTACTCACGCAGGAAAATTATACCATTCGGCAACAGCTTGCGTGCAGCCAGCAGGAAAACCAGCGCCTGAACCAAGAAGTGGCCAACATAAAGAAACAGCTGAACGACCTAATTCACTCTAAAGAACAAGTGGAAGACAACATTACCCAGGTAAAGATAACACAGTGTGGAGCTGGAGGAACACAGCAGGCCAGGCAGCATCAGAGGGGCAGAAAAGCTGACATTTCAGGTCGGGACCCTTTTTCAGAAAACCGAAACGTCAGCTTTCCTACTCCTCTGATGCTGCCTGGCCTGCTGTGTTCCTCGAGCCCCACAATGTGTTATCTCAGACTCCAGCATTGGCAATTCTTACGATTACTCAGGTAAAATTGCACTGCAGATGCCCTGCTGTGCCAATGCAGCTGAAAGTCCTGACGACGTTCCAAATATTCAGACCATGATTTTGGACTGACATTTATAAATTGCAAAAGTTAGGTTTAGTGGGTAGTGGACGGGCAGGAAAGTCCCCTAAAAGCACAAGTAAAGCAGAACAGACCTTGAAACATATTTTAGGACTCTTGTATGGTACCAGAACTGCACACAGGATCCAAGAAATCACAAATCTCAACTCCAAATTGAGTTTTTATTGGTAGATAACTGTAATTTTTGGAAAGCCATGACAAGTGTGCAAACAAAAACTGCTATGCAAAAGAAGCCGTAAGGTCATTCATTAAATAATTTTCCCCAGCTTCACATCACTTTGAGGGTCAACTTGGAAATTCCATGCCCATAAATACAGATGACTACATTGGCAGGTCAGGGGGACACTTACTTCTTCTAAATTGCAGCATTTCATAGAGGACACCAGTGACGAGAATTCATGTAGGTGATGTCACATTCTTTAAAAAAAACACTCTTCAGTCCCTGCCAGTGATGGAATTTTAGTTTCTAAAATTCTCAAAGCCTTCAAACAGTTTTTGAAACATATATGCAATGATTGTTTTCACCTGGTGATCTAGAACCCACTAACCCTCACTGCTATCACAAAGTGCCAAACAATGGTCATCTCCAAGTGGAGTGCATCTATCCATCCCCCTCTTAATATTTAAAAGCAGTGCTGTTGTCAGTTCCCACACAACCAACATCCTGTGTACATAATTATTCAGAAACTTAAATGGAGTCATCACATAAGTAGCATTTGTACAAGAGCAGATTGGAGGCTGGGTTTTCTACACTGAATAACTCACCTCCTGACTCCTCAAAGCTTTTCCATCATCTGCAAAGGAAAAGATAAGAGGGCTCCACCTAGCCACTGCTTATTGTAAAATTATACAATACAGTCCTCTTTCAATACTAGAATGGAAAATAAGCCTAGATTTTGACTCAAATCTCAATCTTCTAACCTGGAGGCAAGAATGCCCTATTGCTTCTAAAACATGATACTTCTACTAGTGCTACTTAGACCCTGACCTCATTCCAGCCTTGATCCAAACATCGACAAAAGAGCTAAACTCCAGATGTAAGATAAGAGTGACTGCTCTTGATATCGAGGCTGGATTTAATATAGTATGAAAGAGCCTGAGCAAAACTGAAGTCAGTGGGAATCACATTTGGGTTGGGGAGGGAGAGACTGTGCATTGATTAGAATCATACCAAACAGAAATAAAATGATTTGTGCTCATTCAAGGTCAGTCACACCCGTCTCAGAAAGTAGTTCTGCTGGAGAGTGTCTTAGGCCCAACTATCTTCAGCTGCTTAATCAATGACCTTCTCTCCAGCTTAAGGTCAGAAGTAAGGATGTTTGCTGATGATTGCATGAGGATCACCACTTGCACTCCTCAGACACAAAAGCAGTCTGTGTCCATAGATATTGTTATGGAGGGGAGGTCAAACCCCTCTGATAATTAAAACCGAAATAGCCAGAGAAGCTCACCTCACCTTGTGATCTGTTAAAGGAAATGTGAAAATGTTACAGAGGAGATGGTTAAATGAAGTGAATTCCCTCATACTCACTTTATAAGTAACAAGTACCAAGTTACTTATCTAACTAGCAGTGATCAAATTAACAGAACTACTAACAAACCAAACAATTCACCTCTAACTACTAACTATTCTCAAATAAAACAAAATTCTAATGGTATGCTGTTCCAATAAATACAACTCCCACTTATATAAACCAAAGTAATAAGAAAAAAAATAAAACTTAGACTCTCAAAACTACAGTCAGCACCCATCTTCCAGAATGTTCTGTGCCTTTTCTGCTATTCTTTGGTTAGGAATTCTTTCTTCATCAAATCCTTGTATCAGGAATATTCGCTAAGAGTGCCATGGTACTTTTTAGATGGTGCTTAATCAGCGAGCTTAAAGATTTCTGTGCGATCCAGAGTGTTACTCTTCCAATGGCAGTTTACTTTCACATGGATTTTCAAAAACTTCTTATATATCCTTGATGACCCGTCAATTTTCTTACAATAGGATTACTTCTAGGTTGTCAACACCATCAGATTTAAATTCAGTCGGTTTTCAGTCCCTAAGTATCTGTTTTAAATTAATTGGCTGATACTCAAGCTGGTTGCCTTAACATCAAAACAAGCCTAGGTTGCCAACCGCACAGACAATTGATACATATGTTTCAATTTCAGAACTGTCTGTGCATCTGCAGGCGCTTGCAGACTTTTTATTATCTCCAATCTTAGAGAAGCACATCACCTCTTAAAGGGCCAACACACTCTTCTCCCTTTTCATTTTTATAAACAAATTCTAACATCCTGCCTTCCAATTCACAAGTACTGTACCCAACTTTGCAACAATACTTTCTAATCAACCTGTTCACAGATGTTATTACACACCCCTGTGTCATAAGAGCATCAGTCTGTGTCTGTATGCAACCAGACCTGATAAGGTCCAGGTGTGGGCTGTTAAGTTACATTCATATCATAGAGGGCTCTTGTGGTGTACTGTTGTGTCCCTACATCTGAGCCAGGAGGCCCGGGTTTGAGTCTCCCCTGCTCCCAAGTTATATCACAAATCACTAAACAAGTTGATTTAATAAAAAAATCATATCACAGAAGTATCAGACAATGACCATCCCTAACAAGAAAGAACACAATCAGTGTTGCTGAGTGAAGATCCTGGAATTCCTTTCCTAACTACATTGTGGGTGTACCTTTACCACAAGGTGGCTCAGCATTATCCTCTTAAGGATACTTAGGAGTGGGCAATAAATGCAGGCCTAGCCAATGATACCCACATCCCATAATTTTTTTTAAGTACAGCATTCCCACGTTACAGCAGTAGTATCAAGCAAACATTCAAAGCATAAACCAGATAACTATCTGACCATCTATTCTGCTCGCAACAAAAAATGTGTCTGTAGCTCACTTACTGATTGTTCTCTTTCAGGTGCAGCTGCAAGCTCTGAAGTTGGAAATTAGCCAGCTGCAGAATTCGCTTGAATTAGAACAGAAAAATTCTTACCAGCAGAAACAAGCTCTAGAACTGCAGCTGGAGGAAGCAAATAACAGGGCTAAGGTACTTGAGCAGAGGAGAAAAGTCCAAATATTACTGCTGTTAGCTCCTTTTGATGCTTTACAGTGGCTAAATGTTCTCATTGATTTTGGTACTAAGGCACAAAAGCCTAAGCTGTGAGATATCTAATATCAATCAGTATAACGGTGCTATGGATGAACTTTAGTCAGGAGATGGGAGAATCAGTTTGGGGTCTGCTGTGCATTCTGTCCATAATTACTGTGATCTTTATTGGAAAGTTTTGACCATTAAATATCTTGCAAAATTAATTACATTATTCCTGATGCGTAAACATTAATAGTGACATGTCTGTGGAACTGTCCAATAGCACCAGTTAATGTGTTCTGACTGACGTTTATATTCGTTTCCCTGCATTACTCAGTTCTTACCACATGATGGCAACTGATGATATATAATGAACTCAATTTCTTAAGATGCATGGTTTTCAGCTGTTGCTGATCTTGGTTATTTGGAAGTGCTTTTTTGATAAGACAAATATAAATACTTTATCAATCCTGTTCTCAGCATGTGTGAGAATTATACTCCAAACTTTTCCTTTCTGTGTTTTGCTGCTAACACTGTTTTCAAATAGATTTAGTGGAAAACAGAAACCTGAATGTCAAAAGGTAATGAGCTGGAAATGGTCGGTCAGATGTCTAAGAGCTGAGGAGCTCGTGTTATCTGCAATTCAGAATGAATCATTATTTGACTTTTTTTTCTAAATGCAGCCTGTCCTTGCTGTTTGCTTTTAAGCATAAAATGTTTTATCGTTATCAGTAATAATCTTTAATCATTCCTCATGGTTTATGTTGGCCTTTTTGCTTTTGTTATTTACTACAAGATACATCTAGCTCATTTTTGAAGAAGCTGAGATCAATAGTCTCAGGGCCAGAAATGGGGCTTACAATCTCCTGTATGAATCAGCATAATGAATGCCCATTGGATGTTTACAGTAGATGTCTGTTCAATGCATCGATCAATATCCTCTCTCAAACTCATGTAATTGAACACATAGTCAGTAGCAGAGAAGATTCCCCACAGTGATATTTAAGGGGATCACCAACTACTTAAAGGTTAAGTTAGTGGTTGATTTCTATGTAAAGTGCTTAGTGCTTTCCATAATTGTTTTGAGTTACAAGATTCTTCAGGGACTAATATGGAGGTGCTGAGAAACATATACCTGCAGAAATCAACTGCAGTCAGATTAGTACGCATGCCGTTTGGAATGCAGCATGACTTGGAGAAGGTATAGAGGCCAGACTGATCAAGACAAGTTGCTAGAAGATGAGGGTTCGTAGCAGGACGTCATATTCAGCCAGAATGTGCAGGGAGTAAGTGAAGGTTATCAAGGAAAAATGTGTGAGACACCTACACTTCTGTAAAACATTGCTGCAGCCACAAATGCAACCCAGAGAAGGACAAGGGCTGCATTACCAGTTGCTGTGAAGCTGATTGTGATGATAGACTTTTATGCATTTGGCTCCTTCCTGGCTGGAAGGTATTAGCAACATCTTGTAGTTACCCACCTTTATGGTGGAGCAGGCTCAAGTGGATGGATGGGCTATTGCATATGTTTGTATATACTGCTTCATAAGGGAGGTCACTGAAGCTCTCTATTTAAAGAGTTAACTACATTTCATTCTCCCTTGCCAGAGTCAAGCAGGCAAAATGAGCATGCAGCTTCATTCAGATTGCAGATGCAGAATGCCATTGACATCACATACATTGCTTTGCAAATGCCTAATGCCAAATCTGCCCTATCTTGGAATTAAAAGGCATTCCAGTCCTTCAACATCCAGCTGTTATGTGACTACAGCCAACTAATTATGAAGATCAATACCCAGTAATCTGACATCAGACCTGATGTCTTCATTCTGTGGCGATCCAATACGCTATCTGCTGCAGACATGACTGATGACTAATGCATAATACTCAATGAAAGCCATACTGCCACATGAATTGTGATAGAACAGACTATTGGCAAGATGAAATAATGCTTCCTCCACCTAGACCCCTCATGAAGAGTTCTGTAGTGTTCAGCAAGTGTCTGGGTTCATGTTTGGGTCTCTAGCATGCTGCACAAACTTACCATCATGAGGGGACAACCCTTATAGAAAAACAAAAAGTGCTATCAAATAAGCATTCCAAACCAAATTTGTAAATGAAATCATGCAATGTTGGAGACAAAAATCAGCTAATCTCTGTGCACTCCTTTACTGCTCTGTCACTTTGCCTGCCCTAATGCTCCTATGCCGTACTGTACCCAGAGGGCGTAACATGGTTAATGGAAGCAAGTTGATTTTCAGTGTTGGAGACTACAAATCACTTTGGATGAGAACATCACGCACATCAAGGCCTGGCTGCAAACTGCCCCGTCTCAGCGTGGGAGGCAGCAGTATTGTTGACAGGCAACAGCAATGGAGTAGAGGTGTGACAACAAATGCTGCCTCCCTGAGAGATATCAACATGTTTATTCTCCATGGATTCATTGCCATTCCCCGAGAGTGGTGTCCTAGCAGTTCTAAAATCTTTTGGAGGATAAATTGCAGAACTGCTTTGACATCCAGCATGCCTCTTTGCAGACTGTAATCCAGAGTGATAATAAAAAGTAAGAGGAAGTGTTGGTCATTTAACCCTTCAAGTATGCTCTACCATTCAATGAGTTCATGACTGATTTGCCTCTGCAACGTCTTCTTGCACAATTCCCATATCCCTTGATTCCCTTATTATCCAAGATTCTATTGATTTCTATTTTCAATATACTCAACAGCTGAGCATCCACAACTCTTCGTAGTAGGGAATTTCAAATGTTCACAACCCATCTGAGTGAAGTAACTTCTCACCACAGTCCTAAATGGCCAATCTTTATTCTGAAATTGTGACCCTCAGTCCTAGACATCCCATTCAGGGAAAACATCTTTCGAACATCTATGCTATCAAACCTGTAATGCTGTTGAACTTCATTGAGATAACCCAGGGTACTTATGCTCTCCAGCAATACTGTTTACAGGAATTCGTCCAATAAACCTGTGCTCTCATTCCAAGGTAAAGTGACCAAGACACAGGATCCAGGTGTTGTTTCACCATGACTGCACACAATTGCAATAAGATTTTCTTTTACTTTTATGTTTAAATCCTTTTGCAATAAATACTAATATACCATTCGTTTCCTATTTCCGATTGTTTGCCTGTTGACAATCTAAAATTCATTTAGAAGGACAATCAGATCCCGTGTGGAAATGAATATTGTATTTTCCATATTCTTACTATTTAAAAATATTCTGTTTTTTTTTCCTAGTAAAGTCGATATCTTCACGTTTTCCCACACTATAACCAATCTACCATTTTCTTCCTACTGATTTAACATGTCTAAATCCTCTTACATCCTCTTTGCGTCCACTTCATAGCTTGCTTTTCTACCCATTTTTGAACCATCAGCAGACCTACATTTAGTCCCCTCATCTAGCTGATTCATATTGTAAGTAGCTGAGGCCCAAGGTCAGTTCACTAGAACGTTGACTTGCGATGCAGAATGGTGATGCAGAGTGTCGCTAACAGCATGGGTTCAATTCCCGTACCAACTGAGATTACCCTCAGGAACACTCCTTCCTGACCTGTCCCCTTGTTTGAGGTGTGGTGACTGTCAGGTTAAAAGTCAGCACCAATAGCCTCACTCTAATGAAAGAGCAGCTCTATTGTCCATTAGAAATATGGCAAACTTACCTTTCACCTTTATCAATTTCTTAACTGTCATCCTTTGTTTAATTTTAAAATCTGCCCAATCCTTGGCTTTACCTTTTCTTTTTTAGTCTCTTCCTTTAATCTAAAACTATCTTGAATCTAACACAAGGATAAAATATTATAATTACGGCAAAGTGAAATAAAAAGAATGCTCAAAATATTCAGCAGGTCTGGCTGCAAATGTGAAGAGAGAACCTGGGTGAATGGGCGAAATCTTAGTGGGACCTTAAACTTGTGGTTTATGGTGAAAAATGTGGCAGAATAACATGAGAAGACCAGTGAGGCTTATCCCGAAAGTGGGAGCAACTTGGCGTCTTTCTGGGCATCAAGGCAACAACAAGTTAAGGGGGATTATTGTTTGTTAATGACCTTATTAATGACACATCTCTCCTCATTAATATGCCGCTTTCTATCTTACCACCCATCACCAGCAAACTGCAGCCTGAGTTCATTTTATTTGTTTTCGCTTTTGCTACCTGTAAATAAAACTCCCATTTGGAATTGTCCAATCGCTTGCCTGTTCATGATGTTCCTCTACTAGACTGTGATGAGATGCGGATCTAAAGTGGGCACTGGGGACAGAGTAGTGGTCACCTTGAGCAAGTGGTTAGACACGATGTAGCTGAGGACAAATAAACTGTGTATTGTAGTGATTAAACAGTGACCCGGTTGAGGGAATACTTTTCTTTTGTGCAAGGAAATGTTAGTCATGCTGGCCATGTGCCATGAGTAGCATGGCTTTGCGTCTGCAGTGCTGTTATGTTGCTGGTGAATGGTGATATTGACTTGCCAAGATTTGACCAGGTTCACAACAGCCTTTTAAAGATGGCCCAAATGGCAGTAATGCCAGTCTTTCAGTGGATATCGATGGGTGGAAAATTGTTTCAGGAACAGAGGGTGATGGAATTGGGCTAGAATCAGGTCACAGAGTGCCATATGGGTGGGGTAGGTGATTAATCAGGCAAACTTGATAAGACGCAGCAAGAGATCTCACTATGCCTCACAGTAAGATTCAGTCCAACCTTTCAGGTTGCTGACTTTGTCAGATCTGGAAAGAAGTTAGAAATGTGGCAGTTTTAAACCAGACAGGAAAGTGAAGGGGCTGATTTTTCTGTGATTGCTGGGTTGTAGGAGTGATTAAACAACCAAAGAGATGATATGGAAGACAAAAAGCAATAAGTAAAGGAACAAGTGATGTCTGTAGTGGAGGTGTAAGTGGAAAACAGGCTTTAATAAATTTCTGAAGAAGGGTCTCGACTCGAAACGTCAGCTTTCCTGCTCCTCTGATGCTGCTTGGCCTGCTGTGTTCATCCAACTCTACACCTTGTTATCTCTTTAAAAAATGTTGCTGTCAACAAGTAGGGCCAGAGCTTATGATCTGAAATTATTGAACTTATTGTCAAATCCAGAAGACTGTAATATGAATGAAAAGAGGAGTTGCTATTCTTTGAACTTGTGCTGAATTCATAGGAAAAGTGTTGGTGGCTGGGAACTGACAGGTCAGAAAAGAACTGAGGCTTAGGGACATGCTGGCAAATTTAATGGAGATGTTCTGCAACATGTTTGAACAGTTTGCATTTGGACTCCCAGTATAGACGATGTCCCAGTTGTGAGCAATGAATGGACTATAATAAGTTGAAATACATGTAAGTAAATTGCTGTTTCACCCGGAAGGAATGTATGAGGCCTTGCACAGTGAGAGGGAGAAGGTCAAAGGGCAGGTGTTGCATCTTCACCTCTGCATGGGAAGGTGCCCTGGGAAATGTTGAAATCTCACAGTCCGTTTGAGAAGTATGAAACTGACTCTTACTTTTGTCTCAGTCACAGGAACTGTTACTGCAGCAGCAAACAGAGGAGTCCCGGCAGGTGCGGCAGGATTTACAAAGAGTGCATAATCTGTGCAGTACTGCAGAGAAAGAACTGAAGTACAAGAGAGAACAACTGATAGAACTGCAAAGGCAAATTTCTCTGCTTGATCAGGAAAATAACCGGGTAAGCATGTGAAAATGGTTAAAAAAAAGGTCCATAACAAAGAGTCTGATGTTTTAAAGGTAATTCAACTAAAGCATGTGAAAGAATGAATTAATTAGATTTTAGCAAGTTGAATTGTTACATAGATTTGAAACTAGGATGTAGCCATCACTGACTATAATCCAGAAATTTTACTCTCTAATATTCCTGTTCAAATTGACCTGTATTCTGTTATAGTAAAGATTACAGTGCAGAAGGTGGAAATTCAGCCTATCTTGTGTGAAAGGTGCTAACAATTCCTGCTCTAATATCAGATAATCTTACATTATCACTGATGTTTTTGTAGTCACGATATCTGAAGAATTAATGACTCTACTGAAGAATCCATTCCTCTAATAAATGCACATCATTTTGTATCTAAGGTTTGAAATGCCCTTTCACAGTGATTTATATCCATTCATTTAAGGGATGTGGGTGTTGCTAGTTAGGTCAATATTTATGCCCATAAGGATTAACCAGATTGTTGTAGGTTTGGAGTCATATGTAAACCAGACCAGGTAAGGCAGGCAGGTTCCCTTCCTTAAAAAGACAAAATGAACCAACAGTGGTTACTTGATTTTCATTGAGCTAACTTTTTATTCCAGATTTTTATTGAATTCCAATTTCAGTAACTGGCTGCAGTTGTCACCTCCCCTTAAAAAGTTCACTTAAATGTCAGTGAAAGTTTTGATTTTTCTTTTCCTTCCTTATTTGTAGCTCCTGGCTTCTCTGACCTCTGACTGCCAGTAGTTCCCAGAAAAGCAACCTGGGGTAAGACTTCCTCTGATTGCTAAGTATAGAATGTGTTTGTGAAGATTTCATTTGTTTGAAAGATTGTAAATTTGTTCCATAATGTCAAACTTTAGAATTCTTCACAAATGCAATGTATTATAAGAGGAGGAATGTCTCAGATTCCCTTCAGAAGCTACATTTTGCTTTTAGAAGTATTGGTATGGGAGATTCTTGCTCCCTGTAATGAAGTAAAATGGTCAGTTTTTCCAGCCCACCATGTGGCCAAGATCAAATATTGATGTTTTTGAACTCAGAGTTTGATATCCTGGGGCTGGAGTTGGGAACATGGCTGAGGTATTAAATGAATATTGTACATCTGTCTTTACAAAAGAGCAGGCTGTTGCTCACTTCATGGTGATAGAGGAGAAAACTCAGTCATTAGAAGGGTTCAATATTAATAAGGAAGAAATCTTGTATGGGAGGCTCAGATTTCCTTAGCCTCCTGAGGAATTAGAGAGATTATTGTGCTTTCTTGACTGTCATGTCAATGTGGGTGGACCAGGACAGATTGTTGGTGATCATCTATTCCAGGAACTTGATGCTTTTGACCGTCTCCACCTCAGCATCATTGATGCAGACAAGGATGGCCTTCCACTCCGCTTCCTGAAGTCAATGACCAGCTCCTTTGTTTTGCTGACGTTACTGGAGGGATTGTTGTCTTTACACCAAGCTGCTAAGCACTGGAGCTCCCCTGTATTGTGTCTCATTGTTGTTTGAGATCTGACCTAAAACGGTGTCGTCAGCAAACTTGCAAAAGGAGTTGGGGCAGAATTTGGCCACTCAATTGTGAATTTATAAGGAGTATGGTAGGGGGCTGAGTACACAGCCTTGTGGGGCTCCTGTGTTGAGGATTATGGTGGAGGAGGTGTTGCCGCCTACTCTTGGGAAAAAGATTTTTATGTAGAAGATAGGGTACAGGAAAGGGGGAAGGAGTAAATGATAGGTGGAGATAGAGCACAATGAGAGAGAAGGACAGTTGGACAGTCAAAGGAATGGTAACAGTCAGCCTAGGCGAATGAATAGCTGCCAGTAGGGACTATTAGTGGCTAACAATAGGCTGTGTGTAGTAGCAGACCATGTGATAACAAGGCCTAGTGTGTGGGGGTAGAGGTAAGGACATGGAGAAGGTGCCTCAAGCCCCAAAATTGTTGAATTCAATATTGAGACCAGAAAGCTGTAGAGTTCCCAAGCAGAAGATGAGTTTCTGTTCTTCCAGCTTGCACTGAGTTTTGCTGGAGCACTGCAGCATGCCAGAGACAGAGATGTTGACAAGGGAACAAGGTGGTGTGTTGAAGTGGCAGGCAACTGGAAGCTCAGTGTCTTTTTTGAAGCAGAACATAGGTGCGCTGCAAAGTGGCTACCCAGTCTAAGCTTCGTTTCCTCATTGTAGAGGAGACCACATTGTGAGCAGCGAATGCAGTAGTCTAGATTGTGTGAAGTGCAGGTAAAGTGCTGCTTCACCTATAGGGTGTGTTTGGGCCCTTGGATACTGAGGTGGGAGGAAGTTAACGGATGTGTGTTAAACCTTTTGCGGTTGTTGGGGGAGGTGCTGTGGGGCTGTGCAAGGCATGTTGAGAGTAAAGGATGAGTGGACCAGGGTGTCCCGGAGGGAACGGTCCTTGCGAAAGGCTGACTAGGGAGGAGAGAGGAATATGTGTCTGGTGGTGGCATCCTGCTGGAAGTGGTGGAAATGGCAGCTAATGATCCTCTGGATGTGGATGCTGTTGGGATTGTAGATGAGGAAAAGGGCGACTGTATCGCTGTTATAGAGGGAAAGAGAGGGTTTGAGGGCTGAAGTGCGAGAAATGGGTCAGACCTGGCTGATGGCCCTGTCAACCACGGTGCTGGGGAATCCTCAATTGAGGAAGAAGGTGGATATTTTGGAGGACCCCTTGTTGAAGTTGGCATCATCAGAACAGATGCGATGGAGATGGAGGAACTGGAAGAATAGAAAAGAGTCTTTACAAGATGCAGGGTGTGAGGATGTATAGTCAAGGTAACCGCCAGAGTTGGTTGGTTTATACTGGATATTGGTGGCCAGCCTATCTCCAGAATTGGAAACAGAGATGTCGAGGAAGGGAAGGGAGGATTCAGAGATGATCCAGATGAAGGTGAGAGTCGGGTAGAAATTGGAAGCGAAATTGATAAACTTTTCCAATTTCAGATGAGAGAGGGAAGCAGCACTGATGATATCATCGATATACCAGAGAAAGAATTGTGGGTGGGTTCCGGAATAGGACTGGCGCAAGGAATGTTCCACACACCCCACAAAGGGACAGGTGTAAATGGGGCCCATGCGGGTACCCATGGCCATCCCTTTGACCTGAAAAAAGTGAGAGGAGTTAAAAGAGACCTTATTCAGAGTGAGGATGAGCTTGGCCAGGTAGAGGAGAATGGTGGTGGGTGGGGACAGTTCATACCTTTTTCCAGGAAGAAGCGGAGAGCCCTGAGCTCATCATGGTGGGCAATGGACATGTAAAGGGATTGCATGTCCATGGTAAAAAGAAGGTGGCTGGAGCCCACAAACTGGAAATTCTGAAACTGATGTAAACCATCAGAGAAATTGCGGATGTAAGTGGGAATGGACTAGACAAGGTAAGAAAAAACCGAGTCAAGTAGGAAAAGATGAGTTCTGTGGGGTAGGAGCAGGCAGCAATGATGGATCTGTCCAGGCAGTCCTGTTTGTGGATTTTGGGAAGGAGGTAGAAGTGAGCTGTGTGGGGTTGGGTGGCTATGAGCTTGGAGGCAGTAGCGGGGAGATCACCAGATGAAATGAGGTTAGCGACCTTTGTGAACACGGTAGCCTGAAGTTCCATAGTGGTGTCATTGTCCAGGGAGAGATAGGAGGAGGTATCAGAGAGCTGGCACTCAGCCTCTGCAATGTCGCGGTCAGTCCGCCAGACAACACCAGCACCATCGTTGTCAGATTTAATTACAAAGTCAGGGTTGGATCTGAGATCATGAAGTGGAATCAGTTCACGGGGAGATGGAATGGCTGAGGGGGTTGGGGGGGCAGAGAAATTGAGGCAACCAATGCCACATCAATAGTTCTCAATGAACACATCGAGTTCAGGTAAAAGGCTAGAGGGAGGGATCCAGGTGGAGGGAGAGTGTTGGTGAAGGGGTCTGTGGGACAGAGAGTGGATCTTGTCTAAAGAAATGGGCATGGTGGCGAAAGCGATGAGAGAAAAATTCAACATCATGTCATGCCTGAAATTCATTAAGTTGGGGGATGCAGAGGGATAAAACTTAGACTTTTGCTGAGAACGGAACATTCAGCATCAGAGAGTGGAAGGGATAGTAAATATATGACAGGAGGTGAGTTTGCGAGTGGGGATGGAGTTAGAGGGAAGGGGAGGGGTGGAAGATTCTAGAGGGTCATGGGTATCTCTTGGATGTTGTGGAAAAGGTAGCCCTGGTATAGAGGTAAGTTCCACAGTTGCACTGAGTCAAAATTGTTTGCTTAACTTTTTATAAATTTATATTCATAGGTGAATTTGGAGTACAAAACAGCACAGTGTAGGCTGTCTGAACTGGATCAACATAACTTAGTTTTGAAATCTGAATGTGAATTGAAGCAACAGAGGCTAAAAGAACTGGATTTGGAATCTAACAAGACCTTCCACCTCAGCAAACAGTTAAAGAGTGTACAAGATGAACTCGTAGCAGAAAAAAACAAAACTCTAAATGCAGACAAAAAGGTGAGAATTGAAACAGAATTAGCTGCTTGGGGGCTGTTTGTAAATTGAAGTTTGATGCATAAACATGAAAATTTGAAAGGATTATTCACTCCAGTGTTGACGTTTGTGTTTCTTCCTTTGGGCTTTGCAGCTGACTACAGCAGTTAATTTTGTAATTCTATTCAAATTCTATTAAGACTAACTTCTTTAATTGTTTATTAGTAATAACAATAATTTCTTTCACTGGTAAAACAAAAGCCAACTATGGCATAAGGGCAGTGATTTGAACTACAGTGGAATCTGCCTGATTTGAAGTCAAGGTGTATGTTGCTACTATCTGTGATTGCATTTCTATCAGAGGGAATCTCAAAGCTATGTGGAGGTGGCAAGTGTTCGCATTGTTCCACCCAGCGCATCCTCTGCCTGGACTTCCAAATGACATGTTTTCATACTGTGAAGCTAACCAGTTCAATTAGATTGACATTCCAATGGGGGACTGCATTGATAAAATATTATCTTCTGAGATGATATTAAACAGAGGTGCTATCTGTCTGTTTTGACATTTCTGGCTGATGTTGAGCCCTTGTAGCATCATTCAAAGCAGAATTCTGCCTTATCGCAGTCTTTTGACCAACATCCCTTCCTCAACCATTAGCATTAACGACTGAAAAATGATCATTTCCCATGCTTTCTGAGAATTTTTTTGTAACATTTTCCATGAAGCAACAATGATTGCAATTCAAAGTAATTAATTCTTTGTGAAATGCTTTGAGATGTTTTTGACAGATGTAATGTGTTTCAGTATAAGTATCTTTCTTTGCCTTTCATTTCTCTTCTTTTCCTGCCTGCAATAGATCAGGTTATCCAGTAACCTTCATTTAACTAATGTCTATCAGCAGTCAACGATCATCAATTCAAACTAGTTGTGGCTAAAGTATGTCTTAATTTATTTAAAATTTTTAAGTCAGCTGAGGTACATCCTCTTTGCTTTCAGATTACATTTAGCCAAGTGGAGTTCAGTTGAGAATACACTCTCAGTCGATAAATTAAGAAATAAAACACTATCCAATCAAAACTTGGGACTGATGTGCAAGAACAGCTTAGCCGTTTCTTTCTTAAAAAGAGTTTCTTATATTGTAATCTTTTACAATAACTGGAGCTGTACTGTACATCTTTTGTATAGAACTTCAGCTAGTAAACAAATCAGTTATGCTTTTTCTTTCTAAAAAAAACTTCTCATTCTCAAGCCCCTTTTCCAAATCTGTTCATCAGCACTAGTCATTTAATTTTTACATGAATAAATTATTTGTGAAGTGCTGTTTGTAAGTTATCCAAAATACTTCTTATCTCTTTTTCCCTCCCTTTCTCCCATGGACATTCACAATGTGACCTGGGCCTAAAGACTGCAGAGCTACAGCAGCACTTGTGCAGCATTCAGCATCAGCTGCGACTCTCCGAGGCACGAAATAAGGAGAGGGAAGTATTGGAGTCAGAACTAAAGGAAAGCAGGGACATAGCAGCCAAGCTCAAGAATCAGCTACAGGAGGAAGTCCTTCAGAGGTAAATTCTGGACAGACAGGAACCCATGATGTTATAGAAAAGAAAGTAAACTGTTGTGTAAAAGAAATGAAATCAAGCATGTAGACTTACTTCACTACTTTACTCAGGTGGCACTGTGACTCAGTGGTTAGTACTGTTGCCTCACAGCGCCAGGGACCTGGGTTCGATACCAACCTCGGGTGACTGTGTGGAGCTTGCACATTCTCCCCATGCCTGCGTGGGTTTCCTCTGGGTGCTCTGGTTTCCTCCCACAGTCCAAATTTGTGCAGGTTAGGTAGATTGGCCATGCTAAATTGCCCATAGTGTCTAGGGATGCGAAGGCTAGGTGGATTAGTCATGGGAAATGCAAGGGGATGGGTCTGGGTGGGATGCAGTTTGGAGGGACAGTGTGGACTTGATGGGCCGAATGTTTTACTTCTAACGTATGTTATTATAAAAGACGAATCAATCTAAAAAAAATCATTCTTACCAAACTCTGGATTATTAGTTGTATTATTATATTCCATAGCCATCAGCTGCACATCAATCTAAACTGTTTTCTGCTGGAGTTCCATTTTAGTTCTATCCTGTCCCCTCCCCAACTCCCACCGCCACTACCCAGTTGCTGAGTACAAATGCACCAAGGTGTGGAATTGGTACAGGCGGGAATTAAAAGTTGAAGACCTGACTAGGACAAAGTTGGAGGAATCCAGACAGGACAGCTGACACAATGTGACAGTGGCTGCTGTTCCTCATCACATTCTGTGGAATGCTTGCATGTATGGATATGTGTGGTCATCGAAAGAGGACAAGATTCTACCTGGTTGTGGATCTCCTCCTGGCGGGAACTTCCTACCTGCTGTTTTGTTTCACATGTGAAGAATGCCATTTTGGTCAAGGTACTGGAAGAAATCAGGGGCAGTGGAATCATGAGTTCACACTTGTACGAGAGGAGTGAGAAAATTGTGGGCTAATCTTTTTTTATAGAAAGAGATATCCGTATGGACTGTGGAGCAAAAGCCTCAAAGCTATAAGAAAAGAATGCAAAATTGAACTTATTTTTCTTGCAGAAAGTGTGTACATTATTGGGACTTTAAAGGGTGGGTTAGGGTTAAAGGTTGGATAGTTGTAAGTGTAACTTGGTTTCCTGAAGCACATGTTTAAGAAAAAATAAAAACAGCCTTACATTTGATTTGATTTAAGCGCATAAAATTGAATCTCACAAGTACATTTTCCTACGCAACAACGAATATGTTAAGTAAATTTCCTGAAAGCACAGCACAGCCTGTGTAAACACAAATGTGCAATGATTGTATGTTATCGCTATACTGATTATGTTTATTACATAGAAATGTTCCCAAACATATTAGCATCTGGGCTTTTAAGCTGAGCTATTTATCCACTACCCGCCCTTCATCTTGCCCAGCTGTATGCACAATAGGAAGGAAGAGGGTTGCGACAGAGGGGTGTGGTTTAAAAATGAATAAAATGGAAACACATATCTAACCCAGCACATATACACTTGTTGTCATTTGTATGACGGTAGATTTCAAGGTATCCAAGTGTCCCACCATAGAAGCAGGACTTTTCTTTCATATAATTATATGGGGTTTCCACTTTGCAATTGGAAACCGCTTTAAGTTTAAAGTTTCTGCTTAGGATTTTGCAAATTGAGAAGTGATGGAGAATTGGAAGGTGCTGGCTGTACAAGGCTGGAGTCTTTTCCACCAGGAGTGTTCCCACACCAGCATTCCCCTCTCCTGCTCATATCCTTTCTCTTACTCATTAACACATTCAAGCCCCAGGGGTTTCTCATACCCAGATACCCTCACACTGTCCACAAAATGATCAGGGAGTTAGAGATATTGTACCCTGTCTGTAATTCTCCATCTGTATCTTGTTAGGAAACTTGCAGATCAGAACACAGAAGAGCTCCAGAAACAAATCAAATCAATGTTAGAGAAGGAAGGGTGCTTATCACGGGGAAAATGTGATCTTGAGCAGCAAATACAGCAACTGGAATCACGGATGCATGTTCTGGAAGAGGAAAAGGAGGCCTTGTATTCTGAGGTAAGCTACTTAGAGATAAAACATCAATGAGTGACACTTAATTGTGTTGTCCATGGAATTAGATTTTCTTCCATCAGTGTTGTTTCTTGAATATCAGAAGAAATTGATTTTTGACCAGGTGTAAGAACAGGAAATAGGAGTAGGAGTATGCCATTTGGCCCCTCTAATCTACTTCTCCGTTCAGCTAGATCATTATTGCTTTTCTAACTCATCACCGTTTGATTGATATATTTATTTATTGTCACATGTACCAAAATACAGTGAAAAGCTTTGTTTACAAGCAGTACAGGCAGCAAAGGATGTACAGATCAAAAAAGACTAAGACAGAGGCATACAGGTTACATTACACAGGGCATGCAAGATCAGCATTATTTGAGGCTAGAAAGTCAATTCATCAGCCTGATAACAGCTGGGAAGAAGCTGTTCCTGAACCTGCATGTGTGTGTGTTCAGGCTTCTGTATCTTTTGCCTGTTGGAAAAGGTTGTAGGACATCTTTACCAGGCTGCGATGGGTCTTTGTTGATGTTGGCAGCCTTTCCGTGACAGCGAGCTGTGTAAGTGGAGTCCATGCATGGAAGGTTGGCTTCCATGATGATCTGGGCTGTGCACACCACCTTCTGTAGTTTCTTACGGTCCTGGGCAGAGCAGTTGCCATACCAGCTTGTTATGCACCCAGACAGTATACTTTCAATGGTGCACCTGTAGAATTTGTTGAGGGACCTTATGGACACACCAAATTTCCTGAGCAGTCTGCGGAAGAAGAAGCGTTGTTGTGCTTTCTTGATTGTCACATCTATGGGGAAGTCCAGACAGGTTATCAGTTATCGTCACTCTGAGGAACTTGATGCTCTTCACTCTCAACTTCACTTCTGTTGATGTAGATGGGAGCGTGATCTCCTCCTTTCTTTCTGCAGTCAATGATCAGTTGAGTCACTCGACTTGAATCTGCATGTCTGGTTTTCAGTAGGGAGCAGACTTCCTGGTTCATCCAAGGTTTATGGTTGGGGAACACTCAGATTGACTTCTTTGGTATGCAGTGCTTCACAGATTTGCTAATGAAGTCCATGACTGTGGTAGCGTACTCATTTAGATGTTGTGTTGAACACTTGAACACGGTCCAGTCCACCGATTCCAAGCAGTCCCTGAGATGGTCTTCAGTTGCCACGGACCAGCACTATACTTCTTCTCATGAAGGATTCTCCTGTTGCAGCTTCTGCTTGTAAGCTGGGAGGAGGAACACAGCACTGTTATCTGATTTTCCGAAGTGTGGGCAGGGAATGGAGCGGTAGGCATCTTTGATGGTTGTGTAACCGTGGTCCACAATGTTTGGTCCTCTGGTGGGGCAGGAGATGTGTTGGTGGTACTTTGGCATCACCCGCTTGAGGTTGGCTTGGTTAAAGTCGCCGGCCACAATGAATAGGGCCTTGAGGAATTTTGTCTCTAGAGTATTTGTGGATGTGTAAATCTCATCTAGGGCATTCTTCACTTCCTCATGGGGTGGTGTGTACTCTGCTGTCAGGATGGCAGAGGTGAACTATCGTAGTAGGTAGTAGGGACGGCATTTTATTGTAAGGTATTCTAGGTCTGGGAAGTAATGGCTTGCCAGGGTCGCTACATCCAAGCACCAGGTGGTATTGATCAGGAAGCATACCCCACCACCCTTTGCCTTCACCTTATTCCTAAACCCTTTGATGTTTTTGAGATCTAGAAATCTCCCAATCTCTATAATGAATGAACTCAATTTTGAAACCTCCACAACCCTGTGGAGTACTGAATTAAATCAAGTTCCATGATCGCTGTCCTTGATATCTGATCCAGTTGGCCATTCTTAATGATGCTAGACAATGAGTGTGGGTAAACTGATCAGTTATGAGATATCACTTCAGAGCCCAACCCAGGCCTCATCCAGTTATTGCACTTGTGGACTTTCCATCAAGGTAGCAACCAGGAGCAGGAATCCTGGATGATACTACAGGCATTGTTTTGAAACTAAATTTGTTCATCACGTTCTCCAAATTGTAAATTTTCTAGTCTCCCCAGTTTCCCAAGCAAAATTCTCAATCTGGTGGAGACACAAGTGAGAAGTTACCCCTAAGATGCATTATACTATGTGAAATACAACAGAATAATGAAAAACAAGGTCTGGATTTTACAGGGCCTTGGAGCATATTGAGATTTCTGAGAAGACAAAAAATCATGTGAGAGGGTGGCATATCTGTTGCCTTCCCACTGCCTCTGGTATTTACCAGTGGTGAGAATGGTGGTAGTGAAGCTTCTGCATTCCCTGCCTGAGGCTATCTGAAGCCCATAAGTGACCAAATGTTGGGGGGGCACCACCTCATGGGAACATGGGAAGTAAGACCTGGTAGCCTCCATAGAATCATACATCATGGAAACTAACCCTTTGGTCCAACTCGTCTGCGCTGACCAGTCATCCCAACCTGACCTGGTCCCATTTGCCAGCGTTTAGCCCATATCCCTCTAAACCTTTCTATTCATATACCTATCCAGATGCCTTTTAAATGTTGTAATTGTACCCACCTCCACCACTTCCTCTGGCAGCTCGTCCCATACATGCACCACCCACTGCATGAAAAAGTTACCCCTCAGGTCTTTTTAGATCTTTCCTCTCTCACCTTAAACCTATGCCCTCTAGCTTTGGACTCCCCCACCCTAGGAAAAAGACCTTGGCTATTTACGCTATCCATGCCCCTCATGATTTTATAAACCTCTATAAGGTCACCCCTCAGCCTTTGATGCTCCAGGGAAAATAGCCCCAGCCTATTCAGTCTCTCCCTGTATCTCAAACACTTCAGTCCTGGCAACATACTTGTGAATCTTTTCTACACCTTCTCAAGTTTAACAACATCCTTCCTATAGTTAGGTTACCAGAATTGTACCTGGTATTCCAAAAGTGGCCTCACCAATGTTCTGTATAGCTACAACATGACGTCCCAACTCCTATACTCATTGTTCTGACTAATGAAGGCAAGCATACCAAATGCCTCTTCACCACTCTGTCTACCTGCAACTTCACTTTAAAGGAACCATGCACCTGCACCCAGAGGTCTCTTTGCTCAGCAACATTCCGCAAAGACCTACCATTAACTGTATAAGTCCTGTCCTGGTTTGCCTTACCAAGAGGCAGTACCTTACATTTATCTAAATTAAACTCCATCTGCAACTCCTTGGCCCATTAGTCCACCCGATCAAAGTCCCATTGTACTCTGAGATAATCTTCTTCACTGTCCACTACACCACCTATTTTGGTGTCATTTGCAAACTTACTAACTCTGACGGACAACGGCAAGGTGGCCCATGAGCCCAGACCAGGACCTGGAGGACAGTGGCGATGCGGCTGGTGAGCCTGGAGCGGGACCTGGAGGACAGTGGCGATGCAGCTGGTGACCCTGGAGTGGGACCTGGAGGACAGTGGCGATGCGGCCAGTGAGCCCGGAGCGGGACCTGGAGGACAGTGGCGATGTGGCCGGTGAGCCTGGAGCGGGACCTGGAGGACAGTGGCGAGGTGCTGGTGAGCCTGGAGCGGGTCTTTGGAATCAGCGTTGAGGAGGCAGCTGGTGGAGGGCTGAACTTGGGGATCCAATGTCGGTTGCTACATAAGTGGAGGCTGCTGGTAGCTTCGGCATTGAGGTGGTTTCAGCACAGCATCCGGTGGTCTGAGAATCCTTTGGGTGGTTTTTGCGATGGCGAAATCTTGCGGCCTGGGATTCCAGTGGCCCAGCATGGATGGCCTGCTTCGGTGGTGGCTTCCGGCCCGGTATTCCACCGCACGGCATCACGGTCCTGTAGCAGTATGAGCCCAGGAGCCAGGAATCAAACTAAAATGGACTTTGTCTTAATTCTTTTTTTCATTTTTTTCTTATCTATGCCTTCTGTTATTAATATAGGCGCTGTGGTCTGGTGACTTAAAAACTGTTCACTGTATGTGCTTTTGTAAACAATACAAGTGACAATATTTGACTATTCTATTCTACTCTATCATATATTCACATCCAAGTCGTTTACTTAAATGACAAAAAGCAGTGGACCCAGCACCGATCCTTGTGGTGCATCTTTGGTCACAGGCCTCCAGTCCAAATAGCAACACTCTACCACCACCAACCTTCAAGCCAATTTTGTATCCAATTGGCTAGCTCCTGTTGGATCCATGTTATCAAACCTTACTGATCAGTTTACTATGCGGCACCTTGTTGAACGCTTTGCTGAAGTCCGTATAGACACCCTGCCTTCATCAGTCTTCTTCGTCACTTCTTCAAAAAACTCAATCAAATTAGTGAGACATGATTTCCCACACACAAAGCCATGTTGACTATCCCTACTCAGTCCTTGCTTCTCCAAATGCATGTAAATCGTGTCCCTTAGAGTCCCCTCCAACAACTTACCCACCACTGACGTAAGGCTGACCGGTCTATAGTTCCCTGGTTTTTCCTTAGTGCCTTTCTTAAATAATGGCATACATTAGCCACCCTCCAGTCTTCTGGCACCTCACCCATGACTGTCAATGGTACAAAAATCTCAGCAAGAGACACAGCAATCTCTTCCTTAGCTTCACCTGATCAGGTCCAGGGATTTATCTACCTTCATGCATGTGAAGACCTCCAGCACCCTCTCTTCTGTAATATGAACTCTTTGCAAGATATCACTATTTATTTCCCCAAGTTCCCTAGCTTCCATATTCTTCTCTACTGTAAATACTGGTAGGAAACATTTGTTTAGTATCTCACCCATCTCCTGTGGTTCCACACATAGACTGCCACGTTGATCTTTAAGGGGCCTTATTCTCTTCCCTCATTACTCTTTTGCTGTTAATGTACTTATAAAATCTCTTTGGATTCTCCTTAACTCTAAGCTATCTTATGTCCCCTCTGGCCTTACCTATTTTAGCCTACCTGACTGGTCCATGTGAGTTGAACCCTATTCACCCGTATTCCAGGTCTGCTCCATGATTGTTGGTCTTGTTTGGTTGCAGTCCCTGCAGAGCCACCACTCCCAGAGGTGCTACTGGGACTGAATAGCTCTCAGCTTTCCAATTGGCTGGCAGCGCTTGGAGGTAGGAGTTTGCTCCTTAAAAAAAATGTGTCCCAACAACAGACAGTTAACTGAAGAAGGCATGTAAAATTGGATAACTAGTCAAGGCAGAGTTCCTCATGAACTTCTCGTCAGTAGGTGGGCACACCATTGCCCTGTGAAATCCCAGCCATGGTTCACTTTTTTTAAACAATTAAGAATAATTATTTCGTGCCATCTAGAAGAATCTATATTATATCTCATCTTAAACTGTTAAGTCGCTAATATAAGCTGTTTTCCATCTAGAATCTCTGTAATCAAAAGGTTAATAAGAAGTTGATGGATGAAATTTGTACACACCAACAAGAGATAGAGAAACTTAAGGAAGAGCTGCAGAAAATGCTGCAACAATTGGATTCACAAGTGAGGTGAGTAATAGGATAATTTGTCAGGGGTGATAGGGAGTATTAAGGAAATAATGGGGAATGAGCCCTGCCTTAGCTCCTGTTATGTGGTAAGAAAGTTCAGACAATCATTTATCTGGACTGGCAGCCAATTTATAGTCGTGAAAATGTTGTTGGTCTCAGTAGCAGCAACTGGACCAGTAATTCTCAATTGTGAAGTGAAGTGCCTTTCCTGTCCAATCAGAGAAAGCAAATGGAGAGAGGTCAATTACACCATTCTTGGATCAATTGAACGTATTGAAATAAAAACAGTGGGAAATCATGCACTATGGGGCTTTGTTTAAAATATTGCCCTGGCTCCTGAGATGTACATTTTCTCTGTCTGCCAACTGCAACAGTCCTCTGTGAAATGCATTAGGGAAAAAGGTAATCAATTCTTAGTGGGCATGGACAACAAAATGGTGACTACAATCAGACAGATCTATGGTGTAAAGAATGAAGAAAAACGCACTAATGTTGTAGAGTTGGTAACTGAAGGTTAGAGTTAAGACATGTTATTCATGCACTGGGGCAAAATAGAGAAAAATGAGCTCCAAAGAATCACATCAACAAATCACAGCTCCAAAGCATCATACAACAGCTGTATATGCACTATATGTTAAAGGTCAGGAATACTTTATTTCTGGCCAGTCTATCTCCAGAGATGGAAACAGAGATGTTGAGGAAGGGAAGGGAGGAGTCAGAGATAGACGAGGTGAAAGGGAAGGCAGGGTGGAAATTGGAAGTGAAATTGATGAATTTTTCCAATTCCAGACGAGAGAGGAAAGCAGCGCCGATGAAATCATCGATATATCGGAGAAAGAGTTGTGGGTGGGGGCTGGAATAGGACTGGAACAAGGAATGTTCCATGTACCCCATAAAGAGACAGACATAACTAGGACCCATGCAGGTACCCGTGGCCACCCCTCTGACCTGAAGAAAATGAGAGGAGTTAAAAGATAAGTTGTTGAGGGTGAGGATGAGCTTGGCCAAGTGGAGGAGGGTGGTGGTGGGTGGGAACGGTTCAGATCTTTGCTCCAGGAAGAAGCGGAGAGCCCTAAGACCTTCCTGGTGAGGAATGGATATGTAAAGAGATTGCATGTCCATGGTAAAGAGGAGGCGGCTGGAACCTGCAAACTGGAAGTTTTGAAACTGGTGTAAAGCGTCAGAGGAATCATGGATGTACATGGGCAGGGATTGGACCAGGGGAGAGAAGACTGAGTCAAGGTAGCAAGAGATGAGTTCCGTGGGGCAGGAGCAGGCTGAAACAATGGGTCTACCCGGACAGTCCTGTTTGTGGATTTTTGGAAGGAGGTAGAAGCAAGATGTGCGGGGCTGGGGAACAGTCAGCTTGGAGGCAGTGGTGGGGGCAGGTCACTGGATGAAATGAGATCAGTTACCATAATAGATACAATGGCCTGATGCATCATAGTGGTGTCATGGCCCAAGGGAAGATAGGAGGAGGTATCTGAGAGTTGGCGCTCAGCCTCTGCAATGTAGAGGAATTGAGGTGACCAATGTCATGTTGACAGTTCTTAATGAACAGATCGAGTGCAGGTAAAAGGTCAGAGGGAGAGGTCCAGGTGGAAGGAAAGTGTTGGAACTGGGCGAAGGAGTCTGTGGGATGGGAAGAGGACTCTTGCCCAAAGAATTGGGCACGGAAGCGAAGACCACGGAAGAAGAGTTTGACGGTGTGTCGTCCCTGAAATTCATTAAGGTGGGGACGCAGAGGAATAAATCTAAGGTCTTTGCTGAGTTCAGAACATTCAGCATCGGAGAGCAGAAGGTTGGGAGAGATGGTGAATACCTGACAGGAAGGAGTTGGGAGAAGGGATGGAGTCAGAGAGAAGGGGAGGGAAGGAAGGTTCCAGACGGTCATGGTATCTTTGAGGTGTTGCATCTTGTGGGTCTTGATGGCTGAAAGGAAAAGAAAAAGTTTATTGTTAGCATGACGAATGAGCCAGAGGATGAAGTGGAACTGTGAAGTGGTGCAACCCTGAGCCAGTGTGTTGCGACGCTGTTGGAGAGAAAGGTCGAGAGTGTGCATGTGACGCCGCATGGCACTGAGTGTGGATCTCAGGATGCGGCGAGAGCAACTGCCCATGGAACATTGAACATCATGGAGATATCGGTGATCCTGGGAGGATTCAAAACATTAGGAATGAAAGGGAATCCATTGAGAGGATTCAAAACATCAGGGATGAAAGAGGTGAGTCTGAGCTGAAGGCAGTTACTGAGCAATGTGATATGGCTGTGGAAACGAGTTTTGGCAAATATTTGGTCAAACACCAGGAGTGGCAGTGAAATTAATGTCGGTGGACAAGAAGAAAGATTGAATGGAAATTCCGTCGGAGAGAAGAGCAGAACTTCTTCAAGGTGGGCATGCCTGGAAGAGATGTGGCAGTGAGTTAAATACTAAATAAAAACCGAAAGAACTGCGGATGGAACAAAAACAGAAGTTGCTGGAAAAGTTCAGCAGGCCAGGCAGCATCTATGGAGAAAAAAATCAGAGTTAACATTAACTCTGTAGCAGTTCTTTTGGTTTTTAATACTTTATTTCTGACTCTCTTTGATTGGGAAAGATCCATATCAACTAGCAGTTTGACCTTACCTGCAGTTGAACAAAGTACCAGGGACTATTCCTGTCAATGCAATATTAATCTTTGCCATTACCATATTACCTTTTCAAAACACTAACAAAGTGTTCCTGCAGGCAGTAGCAGCACCTCAGTTATGAAGTTGTGCTGCTTCTGAAATCAAAGTTGATGCTGAGCACCAGTATGTACAATAAAGCAGATTTCAAAGCAAGTTTGCCTCATAATTTGTAAGTATACTATAACACTAGGTGCACAGTTTCCATGGCTTCTAAACTATGATATTTCTCTTTTATTATTTTCTTAAGTGTCAGTTTTGACACTCTGCTATTCTGCTGGCGGCCTTAACAATAGATATCCCCCAAAGAACGCTACTTAAACATGTTGTCTAGTCACCATGCAATTGCTGTTCATCATGCTGGCTGTGGACAAATTGGCTTCTTTGTTTGCTTATATTAAAACCATATCTCAACATTGAAACGTTAAATACACAAGAGTAGGAGTGCATCCTTTCCACCATTGAAATTGTTGCGCACATTTCTCCACCATATTTTGTTACAGAGACGGCAGGCAGGAATAAGAGTCAGAGAAAAAGGTTTCCAAGCCAGCAACCTCTTTACTCTTCTTGAAGCAAGGCCTGTTTAAAAATCCTCCAGAGAAATCTACTCAGAATAAGAAAAGCATTGTGCAAGGGAAAGGCAACAGCTGTACAGTATGAACCCATATCTCAATTTCTCAAGGGATATTATTGGCTCTGAAGCACTTTGGGAACCTGAAGATATGAAAGGGGTGAAATAAATCCAAGATTTGTTTTTCTTTCTGACCAGATTGTATAATGAGAAACAGATGAGACACAAACAGAAGCTGCGCAAAGCTAAAGAGATCTTTATCCGTGAAGTGATGCTGCGAGATGGTAAAATAAAACACTTGGAAAGTGAGATCAAATTGATGAAAAACCTAATGGATAAGGTCAGTCTGTTTACTTGTAGATCAATATGTGTGTTCAAGCCATGTTCCAGGCATTGAGCATGTATCACTGCAGCAATAAAGGAGAGCTGTATTCTCATAAATGCCACTTTTCACACAGGGAGCGGAATTTTCCACAATGTAGGAGCAAATTACTGCAGATGCTGGAATCTGTAACGAAAACAAAAAATGCTGGAGATCACAGTGGGTCAGGCAGCATCCATGGAGAGAAAGCAAACTAACATTTTAAGTCAAGATGACTCTTCATCAGAGCTGAAGTGAAGTGTGGAGGAGGCAGCATTTATGTAATAGTTGGGGGATTGGTTAGAGTGGTGGGGGAGAAAGGATGTTGATAGTACAGATTAAGTGATCAGTTCAGCGGTTACATGGGAAGGTGCTGTGGGAAGGGGGGTGTTCGAGGAATGCTCTAGCGTGTCCCAGAGGGAACATCCCCAGCAAAATGCAGACAGTGGGAGTGAATGGAAGATATGTTTGGTGATGGCATTCTGCTGGAGTTGTCTAAAATGACGGAGAATGATCTTTGAATGTGGAGCCTGGTGGGATGAAAAGTGAGAACAAGGGGGACCCAATCACACTGTTGTAAGTGATGGGAAGGGGCAAGGGCAGAAGCACAGGTGATAGGTCGGATGTGGTTGAGGATCCTGTCAACCACAGTGTGAAGGAAACCACAATTATGGAAGAAGGAAGCTAGGTCAGCAGCGCTGTTTTGGAAGGTGGCATCAACCGAACAGATATGACAAACCTTCCCATGTAACAGTAGAATGTGCAGCACCTGCCCCTTCACCCCTGCGCTGCTCACCATCCAAGAGCCTAAATAGTCTTTCCACGTGAACATTTCACATGTACTTCCTCCAATCTTGTGTATTGCGTTTGCTGCAACCAATGTGGCCTACTCTACGTTGGAGAAATCAAACGCACACTGGGTGACCACACTGCAGAGCACCTCTGGTCCATGCACAAGCATGACCCCGACCTTCCTGTAGCCGGTCATTTTAACACATTGCCCTGTTCGCATGCCCACATTTCTGACCTTGGCATGCTACAATGCTCCAGGAATCACAGCGAAAACTGGAGGAACAACTAGGCATTTTACAACCTCTGGGCTCAACATTTAGTTCAAGACCTTCAAATTGTGAGGCCATTCCTTCCCTTTCTTTTAGCTTTGCTTGTTACGTTCTCTGTCACCATGTCCTTTCTCCCCTCCCCTCAATCCAGTGGGACTGCCTGTTCTTTCCAGTCTGGCAGTTAGGTACACCATTGTTCTGGCATTATCACATTCCGATCACTTAATCTGAACTATCGACATACTTTCTCTCCTGACACTCCAGAGTCATCTTGACTGGAAATGTTAGCTTATTCTCTCTCCATGGATGCTGCCTGACCTGCTGTGAACCCCAGCATTTTTTGTTTTGAGAGCAGAATTTTTATGTTCACCCACCAGAGGGTTTGTTGGTTGTTTGTTTGGGTGGGGGGCGGTGCTGTAAAATTCCTGGCTGGCCTTTGTGTTTCCCTCCCTCATGCACCACTCTTTCTGCAATGTTACAATGGTACAGGCAAGGCCTGGGGTACTGCAACTCCACTTGCCCCAACTGAGGACCTTAAGTAGGCAATTAATGACCATTTAAGGGCTGTTACCCGCTCAGTCCCAATTTTGAGGCTAGTAGGAGCTGTTCATGTGGGGCTATGGAGAGAAATCGTGGGCCCAGATGCTTCTTATGTTCCAAGCCTCTTATCACCATGCTAACCATACACTATTATGCATTTCAGTGCACTTTACATCAAAAGTATGCACAGACAGCACAAACTCCATTTTGAACCTTGAAGCAGTCTTACAGCAGCTAAAAATCCAATTTTACTCCCAGTACCTGGTCTTTTCTGTTTGTGAATTTTGCTAAGTGCGCATTGGGTGTCAGGATTTCCTACATTGCACTGACCACAAAAGTACCTCACACAGCTCCCGAAAAGGACTTTTGTGTAGTTGTGAAAGGCACTCAAAACCAATTGGAATTCAGTGGAACCAGTTGACATGTAGCTGCTTCAACGATTCTTTAAACTGGAAACTGTACCAATTGAAGTCAATTAGATACATCAAGACAAAGATTGCCTGACATGAGCAGCTTAAAAAAAATTCCCACTATCTATGGCAGAGCCATTTTGTGATTTTGTTGCCACAGGATCCTACCACAAAGAACCAAATTATGATCTTATATTTTAAAAATTACTATGTCACTGATTTTTGTCTCTCATGCAAGTTTTCTGTCATAACTAGGAATATTTTCCATTGGAGAAGCCTTTGGAATTGTTACAACATTTGTTTTCCTCTCAATGATCCTGTATAATGTATTTCAAGCTTGTTCAATAAAGATAATCCATATTCCATTGTGGCCTCCTGCATGTATACACCCTGAGAGGATTAATTGTTGACCTGGAAGTATTCCAGAACTACAGGCTTAGTTGTTCCCATACTCAATAACACCGGTCCCTCATCACTCCTCCCACCTGATGGTCACTTCTTTCTGACTCCTCCCATTTGTCTCAGTGGCAGCCCTGCTCTTAAAGCAGAAAGAGGCCTGGAATCTTGGCCAAGGAGTATGAATTGTCGACACTATAAGCCATAGAGTCATACAGCACAGCAACAGGCCTTACGGCCCAATTCATCCATGCCAACCAGGTTTCCTAAACTGAACTAGTCCCATTTGCCTATGTTTGGCCCAAATCCCTGTAAATTTTTATATCAGTTTGCCTGTCCAATGTCTTTTTAAATTTGTAATTGTACCCGCCTCTACCACTTCCTCTGGCAGCTCATTCTATGTGTGCACCACTCTCTGTGTGAAAAAGGTACCATCAAGTCCATTTTAACTCTTTCCCCTCTCACTCTAAACCTAAACCCTCTCATTTTGGACTCCCCTACTCTGGGGAAAGGACCTTGGCTATTCACTTTATCTATGCCCCTCATGATTTCATAAACCCTTATAAGATCACCCCTCAGCCTCCTGTGCTCCAGGGAAAATATCCTAGCCTATTCAGTATCTCCCATAACTTAAACATTCCAGTCTCAGTAACATCCTTGTAAATCTTTTTTGCACCATTTCCAGTTTAGTAACATCCATCCTACAGCAGGCAAACCAGAATTGTACACAGTATTCCAAATGTGGCCTTACCAATGTGTGGTACAGCTGTAACATAATGTCCCAACTTCTGTACCCAATGCTCTGATTGATGAAGGCAAGCATGCCAAATGCCTTCTTCACCAGCCTGTCTACCTGTGACGCCACTTCCAAGGAACTAGGTACATGGTTTGACAACACTCCACAGGCCTTTTCCATTAACTGTGTAAATCCTGTCCTGGTTTGTCTTACCAAAATGCAACACCTTGCACTTATATGGATTAAACTCCATCCACTCTTGCTCAGCCCACTGACTCAATTGATCAAGATCCCGTTGTACTCTTAGATAATCTTCTTCACTGTCCACTATACTACCAATTTTGGTGTCATCAGCAAACTTACTAACCATGCCTCCTACATTCTCATCCAAATCGTTTATATAAATTATCAACAACAGTGGACCCAGCACCAGTCCTTGCAGCACACCGCTGGTCATAGGCCTCCAGTCTGAAAAAAACCCTCTACCACCACCCCAAGTCTCCTACTGTCAAGGCAAATTTGTATCTAATTGTCTAGCTCTCCCTGGATCCCATTTAATCTAACCTACTAACCAGTCTACCATGCAGTACCTTATTGAAGGCCTTCCTTAGCTTCCCTAGCTTCCATGTCTTTCTCCATCACCTTTCTCCTTCACTTGACAAAGGAGCAGCATTCCAAAAGCTTTTAATTAAATATAAATTTGTTATACTATAATCTGGATTTGAGTGACTTCTGATTGTGTCCACCCCTGTCCAACATCTCCACATCATTTCCCCATGGTAAATACTGATGAGAAATATTTGTTCAGGATCTCACCCATCTCCTATGTTTCCACACATAGATGGCCCTGTTGATATTTAAGCGGCCTTATTCTCTCCCTAGTTTCCCTTTTGTCCTTAATATACTTGTAAAATCTCTTTGGATTCTCCTTTACCCTATCTGCCAAAGCTATCTCATGTCCTCTTTTGCCCTCCTGATTTCCCTCTTAAGTATACTGCTATACCCCCTTTACTCCACAAGGGATTCACTTGATCCCACCTGTCTACACCTGACATAAGCTTTCTTCCTGTGAGGTAGCAATAGAGGTTGTGTGGGTAAACATAACGCAGAGACAGGCATTTTACCTTGCACTCCAGCCAAGTGTGAAGAAAGCCCTTGCCACCACATTGCCCAGTAGAAACTGAATAGTCTTCACATGGGCCAAGCAAGAAAGAGGACTTGGGATTCTAGTTTGACCTACTTAGCTAATGATTGCTATATCGAAGTATCCAAGACATTCAGATTGACAAGCTACCCAGCCAATGATTGTTGTTCTGGCATTGAGCCTGGTTTCCAGAGTATAGGTCTTGGTGTTTTGCACTTTGTGCACCCCTCTTCTGGGTCCTGAATTCAGCAGTGGGGACACCCAAAAAAAAGAAGTCAACCTGTTCTGGTCTCCAGTAGGGAAGAGTTTGGGGTACCTCCATCAGTAGCCTCTTTTCAACATTGGATACACCTGCAGATTAATTCCCCACAACAACTTCTCCATCTACAACTCCCCGGCCATCCTCCCAGGTCATCACTTCCGCTCCCCGCCCTGAGACCCTGGCATATACCTGGTCTTGTATCTGGAAATTGCTTGTAGTCTTAGTCCTGTCCATTGCTGGGACAACTCAGCCAATCAGTTTTGACCACATCTCTCTGAGACGGACATCATCCCATGTGAAGGGTAGAAATTGCATCTCCGGCCAACAACTGCAGGACAGCCAGTATTAGTTGGAATGCATTTGCCAAGAACTCTACAGGTGGTGGCCCAGGAAACTCTGCCATCTGAAAAATTCTTCATGAATTATAATGAAATTTTGTTTAAAGTCAAAAGGAGAGTAGAGAGTTGCTCTAATGAGCATGTCTTCTTCATTTTGTGCTACCAATGCAGATTAACTGATTTTTAATCTCTTTTGTTGTTTTAATCTGTGCTGTTTTATTAGAGAATTTTGTGTGCAATTAGCTACACATTTGCACATTAAACTGTCATTACTATATTGAGCATTGAGATTTCTCAGGCCATGATAAGCCTTCCTTAGTTCAACAGAAAAATATCTGTCTACTTCATCCAGTTCTTAATTAGTGCAGGTACCATGTGATTCAAGGGCATACAGCAAGAAGACTTTTGCTAATATCCATGTACTGTGCTGAGTTAACTGATCTTAGCCAGATCAGCAATACTGTACTTGGGCACAATGCCAATGGGAGGGAGGACAGATATCAATTATATTTTCCATTCCCCAATATTTATATTTTGTTGACATTCTTTCTCTTGATCAAGGAGAATAACCACTTGGTACTAAAGAATGCCAAACCCTTCCCCAGCAGGTCTCTGCATCTTCAGGAGAGGAGGAAGAACTTCAAGGATTAAACATATTCCATTTCAGTAAAAAAAAAAATCTGGGAAGAACACTGGCAACTTGCATTGTTGATGAACTCTTGGACAAAAGGCTGTTGTGTTTGATTTTAAGGACATGTCAATTTTTGTTGATTTGTGGCCATAAAGCAAAATAGGTTATAAAATCATTAAGTTCCCTGGTAATAGAGGAAGTTTATTTTGTTTGTAACCTGTGATGTAGCTGACTTGGGAATACTTGCCAGTTGATAGTTAGAAGTGAGCGTTACTCTGCACCTAGCTCACAGTGGACCTAACCTGTGTGATCCCGACATTGTTGCCATGTTTGAAAGTTGCTTAATTTCCCAGCACTAACACCAGTGATCCTAACAAGCATTAAGAATTTATTCTAAAAATTAACAGTCTAAAAAACAGGACAACAATTCATGCTCATATTGTTTCTTTTCACCGATTAACAGGAACATGCCTGGAATATGAAGGTCACATATGAAAATGATCTGCTTCTTGTTGAGAAAAGAGAGCTTCTACAACAGTTGAGTGAGCAAGAGGATGCTGTGCGGAACAACAATTCAGTTGTCTGCAATGTAAAGCACAGGTACCCGCATTTCAACTGTATTCTCCTGTGCATTAGAATTTCCTTTGTGAAAGTTTATTTTTCTGTGTGTGCAAGAGAGGTAAAATTGCAAACAGGAGCCTTGAAATCTGGCAAGCTGTGGAGTAATGTAGGATTGAACCTGTTTAACTGGCCAGATCACCATCATTTTTTTTGCCATTGCAAAGTTCCACCAGAGATGGGAATGCACACGTCTCACATACAACTTGTCCATGCAGAAATTATCAGTGGGACTGGTTGGGTTACACTGTCTTCTCAAAACCCTAATATGACTGTATGAAACAGGCAAAGGTGAGATTTGATATAATCCAAAATATCTCTTGTACTACAACATTCATATGCAGAGCTGGCCTTCAAGTTGCTTTTAAGTGATCTTTGTCTAGTTTAGACAGTCTTAAATTGTGACAGTGAGTTACAGAGAACTCCCACACACCAAATGAGTTCTAGGTTGTCAAGTTTATTTTTATTTTTAGGAAAAATATTTTAATTTGTGTGTTTCTGTCTTACTCCCAAGTGATTTTTTTTTCATTTCTACTTGTTTTGCTTTATTTTACAACTTCCTCAGGCCATTGTTATGCTCAAAAACAATAACCTGAATTTTGATAGAGTAGTGGGGGCCCTAACAGCAGGTCAGAAAACTGGAGGATACCTGCCTTGGCTATTTCCAGAGGCTGTATTCCAAATATATGGCAATTAAGAATTAATTTCCTGTTATCAGTGTTTCTGGGTCTTTCAGCGGTTAGATCTGGTTTCCAAGTGCTACCAATCAATTGCAGGAGCGACTGCTCTTTGGTCACAGCAGTGCCACCAAGACCAATGACCTGTGCTGGAACTGCACCCAACCCGGAGCCACAAGTGGATGCCACCCTAGAACCAAGTTAAATAGGATCATGGTCACGGGGTGTGTGTGGCAGGGGAAGGTCAGTAAAGTGAGCTCTGTCAGTGTGGGGGGCGAGTGGTTGGTGAATGGGAGGGGAGAGTTGTTTCCACAGGGTCAGCCCTTGCAGTTGAGCATCACTCTGTGTTCCATAGTGTCAAGTTACAAAAGCTCCCTTTTGAGCCTGGAGGAAGCTGCCAGGTTTTGCCTGTGTTGTCCACATGAAGCAAAGTGCACTTACTGCTGGTAAAATGCCAGTGGTGGTGAGAAATGACCCTTAGTTGCCCACTTACAGGTCTCAGTTGACCTTGAATGGAAAATCATCCATGATGTTCCCCTTTCAGAGAATTACATGGCATGAGGAAACCACCCCAACACCAAGGGCACCATTAAATTCCACGCTATGTGCATCCATCACGTACTTAATTCTCAGCATGATGGTGTAAATAATCACTGTTCTTGATGAGATAATTATTGAGGAAGATATATGCAAACAGATATGTCAGAAATGGTTTGTTGATTCACTGGACAATATCTAAAGCAGAACTTCAGATATCACGTAATGGTAAGTGGAGAAGCAGGTACATGCACAGGAAGTATTAAAATTTTGTATTTTTATACAATGGTCTTTTTCCAACATGGACGGATCTCCCTCCCCCATAAAACCTTTGTATACTGTTAGCAATTTGAAGCTGAGGGTTTAACATTCATATTCTATTTACTAACTACTCATTTAGTCTTTAACTTCATGCTACCAATAAAGAACAGCCAAAGATGAAAGGTCTTTCGCCGCTTAGAACATTCCCAAAGTCTGTCCCTTTGGTTGCACCTGCCTGACTTCTTTTGAAAGCATACTCTGTGTTTATTTTATCTGTGCTTATGATTTTCTTTTACATCCACCCAGCACCATTCTAGAATCTGAGTTTATCGATTATTATCTCCTCGCTCACACCTTCCGAACTTTGGATCATTCTTTTTCCTTTACCCAGTCTCTTTTCCAATGCAGCAAATTTTAAGAGACCTGTTGTACTGGTTCAACCTTTTGGTGTTTAAACTAACTGCTGTATTTGTTCGTTTGATTGAAGGATTGACAGACATTTTTAAAAACACATAATTTGTTTATACATGGCACAGTTAACGTAAGTACAGTAATGCATATCCCAAAAGATACAAATATTTAATAAGTCTTTACCAAGTAAATTAAATGATTTACATTTGTATAGTGCTTTTAATATTGTAAAATATTCCAAGACACTTCTGCTTGCAAGTAAAAGTTGACTCCACAGTTTACCAGAACTGATAACTAAAAACCATGGTCAAAAGAAAAGGTTTTACAGAGTGTCTTAAAGGAGGAAAGAGAGGTTGAGGAGAGAGAAGGTTAGGAAAGGAATTCTGGAGCTTGGGTCCTGATATGCAAAGCACAATCTTGTTAATGCTTTCATTTAAATAAAGGAATCATCTTTGTCTCTTTTTATGTTGGGTGGTATGAGACTTGTTAAATTCTTAAATCCCAGTTAATTAAGATTTGACCCTTCAGAACCCATTGAGTTTTCAAAATAAATTAACAACCAATTTAGCTTTTGCTACAGGATGTACCTTTATTCTAAAGTTACTACTGCAGTCTCGATAGCATCATCATGAAGTAAATTAATCCCCTAGTTGGTAGGCTTTTCATATTTTAATTTTCCTTTTCCCCCTCCCCACTAGATCTTGTGTCTCTGGTGCCTGCCCACCTCTGCTGTTGTCAGCAACAAGAACTGTTGACGACCAAGGCCAGTGGAAATCCCAAAAATCGGCATCCAGGTCAGTCCTTGATGTCACCTGGGAGGCTTTTTGAGTCAGAATAATTCAGTATTGCCCGGTTCCACTGCTGGAATAGGAATAACAAATTAGCACCAAGATGTTTGCTGTCAGTGAGGAACATTTGATAAGGTTCAAAACAGAGTAAGAAGCTTGATGATTGCAAGCAACTCGATTGTTGAGAATGCATTGTCAAATGCACAGGTATTCATGCAATATTATGAGGGTTTCCCTACTGAATCTGTAGATTATCCAGTGAATAGCTGAGGCACACAGACGAAAAGCAACAATGGCTTGTATTTATGTTGCACCTTTAATGTTTAGAACATCCCAGTACTTCAGAGTAGTGTCATTAAACAAAATATAGAACATAAGGAGATATTAGGTCAGGTAACCAAAAACCTGGCCAAAGAACTAGGTTGTGTGAAGCGTCTTAAAGAAGGAGGTGGAGAGGCATAGTAGAAGGAATTCCAAAGTGTAGGGTCTGGGCAACTGATGGGGCAGAAAGTCGCAACAAGTGACCTCAGTGTAACTACGCTCAGCGTTAGGGTGGGAAATTTGATACATTTTTGCTGTCAGTTGCTGTCTGGTGGAACATTGCTAAATTAAAGATTATTTTACTTTAGAAGTTAAGTTCAAAGTCTACATTGCAGGTCAGTACCAATATACAAAAATGATGAGTTAAGTTATGAAGTAGTGATTAGCAATACCAGTTTAAAATTTAAAAGACTAGTCAGTTAGATTTCCGTAGTGAAAGTCAAGTACTGCAGATGCTGGAGGTCAGAAAAGAAAACAAAAAGTGGTTGAGAAACTCAGCAGGTCTGACTGCATCTCTGGAGAAAGGAAAAACTGGGTTAGCATTTCAAGTCCAATGTAATTCTTCTTCAGAGCTCAAGCAGCATGGTCTAAAGAAGACTTATATTGGACTTCAAACATTAACTCTGTTGCTGCTCCAGAAGTGCTGCCAGATGTGCTGAGTTTCTCCAGCATTTTCTGTTTTTATTGTGTAGTTCTGTAGTCTTTGGAAAGTAGTGATTTTGTTTCATGGACAGAGGACTGGAAAATGACCAGGGAAGGAGACAGAAAAGGATAAAGGTAATTATAGATTAGTTAGTTTAACATGTCATTATAAAAAATGTTAGAGCTTATTTAAGACGATGTTATTGCAGAGCATTTGGAAATATTTAATATAATCAAACAGTCAGCATGGCTTCATCACAGGGCAATCAAGCCTGAGAAATTTATTAGAATTCTTTGATGCAGTAACAAGCAGGATAAGTAAAGGGGACTCAGTAAATGTAATATATTTGCATTTCCAAAAGGCATTTGATAAGGTTACTGCACTTTCGGCTACTTCTTAAAAGCTCATTGTGTTGGGAATGGTCAATTTGCATGGATAGAGGATTGGCTAGCTAATAGAAGACAAAAAATTGGAATAATGGGGGCATTTTCATGCTAGCAACGTCTAACTAGTGGAGTGCTACATGGATCACTAACTTTGTTGTAATCCGCAAATTTACTGACCATGCCTCCTATATTCTCATCCATCAGAAGGCAAGTAATAAGAATGACACAAAGAGTCTGCAAGGGGATATGGACAGGTTAAGTGAGAGTAAAAACATGTCTGCAGTGGGTAATGCTTGTCAGATGGAACATAATATGGGAAAATGTGAGGTTATGCGCTTCAGTAGGAAGAATAAAGGGGCTGATTATTACTTAAATAGAGGAAGACTGCAGAAAGCTGCAGAATAGAGAGTTTTGGGACCCCTTGTTCATAAATCACAAAAAGCTAGCATATAGGTTTAGCAGGAAATAGAGAAGGCAAATACAATTTTGTCCCATTATTTCAAAGGAATAAAGTATAAAAATAAAGGAGTCTTGCTAAATCTGTACAAGATGCTAGTCAGATCACATCTGGAATACTGTGAATAGTTTTGATCCCCTCATCTAACGAAAGATATGCTGGTATTTAAGACAGTTCAGAGTAGGTTCACTAGGCTGATCCCATGTATGGACGGATAGTCTTCAAGAAGAGGTCTTTACTCTTCAGAGTTTAGAAGAATGAAGAGACAACCTTATTGAAACATACAAGATTCTTAGGGGCTTTGACAGGGTAGATGTAGAGAGGTAATTTCTCTTTGTGGGAGTGTCAAGGACCAGAGACCATAATTTCAGAGTAAGTGTTGCCCATTTAAGACATAGATGGAGGACCTCCTTCTCTCGGAAGTGTGAACCTGTGGAATTCTTTACTGTACAGGCTGGGTAGTTAAGTATATTTAAGACTGAGATAGACAGATTTTCAGTCAGTAAGGGAATCAAGGATGATGGGTAAAAGCAAGAAAGTAGATTCGAGAATTATACGATCTGTCATGATCTCAATGAATGGCAGAGCATATGAGGTGAACCAAATTGCCGATCTCTTCTCCTACATCTTATAGTCTTATAAAGCAAAAATTTGGAAATGTCAATGGGTTCATCTGGACTAGTTATTAGGTTTGTAAACTTCAACTGTTCTGTGGAATGGAGCAACAGATGTCAGGAGAATTTCACGCAAAGAGTGATCAACTTTTTGGGTAGGGTAGTGAAGCCAGACATTCTGGAATCTTTTAAAGAATGTACGCATGATGATGGAACTGGAAGGTTGAATTTAGCTGTATCAGTTAAACCCACAGAGTGGACAGGAAAACCTGAACTGTTTCAGGTCTCTTTTGAGGAGGTAATCTAGAGTTGGACTCGAGGTTGCTTAATGTAGTTGGGAAACCCTTCAGATGTAGAGGGAAATATGACATAAGTTTAAGGATGGAGCAAATAAAATGGCACTTGAAGTATTAAAATATAAATACATTGGAAAAATGATAAATGCATGATATCTATTCCCTTTATGACTCAGTGGGTGAATGCACTGTCATTCTGACTAGAATGATCCCTGATCTGTGCCAACTTAGTTGATTCAAGCCATAATATCAGTAGGAACAGTTTCAATCAGCTTGGTTTGGTTGGACAAAGGATAAATACTGACCGTAAGATGTAGGAGCAGAAGTATGCTCTGCCATTCAGTAAGATCATGGCTGATCCAATAATCATCAACTCCACTTTCATGCCTTTTCCCCATAACCCTTAATTCTCTTACAGATTAAAAATCTGCCTATCTGATTCAGCCTCAACAGCCCTCTGTAGTAGAGAATTCTACAGATTCACTACCTTCTGAAAGAAGAAATTCTTCCTCATCTCTGTCTTAAATGTGTGACCTCTTATTTGGAGGTCATGCCCTCTGGTCCTAGACTCTCCCACAAAGGGAAACAGCCTTTCTGCATCCACACTTTCAAGTCCCATAAGAGGGGAATAGAAAGTTGGGGTGAAGGATGGGAAGGAGTGAGTCAGCAGCAAGGGCAGATCCCTTGATCTCGTCTGAGTGCCTTTGAACGAAGGTCTACTTAAGGTCCTCAATTGAAGTGGACAGGTACAGCAACCATGACCCACTCCACCAGGAACTTCACTGGGCCAAAGGCAGAAGGTAGGGTCCCTAACTGCCTCTTTACTGACTAATTAATTCCCACCACATCTCATATGATCAAATTCATCTCAGGGCATTAAATTCTGTCCAGTGTTATCACAATGGAACATGACCAAACTACACAGTATATTGAGACTGTAGTTAGTAGCAGCAGCAGTGATTGAGCAAGTTGTTCTCCGATTATCATCTTCATTTTATTGAGTTCTGCTGGAACACAGCTGGAAAGGGCAGCATTTATTGTCCATCCTTAATTTCCCTCGAACTGAGTGGCTTACTGGGCCATGTCAGAAGGCAGTTAAGAGTCAATCACATTGAGGCAAGTCTCGAGTCACAGACAGGATAGATCAGGTAAGGATGACCAACATTCTTCCCTAAAGGGCCTTAGTTAACCAGGTGAGTTTTTATAGCAAATTAAAACCGAAAGAACTGCGGATGCTGTAAATCAGGAACAAAAACAAAGTTGTTGAAAAAGCTCAGCAGGTCTGGCAGCATCAGTGAAGAGAAAAACAGAGTTAACGTTTCGGGTCTGGTGACCCTTCCTCAGAAGTTCTGAGGAAGGGTCACTGGACCTGAAACGTTAACTGTGTTTTTATCGTCATAGATGCTGCCAGACCTGCTGAGCTTTTCCAGCAACTTCTGTTTTTGTTTCTGAGTTTTTATAGCAATCAAGTATAATGTTATGGTCACCTTCATTCTTTATATTCCAGACATTATTAACTGAACTTAAATTAGACAATCAGCTGTGGTGGGATTTGAACCCATATCCCCATAGCATGAGCCTGGTCGTGTGGAATATTAGTCCAATGACATTACGTCCCACTTCTCTTGGTTTGTTGGTATATGATGAAAGAAAATGGTGTGATGATCTCAGTATTTGAGAGTGAAAGGTTCCAGAGTAAAGGTTACTGTACTGTAAAATGCAAGCAGCTGGATCCCACATGCTCCTGAAATGCCCAGATCCTAGCTCCTATGTGTAACCTGTGGTCAAACAGCTTTGTGGTAGGAATATAAGTTAACGTTTAAGGGAGACTGGCCCATCATCAGGCTAACATAGTCAAGCTGGAGAAGCCCTATTTGTATCCCTCATGAAGGGTCCATCTGACAAATCTAGCCTCAAGTCCAGAATGTAAGGCAGATTAACTGAGAGGTGGAACAGCTTCTTCACATTTGTACCCCCTAGATTTTTAATTCCCTCCATTTTTCCTCTTTTGAAATGTAAAGTATCAGCTGAGAAGACAGGCCACACCTTGTACTTTATCAATGTCGCAGAAATTGATATTACAGAATCTTTCTAATTGCCCTAAATCTCTGTGGTGGTAGGAGATGGGAGTTGATGCTTTCTGTGCACTGTTGTTCAATTTCTTTAAAGAAATTAAAAGATGGTGGAGTTTACCGATCTACAAATCCTGGCTTCCTTGGGATATCTCCCACTGAACATGGCAAGATCCTAGTGATCAGGAAGTTCCACATCTGCTCTCAGTTTGTGCCACATTTACTGCTGCAACTAGACTCAGCACCCATTACTTTGGCAGGGCAGGGGATTAGCCAAAGAACCTGTCACCCCTTCCAGAACATGCTTGCATGTGTGATCATTGGGTGAAGACAAAATTGGCCTATGATGTGATGGCTTCTATAGTCAAAATAGCCTGCTAATGTTCACCTTCAAGGCCCAACATGAAGATTGGCCAATGAGAGCTGCTTCCTTTGGAGTTGTACGCCAACAAGGAGTCAACACCTTTTGAAAGTGGAAGTGGAGAGAGAAAAACTGGTGGCAGGGGAATATAAATACAGTTCAGTCTCCATACACTGCTAATAGTGGACAATATTGATTGATTGCCTTTCACTCACATTTTAGGATTAACTACCTGGAAGAGGAGAACAAACAGCTTCAAGACGAGACCGTGAAGTTGAGTGACCGGCTTGGTTCATTGGAGCGCTCTCTAAAAATAATTAAGACGGTAAATGGTATAGAATGAGTTGGATAGTGCTCCAAACATTGTCCAACCTTTTTTTTTGCTTGTTTTCTTTTCCCATTCTGACAAGGCCTGTGTGCTGCATTGCTTAAAGGTTTTCAATTAGACTAAGCATTAAGAGCCTTCCAGTGCAGTGCCAGTGGAACTATTCCCAGTGAGAAGGAAGGAAGATCCCACAATTTTTCATGTGTAACTGAAAATGAATGTCACTCAAGTGACTTCAACCACAGGTGGCAAACAATGACACCTTTCTTCTGTTGCTGGCTTCTACACAGGAACACAATTGTTCTCACAGAAAATGGCAGATTAACCATTTTTAATCTAAAGGGCAATGCTGATTGGCAAATTAGTCACTGCTCAAATAGGGTTTTGTTGTTTGGCAAATCTGCAGTTAATTCTAGAACTCATGACCAAAAGTATCATTTTCACTACTACAGTAATGTAATGAAATAACAGCTGGGTATTAAAGCACCAGAAAATTATCCCTGAAATTTTATACATCATATTAAACTGTGTGTTCAATAATTGACTGAATCTTGCAACTGTAGATCTACCATATGTTAAACCCATTTATCAGCTTAATTATTGCCCTGACTAACTGAAATACAGTATAAGTGCTGATGTCTTAGATAAAATTGTCACTATCACGTATTCCTTTGCCTATGTATGTGCCCAGAAACTATAGTTGTTACTGAGATGTATGAGTAATAACTGAAAAATTTGCAGCTGAATTTTTGATGCAATGTTCCTTTGATTATGAAAATTATCCAATAGTACTATTAAAGTGTAACCTCAAATGACAGTTTGAATTGTAACTTAAGAGGTTGAAATAATGTTGGTGAGAGCCATTTGTAGTGACCAGATAAAGATCAAGACTGGTAAGATATAGTGACTTAAAAATGATTCCTACCCCGTCACCCCATGCTTTGAATTCATCAACAGATTTGCCCCTTTAAACTTCAGAAGAAATTTTAATAAGACATTTAACCAGAGTAAGTTCAGTAAATCTAGATCAATACTTTAAGATACATAGCATAGAAGGGTAAGTCGACACAGAGCCAAGGCTCAGAACAGCAAATTTAAGCTAGGTGTTCAAATTTTTTTTGAATACGGAGTGTGATTAACAAATGAAACATAGTTAATTAAAGGAGTTCTGAAGGCATTGTTTTAATTTAAGAAACAGTTTGATGCTGTACTGGAGACATGGTAGGTTCTGTACTGCAAACCAAATGGCTGCCTTCATCTGCATCTATCATATATACACTGTGCTGCCTTCACTCTTATGGTCACCATCCTAACATTTTGTGTGTCTGTTCTTTCTATTAGGATCCTTCAAAGTCGCAGCATCATGAGAATTTGTCCGTGTCCTTTCCCCAGGATGTTTGCAGGCTTTCTTACCATGAAACTTCTGTAAAGAATAGCAACTTCACATCTTCAACACGGTATTGCAATTACTGTAAATGAAATTTATTTGTTTCTGTTCTTTTGCAGTTCTTCAGTGTTTAAAGCCAGCACTTGAAAGCTGCACAAGTCCAATGAATCTTGTATTTGATTCTTGGGCATCTATTCACTGTGTTACCTGATTCTGGCAAAGGAGCTGGAGAAATGCTACAATTGGCCTCAGTATCCCAAGGATAGGGAAAATACGGTCAGGTTTCCTAGTCCTAATTAGTATCTAACAACCTGAGCTGAATCATGTATGCATGTGAGGATGGCAGGGAAAGACAAGGCCTTGTTGTTGCAATCCACTCTGCTGAAGTATCTTAGTGACACTTGTTTCTAAAATAACCCATCAAAGCTGTGGGTGACTTCCCGGATAGCATTCCAGCATTGAACTATAGTTAAAACGTCATATCTAACAAAAGCAGCTGTTAGGCCAGAATAATCCCATCAGAATAGCTGTCCTTCTTTGTAAATCTAGAAAATGGCCTAGCTTTTCAACCATACAGGGCATCATAATTGGGCACCTGCCCAAATTGTGCACTGAAATCATTATGTGCACTTTCTGGTGGGAGTTGCTGAATATCATTCATCGACTGGTGCAGTTGTTAATTTACCCCTTTCAAGTTGCAGTAGAACCCATACTAATTTCCCAATTGATTCTCTAACTTATGTCAGCTAATTGACTACAGAATAGCCATCATACCCAGCACTTTCATGCATAGTTAAACAATCTTACTTTGAATAGCAAGCATTGCAAAAAGACCAATAGCAATGAACAAGAGTATAATGTTGTCTACTGCAGCCACTTCCCAATTGGAACTGGAAGCTGCTCAGCTGCTTATAAGAAGAACATCTAACGCTGCCACTGCCTTAATGAGTTACAATGACCAAGGAAGTGGCTGGTTTCATTCCTGGTCTTTGCTGAGTTACAGGCATTCTTCCTGCCCCTTAATCCTTCTGCTTTGAGTTTTATACTGAGATATCCCCTGAACCTTTTCTCCCTTAGCCTCTGTATTGGACAGCTCCTCATCCTCAGTGATTTCAGCGTCAATCTCAGTTTCATTTTGCTGTTTCTCATCTGATATCTGTAATCACCTCCCTAAAACTCTCCTTCCATATGAATTCTCCTACCCATATTAAAGTTCACTTTTGACCGCAACCTTGCTATCTCTCAAGGTCTACCTATATGGCATTAAACATAACTAAGGCTGTCTATGACCATTTCCTCATTTAAAATTCTCATTCTTTCATGGCCATGTTTCTATCTCTGACCACCTTGTGCGGAATTTTACGTTCCTCTAATTCTGGCCTCTTGCGCCTCTCTACTTCTAGTCTATTGATGTCTGTGCTTTCAATGTACCTGCCTTGTGCTGCAGAGTTCCCTCCATAACCAACTCCACATCTCTGTACTTTTCTCTTCAGCCAACAGTGGCTCAGTTGGTAGCAGTCTCATCTTTGAGACACAAAGTTCCTGATGTCCCCATCCAGGATTCGAGCCCAAAATTCAAGACTTACACTTCAGTACAGTATCAAGGGACTGCCATACAGTCAGAGATGCTGTCTTTCATATGAGATCTTAAACTGAGGCTTCATCTACCTCAGGTGAATGCAAAAGATCCAAAGGCACTATTTTGAAGATGAGCAGGGGAGTTATCGCTAATGTCCTGGCCAATATTTATTCCTTAATTAACATTTCAAAAACAGATTATTTGGTCATTCTCACATTGCTGTTTGTGGGAGTTTGTTGTGCACAAAGTGACCACAGCATTTCTAACATTACAGCAGTGGCTTCACTCAAAAGTAGTTAATTGGCTTTAAAGTGCTTTGAGATATCCGGTGGTTGGGAAACATACCACATAAATTCATGTCTTGTTTCTTTTCTTTAAACAGCTCTTCAAACTCTGTATCATTGACCAAACCTTTAGTCAATCCTCCTAAAGTGTCCTTTACCTTTGCATCCATTTTCGTCTGAGTAGATCTCTGTGAAGCACCCTGCAACATGTTTCTACAATAAAGATGCTATATCAATGCAAGTAGCAGTTGTTGTTTTTGTTGTAATTACCAGATTCTTCTTCTCTTCCAGCGAAACACCGTCACCAAATGGTCATAGCCATTTCAGTTCTTTGGAAAGCATTCGGCGTATCAAAACAATGGAGAGTTCTGATGCCACAAAATCTACATTTCCATCTCAGTCATATCATTCAGATGTGGGCTACTTAAACCTGACAAGCTCCCCACGATACAGGGACCAGGAGGAATGCCGCAGTCTAGGCAGTGACGAGGTGTGATCAGGCCATGAAGAGACAGCAGTATCTCTGAATACAATTTTAAGTGGATCCTGATTATGCACCCTGAGCAAATTTGCCGACTGGATGAGCCACAAGGTGTTTCTATCTGGAGTTTAAGTAATGCTGGCAATGGGGCCAGGGACATATTGACTCAACCTTCAGCAAGCTGTTGTCTTTGTCACATTGCCTAACAAGAATATTAACACATCTTTCTCTGGATGAGTAGTGCTAGATTGGTTGAAATACCTGACTTAACGCTGGTCTGGCTATTGCACTTACAAGCACACAGATACTGGTGTCAAACCAGTATTACAAAGGTCAAAGATGCAGGTTGAGTGTACAAAACTACTATTGTTCTATGGTTCCAAAGACCGCAGAACTCTCCCCCACATGTTAATATTAGCTTTTGCGCTGGTGTCCAATTTGTATTAGAACAAATAACTCACCTGTATGAGTAATCAGTTTGCCCACACTAGTTTGAATCTGTTACTTAGCATGAATGTTGTCATGGAGCTTTGCAGTTGTACTTGTAAAATAATGTTATTGCAGTAAATTTGCACAGTTTGGGAAAACCATAAGGAAACAGCATTGGGAAGCCAGATTGTAAAGCACAATGTTTTGACTACTATCTGAATCTGATGCCTTCTTATACTGTATTTGTTCCAAATTACTTTCACTTGAGATTCTGAATTGCAACATAAGCAGAGTGCGGCCTATTTCTGGCAGACATCTGCCTTATTGCCACGGGGCCAAAGGCCCCAGGTCTAATGTAAGGTCACCTAAGTGGGAAGATTCACTCCCAAGGACTCCGTAATCTCAGGCAGGGCAGCATTTAAGGGCTTGGATTCCGTTCCACATCATCAGACCAGAGAGGGTCAAAAATGGGCCAGTATGCCTGCTTCTGATCCCAATTGCGACTGAGTTTGGGTTCAGCCCTAGAGGGAAGCCTGTGGTGCTTACTATATAACACTATCAGTGACAAATGGCTGTTTTGAGAAGGTATAAAAGTGTGTCCACACCCAAACTATAGTCATTAGAAGTTGAGACGTGAGAGAATAGAGGAAAGCAACTAGCTGTACTAGAAATATTCTTCTTGCTGATCTCTTGAAAAAGGCATGTACTTTTTTAACTAAAATCCAGCGAATCGATTGAAAATAGAAAAGTAGTACCAGAAGTGCAGGCAGCAAACAGTCAGATTACACAAGTGTGGTTTCCTCTGCATTTACTCTGCCTTTGTTGCATTGCAATTAAAAGCCAATCACTGTTTCTGGGGTAGCTGGTGCATAAGCCCATCGGTACAGGAGGGTAGCAAACTGCAGGTTAGCAGCTCCTTTGCAAAATAAGTTCTTAGTTTAGGCTTTGCCTCAGGGTGAGGGAAGGAAAACAGGGGCAATGGAGTTTTGATATTTCCCCAGAAGGTCATGAGGGAATGTCTGAGAGTCACCCCCGATAGCTGTCTTTTAGGTATCCTAACTGTCAGGTAGAGGGAAGAGTAACATTGGGAGAGGCCCAAATACAGTCACCTCCAAGGGATTTGTGCTTGATGGAAACCTTAAGAAAGTGAGGAAAAATGTAATTAAAATAAATGGTCCAAAACAATGTGAGATTGGAACTCTATTGATTTAGTAGATTGGAGAATAAACTGGGCATTAATACAACTCAACAGCTAAGAATCCAGCTGTGTCAAGATTATCAGTGAGTATCTGCCTTATTACCTCATGGGCAAAGGCCCCAGGTGTAATGCAATGTCACCTAAATAGAAGGATTCAGTCCCAAGGATCAACCTAGCTTTCTTCCCATTTTTACTTCTTCCTCTAAGGTGGAGATAGTTTTTTTTTGTGAATTAGAATTTATCATTACAATTTTGGGAGGAACCTTTTATTCAGCTGGTAAAGACTCTAATGGGCATACTGAACTCTGATGACATTTAACATAATCACAAACTCTACAACAGGATACAGACTTAAGTTTGAAAGCTGTAAGATTAATAGATTTAACTCCTTCATTAAGGGAGACAAATATGAAGCAGACTGCTCAAGGAGGTAGTGGGGACAAAGTGTTGGAATGATTCAAGAGGCAATTGAATAAATACTTGGCATAGAAATAGACTCAGAGTGCAAATGGTACCTATTGTTTTTCAAACTATGGATTGGCAGGTGGAATGCAGTAGGCTCTTTAGGACCTTGTAGATTACAATGCTGTTCATTTAAAAGCTGATTAAACGGAGGGAGGGTGAATAGACGTGGTACTCTTTCCAAATCCCTATTCATTCCAAACATAATTAAACCTGACTGGATGATCCTTGTTGGGGTCCCTGTTTGGTTTGCTCCTGAAAAGATGAAATTATTTCATGCCATGAGAAGCTTCATTTCAAGTTACAGAAGCAGTATCAAGATTTAAACTAATTGAAGGTTCAAGATTTTCAGAACAAAACAAAACAAAACAAAACATTAACTGGATTCCCTTGTTACAAAAACGGTGCTGAAACATAATTTGTTCCCAAACTATATTCAAGTTCACATAGTTCTTAAAGCCACCTTTTACATAGAAGCATATTTGTTATGACCAGTTATTAACTAATTATTATGTGCCATTGTACATGCGTAGATTATAAGAATGAAGAAACCAATGAACGAAATAGAAAAATAATTTAGGCCACCCTTTAAATGATTTGCTTCCTAAAATGTAACAGTATTTTTCCTAAGCATTCTGTTCAAAGATGTTAGTAAACACCTCTGGAGCAGGTGGGATTTGAATCTAGGCCTCCTGGTCCAGAGGTAGGGACGCTAGCACTATGCCACAAGAGCCTCTGCTGATGCCAACATAAACAATATCTATAGAAGACTGACATGATTGCAGTTCCAACAAGCCTGTCTCACCTACATTGCTATTGCATGGTAATTTATGCACATCTGCATGCCCCAACCCACGTTGCTGCCTACGTGCCATGGAAACTACTGAGAGAAGCCAAAGTACCCAGATAGTTTAGAGGACAGGACAAAAGTTGTGCAAAATACCACCCTAATTCTCAAAGGCAATCAAAGAAATTCCATGACTCCACCCTATTTGGAAGATGCATACTTAATAACTCTATCTATTTTTAAGCACTTATAAATCACCCACAGTCAGGAGTTGTTCAGCTCCCTGCTTAATAGTTGCTGCGAATTTGCACTATCCATGAACCAGTAACTTATTCTGTAGGTCAATGAAAACAAATGCCTCCTGCTATCTAAGCAAGGACCTACTTCCCAATCCATTCATGGTAACTCTAGAACATAGAACATTACAGCACAGTACAGGCCCTTCGGCTCTCGATGTTGCGCCGACCTGTGAAACCAATCTGAAGCCCATCTAACCTACACTATTCCATTATCATCTGTATGTTTATCCAATGACCATTTAAATGCCCTTAAAGTTGGCGAGTCTACTACTGTTGCAGGCAGGGTATTCCACGCCCTTACTATTCTCTGAGTAAAGAACCTACCTCTGACATCTGTCCTATATCTATCACCCCTCAATTTAAAGCTATGTCCCCTCGTGCTAGTCATCACCATCTGAGGAAAAAGGCTCTCACTGTCTACCCTATCTAATCCTCTGATCATCTTGTATGTCTCTATTAAGTCACCTCTTAACCTTCTTCTCTCTAATGAAAACAGCCTCAAGTCCCTCAGCCTTTCCTCATAAGACCTTCCCTCCATACCAGGCAACATCCTGGTAAATCTCCTCTGCACTCTTTCCAATGCTTCCACATCCTTCCTATAATGCGGCGACCAGAACTGTACGCAATACTCCAAGTGCGGCCGCACCAGAGTTTTGTACAGCTGCAACATGACCTCATGGCTCCGAAACTCAATCCCTCTACCAATAAAACCTAACACACCGTACGCCTTCTTAACAACCCTATCAACCTGGGTGGCAACTTTCAGTGATCTATGCACATGGACGCCGAGATCTCTCTGCTCATCCACACTACCAAGAATCTTACCATTAGCCCAGTACTCTGCATTCCTGTTACTCCTTCCAAAGTGAATCACCTCACACTTTTCCGCATTAAACTCCATTTGCCACCTCTCAGCCCAGCTCTGCAGTTTATCTATATCCCTCTGTAACCTGCAACATCCTTCCGCACTATCCACAACTCCACCGACTTTAGTGTCATCCGCAAATTTACTAACCCATCCTTCTACGCCCTCATCCAGGTCATTTATAAAAATGACAAACAGCAGTGGCCCCAAAACAGATCCTTGCGGTACACCACTAGTAACTGAACTCCAGGATGAGCATTTCCCATCAACCACCACCCTCTGTCTTCTTACAGTTAGCCAATTTCTGATCCATTTCTGATCTGGAGGCTCTAAACTAGATAAGAGTCTAACAGTCCTCCTCAAGCTTTAAATTATATTAAGAGACTAAAAGGCAATAAGACTGGAATGTCCTCTCAGATCTGAAGAATGTTCAAAAACAATTGTTACTGATGCAAAAATCAATTCAATTCTAACTTTGGTAGGATCATTGAGCTAGTTTCGCCTTCATTATTTCCCTTCGTTCCTTGATGTTTTTAAGTGAAGTGCTGCTTACAGCCAAGTTGAAGGGTAAACTTATCCTGGAAGAATTCTGCCAAAATGATGGTAAGCAGCCAGCTGGGAATATATTCTTAGAGATTTCCCAATCAAAGCAGAGACCAGACGTGTAGACTGATTCCACTGCATCAGACAGCTGCCCTTTCTGCAAATATGTTATTTTTGTGTTTGTGAAACTTTTATTGGGAAATCTTTATGAATGTGGACAATTGCTTCATCCAAAAATGACCTGTGGCATACACAATCACTTTATTTGTTGAAGTTCACCCCCTGATAGTCTTAAAATCCTAAATGATTAATTGGTGAGGCAGGAGGTATTCAAAGATTTGAAAGAATAAGTAATGTAAGATTACTTCCCTGATCAAAGAGGAGGTGACATGAATAACTGTCTAAGCAAAAATTGAGGGGATAGACATACTGTGTATTTTCACAAGATATTTAAAGTAGTTATTGATATCAAATCAGGCAAGAGATTTTAAAAAGGAGTTAAGTAAACACTGGAAGAAAGATATCAAAGAGGATGAAAAGGAAATAGAGGTTAGACTAGGGACAGTGACAAACTCTGAATAGCTTTCTGTGAAGTTGATCAAATTTTATGCACATTTGCCATGTATTCTTGTCATTCTTATAGAAAAGTCTTTTTATGTGTGGTTGCATAAGATTAAATTTCTGTTTTTATTTTCCGTCTAAATTCAATAATTCAGGTATATTATTTTCCAAGTAGAAGAAAGCTCTTTTCAGTCCAGAATCTTGACATTTAGCCTATGAATTATTAGTGTCCAAATACTGTCCATAAATCTATTATAAGGGGGATTCAACTGTTTAGAATTTAATTTTGATTGTACTTCCAAATTTATGGCCCTTAAATAATGCTGCAGAATGCAACACACAGGCATGTCACATTTAATACAGTGCATCTTCAGTTAGTGTTAACTTCGGAGTACAAGCTCTCTGATTTCTGAATATGCTGAATTCTGTAGGAAGCTGTGATCAGTGACATCGATAAAAGTCAAGTGACCTTTTTGAATCTGGCACATATTGTGTCATTTACTCAAGTTGACCAACTAATGTCTTTAAAAGGAAATGGCTAAATCCGGTGACTGGCAATTTTGTTTAAGAAGTATGAAACTACAGATGGCTGCATGATGACCAATTTAGTGGGACTGGGTGAAAAACTAATGGGTACTATACTTTGGAGCCATTCTAAGCTGTTTGAAACTTTATTTAGCAAAATGCCCTGACTAGGGTTGGCAGGCACTAACCTTCCAGAATTTAATATTAACCAGCATCCAAACTGGGTCGATATATTGCAATGCTTTTGTTATTATTCAATCTATTGGTTTGTTTTGAAGTGTGATAATGGTAGAGAGCATATGTCTGTGTTGTGCACTACCAAGAATTGGGGAAGGAGGATCAAAAGTCTCTGATGCATGACTTTGGGAACGCTTGTCTTTGTTTAATGCAAACAAGTCGCGACTGTTGACCTTGCCATTGCAACTTGATCATTAATAATTAACCTGCGTTCTTTTTGACTGTGTCATTGTACATATGATGGTAATTCACTTGTTTCCAGCTGCTATTCACTTTATCTGGTCTGTTGGTTGCACAGATTTCTAGTTTCTACAATGATAAAACAAACTATTAGAAAAGCAAGGAGTGTCGTCTACGTGGCATCTTAGCAAGTCTTTTGGAAAGCTTTAAAGCATTTCCTAACAACCTCTAAAGTGTGCTTGCTGTAGTAGGATGTAGCACCCATTTTGTGAAGATCATGGCTCAGCAATGAGATGAATGAATCCTCGTTTGTCCATCTGAGCATGTGGGAAGGAGCTTAGTTTCATATGTTATCTGGAGGACGAGATTTCAACAGTGCAGCAGTCATTCAATACTGCACTGCAGGATCTGACTAGGTTACTTTGGAAGTCCTAGAATGGGGTTTGAACCTACCTCCTTCTGACTGAAAGATGTGAATGCTATCAAATAAACCAAACTGGTATTTTCCAAATAAGATAAATAATTATTATACTTGAATCAGCATCTGTCAATAGATTAATTGGATATGGGTATGTCACAAATGGTGAGGCCCATGTCTGGTAATAGATTTTGAACCAGAGTACAATGAATAATGTAAGAGGATAATTACTGAGGTATGATTATTTTTCCTTTGTACTATAAAACATTGCTATTAAAATACAAATAGTTTATTCATATTTTAGTTAAAGTAAAATACAAATCCATTGGCAAAAAACGATACACTGTGTATAAAGAACATAAGTTTGTTACAGATGCTCATTGGAGAATAATCCTACAGGCTAAGTTTAATGATATGGGTTCTGTGAGAGTACAGCAGTTTCTGCTGCTCCAGTGTTTTCACTGCCTGTTGAGTTAAACGTGGTACATGGAAAAAGTTTACCTCCTCCTAAAGCCACCAGTGCCAAAGATGTGCAATGTATTGACTGCAGAATGTGTTTGTGTGTACATGGAGCAGTTGTTGTTGGTGCTTAGTACCCATACACTTTGATTACAGTAGCTCACCAGTTTTTAAACGTGAGCCCTCAAAACTTGAGAATGGCCTCGCACTCACTGATTCTGTTACTGGGCATGCTTCCTATGATGTCATAGATACAACTATAGAGCTTCATTATCTTTCTTATTTCATGCTACCCTTAAGCAAGATGTGGTAGATGTATAAAGTTTGTGAGATTTGTAGCTCAGGTTGTGGATGAGGTTGTAGACTTGCTCGCCGAGCCGGTATGTTTGATTGCAGACGTTTCGTCACCCTGCTAGGTAACATCGTCAGTGCGCCTCCAGTGAAGCGTTGGTGTTCTATCCCACTTGTTATTTATATGCCTCGGCTTGTTGGGTAGTTGGCATCACTTCCGGTTCTGTTTTTCAATGGTTTGTATATTGGGTCCACTTCAATGTGTGTGTTGATGGAGTTCCCGTTGGAATGTCAGATCTCCAGGAATTCCCTGGCATGTCTCTGTTTGGCTCATGCTATTATGGATATGTTGGCCCAATTGAATTTGTGTCCTTCTTTGTCTGTGTGTATTGAGACCCATGAGAATTGGTCGTGTCTCTTGGTGGCTAGTTGATGTTTATGTATCTTTATTGTCAGTTTTCTTCCAGTTTGGCCTATGTAATGTTTCTGAGTCCTCACATGGTATTTTGTACATTACATTAGTTTTATTGGTTGTGGCTATGGGATCCATTACATTCATCAGTAACTGTTGCAGGGTTGGTTTGTGGGCTACCCTGATACCTAGGGGTCTGAATACAAACCAACAACCACCCTGCGACAGCTACTGAAGATGAGTTCCAGTAAAAGATCCCACACCCACAACCAATAAAACTAATGTAATATACAAAATACCATGCAAGGACTGTGAGAAACATTACATAGGCCAAACTGGAAGAAAACTGACAATAAGGATACATAAACACCAACTAGCCACTAAGAGACATGACCAATTCTCACTGGTCTCAATACACATGGACAAAGAATTCGACTGCGACAACACATTGATAATAGCACAAGCCAAACAGAGACATGCCAGGAAATTCCCGGAGGCTTGGCATTCCAACCGGAACTCCATCAACAAACACAGTGAACTGAACCTGAAATACAAACCACTGAAAAACAGAACCAGAAGTAATGCCAACCACCCCAGAAAACCAAGGCATATAGATAACAAGCGGGACCGAACACCAATGCTTCATCGGAGGCGCACTGGCGATGTTACCTAGCAGGATGTTGAAACATCTGCAATCAAATATACCGGCTTGGCGAGCACGTGGTAGATGTATCTTTTATCAATTCATGTGCATTCTTAAGTTTTTACACATATCCTTATTTCTGAGAACACTTGGAATTATTGTGATTTATGATACAGGGGTTACCATGATAACCACTGAAGTCAAAGAGCTATTGCTCAATCCCTAGTTGTAAATTATTCAGAAAGGAGTAGCTAATTGAAACATATTGCATTGCAATTCAATGTATTAAGTTAACAAGAGAGGCTCTAGTTTGTATGTGAGTTGTCTTCCATTACATGCTGTTGGTGTTGGAATCCTGGTCCAGTCTCAAACAGTCATAACCTTGAAACCCTCATCTTTCACAATGTTTAAATGGAATTCTGTTAAATGTTCAAGTGATTTGTAGTGTGTGCACCAGTTACAAGCTGTACTTTGCCATTCACATGGCAGCTGTAACTGGCAACGGTGCACACTGTACTGAGAGCACTGAGAAAGCTTTGTTTTGTATCTTCAATTTAGTTACTAAATGATGGATACTCTCTATTTTTAATGGATTGTTTCTATGATGTTATAGGCTGGGTCACACACTACTTTTTCACAATTTATCCTGCTCGATTTTAACCAGAATGGTGCCCTGCACTACAAACTATGCCCCTTTGCTAGATTCTATACTTCTACAAACAAGACAATTTATTGCCAGGGAAAGGTGTCATAGTTCAAACAGTTTTAAAGTATCAAATATCTGAATGTTATAAAATGAGGGAGTTAGCTTTTAAAAGCGAGATTAGTGCCTCCTCTCATACCAATATATCCACCATATTAAATGTAAAAGTGCAAACTTTAACTTGTCTGCAGGAGACCAGAACCTTTAAATACAGAATGATGGTGAGAATCCTTTCCACTTTGATTACCTCAATTCAAGCTGTCCTGGTGAATTCTTTAATGTAATAATAATTAAATAGTGTAGCATGATCAAAAAACACTAAAGTTGGATACTTGCAGTTCCTGGGCCAAACAGAGTTCTTGGAACAGACAGCACATTTTCCTACAGTGTAGGCAGAGGGGATTGAAGAATGAGGCATCCCAAGTGAATGTTCTGGCCTTGTTGCTAATATCAGTGGCCCAGATGGCAGCCTGGTAAAGCTGAAGCTGCTGCTGCATTGCCCGCAGTGATTTGAAGTAGCACATGGAATAAGATAATTGTAACAACAACAATAAAAAAGCCTATATTGCAGGCTTTGCTTCTCCTTGCTGCCAAGAGATATAGAAATTGAAACAAAAGAAAATCATGGGAATTGTTTAAAATTTACAGTTCCAGTTAGCAAGATCACTATTACATTAACAATCATTTTGTAAACACGAAAAGGCACACAGGCATTCTATATTTGAGAGAGATATGAAGATATTTTCATAAGAAACCCAAATTCTAAAATGTACTGACTGCTTTCTTGATTCTTGGCTTTTGGTTTTGTCTGAGCAACACCCTTTAACGCCACTGGATAATTCCGCAAGCCCATTTTTTTTCTAGGAAGAGGTTCATAGTCAAACGTAAAATGCTGTACTGAGTGAAATAACTGCTTCTGTGATTTTAAAGAGTCATTGATCATGGTAAGCAGTTTCAGATATCGTTCATTAAATATTTCACAAGCATCATTAACTATTATTAATGTTCTGATTGTATATTGTAATCATATAGCAGTGTGTTTGTTCAGTCCTCTGCCCTGAGTGCCATTTAACAGGATGTAGAATCTTAAAATGTTGTAGCCGAGCACTTTATTTTCACCTACAATATGATTGACAATTGACCAGTTTGATTGGTGAATTGTAAGCTTTTAAAAATGTTAACCTGACTTCAAAAATGTGGCATTTTGAATTGTACTTAACTATTTTTCACACATATTTCCATCAGGTCTATCAAGAATTTTAGTAAACTTTAATCATTAGCAAACACCACAATTCCAGCCATGCCATCCCATTCTTGTGTGACCGTTTGGATTTTAGCAGAAGTTGGTAACCTTGTCCTAACTATGCTACAAACTAACCTACTTTAGAATTAAACTATTCTCTTCCATTCTTGATTTGCTTCCTAATTTTACCTTTAAATCTGATATTCTCAACCCATGAAGGTTAAATCTCAAACAGGAGCCAGATTACTGACTGCACCTGTGAAAAATGGTTGACAGTTTAGCAGATACATGGTACCAGTTTCCTTAGCTGACTCAATGTGTTAAGTTTTGTTTTTCTTACCAGGAACGTTTATTCATGATAGTGAACTGAAATCCATAAATTCTACCCATTTCTGTGGTAAGTGAAAGCTAGTAAGTGACCTAGTAAAATATTACAGTTCACTGATGATTGGAATGGAAGAGCTAAGTCAAGTTGCATAAACAGGAAGTTTGGACCTGGCAACACATGATATCCAAAGAATTAGGTGCTTTTGAAATAGGAAATACAAACACCTTGACCTCCCCTGCTCCCACCACCACCACCAGTCATTTGATATTTGATATGTGTGAAGGATATTTGAGAGGTATAAAGAAAGACTGATACATTTGTAGAAACACACACTTTCTAGTCAGGAATGAAAAGCAGATGAACAAATAAATGTTATTGATGGGACTTTACAGCAGAATAATCCGAGAGTTATGAAAGAAGGTTGCAGTTGGCATAATATAAATAAGCTTCCCCTTTGCTTAGTGGACACTTAACCAGGATATCTGCAAAATTTTGAGGCAGGATTAATTTGCACCACTCTGCTGAAACATACTTATTTTTCTAAATGATGCACAAAACATTGCTAAACTGTTTGTCATTGAGTTCAGTTTATGCATCCAGGTTTTTCATTTTTGCGTTTCTAATGTGTCATTTTTACATGCATTCAATATGTACAGTACAGTAAAGAATTTTAATAAACCAAACGTATTTTATTTAATGGGCCAGTGGATATAGAAATTGAAACAAAAGAAGATCATGGGAATTGTTTAAAATTTACAGTTCCAGTTAGCAAGGTCACTATCACATAAACAATACTTTTGTAAACATGGAAAGTGTAGTTTTGAAATAAAGATATAATTTTGTTCTAAATGAATATGCCTGTGTGTTTACCACTTTTTATTTCAGTCTTACAAGTGGGTGTTTGGTTAGCTCAGTTGGCTAGATGGCTGGTTTGCAACACAGAGTGGCACCAATAGCCTGGTTTCAATTCCCACACTGGCTGAGTTCATGGCTGATGTCATGAAGAGTTCTCTTTCTCACCCTCTCCCTTTTCCTGAGGCATGAGACCCTCAGGTAAAACCACCACCAGCCATCTATATCTAATGAGAGAGTAGCCATATGGTCTGATTTTGTTATGCTGACTTTAAGATTTTATCATTTACTTTCTTCCCACCTATCAGCTTTGCTGGGCAATTCTAAAAATGATTGCTGGCTTTAAGCTCTGCTCAACACTTCATTGGTAAAAATTCCAAATCTTCAAGGGATCTGTAATAAAAACAAACACTGAATAGATTCCTGATTCATTTATGAGCTGAGGCTTTGATGAAGCCAGGAGGTGGAAGGAGCTGCAGTAAATGAATATTGATCCAAATGAACAAGTATTTATTATTTAAATAACACACTGAATATTTACACAAAATCTAAGTGTGATGAGGAACTCATGAAAATGAGTGTGTCTGTCTACCACTTGCTGGTTGTTAATTAGGAAGAAAGCTGATAGCAGTACTCCATAGATGAGGAGAGTAAAGGAAGGCTAGTGCGTGAATACTCACTGTACCCTGAACCACTCATCTAAAAACATTTTTGGCATGGTGCATTCTACCTGGATAAGACTGTTCTGAGTGCCCCAGGGATGTCAGTCATGGAACAGCCATCCTGGCTTCATCCATATCTCTGACAGATCTGGACATCTGAAATCCACAGATTGGTTACAATTGACCTGCAGGACTAACTGTGACCTAATCTCCAGTCTACAAGACATGAATCACTGGACTTTGTTAGGACAAAGTGTGCAGAAGTTCATCAACTATAACCTGTAGCATATAAAAATGTGCTGATTTGATGATGGTGCTGCTTTGTGTGTAAGCCTCAGCTGTCCTGGAGAGCTGGAACTGACACTTGCAGACTTCCCACTCCTGGCCTCATTGTGTGCCTTTTACATTACCAATAGGTCAAGGTAATGGCAAAGTCTCTACCAGAAATGCCCACGGACTGTAATGCCTGACTGATCGGAGTTCAGGGGAGGTGCTGGTGTTGGACTGAGGCGGACAAGGTCAGAAGCCACACAACACCAGGTTATAGTCCAACAGGTTTATTTGAAGTCTTCACCTGACGAAGGAGCAGCGCTCCAAAAGTTTGTGATTTCAAATAAACCTGTTGGACTATAGCCTGGTGTCGTGTGACTTCTGACCAGCATTAAGAAAGGCTCTTCAACTCCTTATGTACTGAATCACTGGAGTTTTCTTTCTTTTCAAATGTTCCAATCCCGTGTTTCCCCTCTCCAGAGTATTGCCAGTTTGGAAGTAACCTTTGAAGTCCTCCAAAGTTCTTTTTGTCACCCTCTGGAGTCTTCCCATTCTGTGCCCCTATAATCAATGTCCTGCCCTACCTTCAGAGTCTTTCCTTCTCAGCTGTGTTTCTTGGACTCTATTTTAACTTCAGATCCTGGCTCTGAAGATTTTATCCTAGCTGCACCATACTTTGTCTCGTGTTTTAACCCAATTCTGTTATGTACACATTGAGATACCGGTATGGAGTATCTCAGTTGTGGGTGTCTATGCATACACTCCTCCAGAGACTCCTTTCTCCTCAGCATTAAGAAATGGTAGCCATGATTTGGAGGTGTCAGTGTTGTACTGATGAAGGAGCAGCTCTTGGAAAGCTTGTGATTTCAAATAAATTGGAATTCTAAGTTGGTGGAATTCTTTGAGGACATTACTTGCATGGTGGACAATGGAGAACCTGTGGATGTGGTGTATCTGGATTTCTAGAAGGCATTTGACAAGGAGCCACACCAAAGGCTGCTACATAAGATAAAGTTGCATGGTATTACAGGTAATGTATTGGCATGGATCGAGGATTGGTTGACCAGTAGAAAGCAAAGAGTAGGGGTAAATGGGTGTTTTTCTGGTTGGCGGTCAGTGGCTAGTGGTGTGCCTCAGGGATCAGTGTTGGGACCTCAATTGTTTACAATTTACATAGATGATTTGTAGTTGGGGACTAAGTGTGGTGTGTCAAAATTTGCAGATGACACTAAGGTGAGTGGTAGAGCAAAGTGTGCAGAAGACACTGAAAGTCTGCAGAGGGATATAGCTAGTCTAAGTGAGTGGGCAAAGGTCTGGCAGATGGAGTACAATGTTGATAAGTGTGAGGTCATCCATTTTGGTAGGAATAACAGCAAAATGGACTATGTTTTAAATGGTAAAATATTGCAGCACGCTGCTGTGCAGAGGGACTTGGGTGTCCTTGTGCATGAATTGCTGAAGGTGGGATTGCAGGTGCAGCAGGTAATTAAAAAGGCAAATGGAATTTTGTCTGCCATTGCTCGAGGGATGGAGTTTAAAAACAGGGAGGCTATGCTGCAGCTGTATAGGGTCCTGGTGAGGCCACACCTGGAGTACTGTGTGTAGTTTTGGTCTCTTTACTTGAGAAGAGATATACTAGCACTGGAGGGGGTGCAGAGGAGATTCACTCTGTTGATTCCAGAGTTAAGAGGGTTGGATAATGAGGAGAGACTGAGTAGACTGGGATTATACTCATTGGAATTCAGAAGAATGAGGGGAGATCTTATAGAAACATATAAGATTATGAAGGGAATAGATAAGGTGGAGGCAGGGAGGTTGTTTCCACTAGCAGGTGAAACTAGGACTAGAGGGCATCGCCTCAAAATAAAGGGAAGGAGATGTAGGACTGAGGTCAGGAGGAACTTCTTCACCCAAAGGGTTGTGAATCTATGGAATTCCCTGCCCAGTGAAGCGGTTGAAGCTACCTCATTGAATGTTTTTAAGGCAAGGCTAGATAAATTTTTGAACAGTAAAGGAATTAGGGTTATGGTGAGTGGGCGGGTAAGTGGAGCTGAGTCTCAAAAAGATCAGCCATGATCTTATTAAATGGCAGGGCAGGCTCGAGGGGCCAGACGGCCTACTCCTGCTCCTAGTTCTTATGTTCTTATGTTTTTAAACCTGTTAGACATCTGACTAGCATTAAGAAAGGCTCTACAACTCCTAATATGCTGAGTCATTCCTTTATTTACGTCTGTAAATAGTTGGTTGTCAAATACAGTTCTGTAGTGTCATGTCTAAAATCTCTCTCATCAGTGACTTAGTCCAGATTGGTGTCTTCTCACTTACTGCTGTTAGAATCATATGATCAACATGATTTACAGGAATCTAATTTTAGCACAGTACCCAAACACTCAAGTAGTCATTTTACTCCCTGCTTCTCAGGTTCTTACTGTCACAGGGATTTTCAAACAGGTCAGAGAGGGATCCTCCCACCTAAGGAACTATTTCAAGGTTTCTACCTCAATGATTTCTATTCTATTACTAGGATGTAACTTTCTGTTCATTTATGAATTGATAATTTTAATTCTTATTTACCTTCTTGATTTCAACTATTCTGTTCATTTTCAGAATGTCTTTAAGCTGAATGTCCAATTTTCAGAAGTGAAGACAATTGAGAACGATCTCCGAGTAAAATGCAGTATATTGAGATTGGAGAAATCTTATTTTGCTGCAGATACAGATCTGAGAATATGGCCCAAGAGACATTTACTCTGCATTTAACCCCATAGATTGCCTGACTTAAAATAGAAATAGTTAGGCTCTATGAACCTAAAAGGAAAGTGTTTCAACACCATCTCTAACACTACTCAAATAGTTGCACTACAATACAAGCTAGACTGTGATATTGTGTAATTAATAATGTTATTCCGTGAAAGGAAACAAAATAGTCACGGTATAAGATAGTGCCATTGCAGTTTTAGGAATATTCATTAAGCATCAAATGATTGAAAATAAGAACAATGACCTTGCTAATGTGGACTAATGAGCTTCAAAGTTTGACACTCGCCCATTTCTCCGGCAGTCACATTCACCATGGCATTTCCTGCCAGATGCTCTGGTGAGTGACAGGTTACAGATTCAGGTTTGTTGATACTTCTACTGTTGATAATGTTTTGGTGACTTTTGATCCAGCAGCGAAGGTAACTATTCCCGTAGTCACACCTCCAGGGATTCTGATCCAACCTGATGGAGTTCAGATTAACTAGTGGTTCAAATATTCCATTAGGCACCAACTCTAGTTGGTTGTTACGTAGATCTAAGTAAGTAAGGTCCTGGAAAACACATATAAAACTCATTACATATCACCTAAATGTTATGGTATAAAGTCCATTTCCTTTGTCCAACTCCAAAGTAGTTGATTGAATTTTTGCCTGTTTCTATATATTAAATCACACAGACATTCTGATTAGATGACAAGCCATCACCTCTCAGCAAATTCATCCAGTGATTCAGCTAAGCCAATTAGAATCAGCAAGCCCTAAGTTAAATCATCAATTTGTACTGAGTTGGCTGGTTGGAGCTGGGCTGATGGTAAACTGGGCACAGTTGGTTTCAGTGTTCTTGTGTTGTGGATCACTATCCAGTAATCCCAACTGGTAGGTAACTGGTCACTGCACATGCCTGGATGTCAGATGACAACATATTGCGTGGCTTGATGCTACACTAAGAGGTTGGGTTCATGACCGACTGGTCAAGGAGAAAGCAAAGTAAAGAATTGTGTTCGGGCTGAGATTTCAAAGTGATACTATTGATCATACATTAATGCCAAATACTACTGTATGTGCTGATCATATACATGCTAGGCTCTGACTCATAGTTACATTAGGTAAGAACTAATCTATCTTCTTTATATACTCATCTTCACGTTGTAGACTGGTCTACTATGTCTTCCAGACTCTCTAACATTCTGGCGTGTTCTAACTCCTTCCCTGCTGTTATTTATTCAGTGATGCACAGTTCCCTGACATCAGCACAACGTCCTAATGCCCTCACAACAATCTTCAGCCAACACTCATGAAGGTTCAATCACAAATATTTGGGAAGCCAGCAAAGAGTTATTGGCGGTCATGGCACCAACCCAGAGAATACGTCTTCAGAAGTGAAGCTTGCATTAGGATACAGCAAGTAAACTGGTTGAGTTTAGTTTAGAAATAAACTAGGGGCACTTAAAGGGACAAGCCCACAAGCTCCATCTTCGTAGGATAATACATAGTGCAGTGCAAAGTCTAATTTTCCTGTTACTGTAAAGTATCAGTTAAGCAATACATGAAAAATGTCCTCATGTGGTCTAGGTAAGTGCTTCAGCCTCCTTGAAAATAAGTGGCATTAATGAAATAAAAACAAGTTCCTTTATAACAGCATCCCACTCTTGCACGTTCATTTGGGCAGGGGTGCGAGGGAAGGTGATAGGAGTAGTTACAAAAACAAATTACCCCTACAACATCCACTTTATTTGAATATTTCTGTGAAAGATTAAAAAGTAATATAACTTTGTCTCACCTTTAAGGAATGTAAAATTCCTGTAGGCAGCACCTCCAGTTTGTTACTGTTCAGAAAGAGCTTTACGAGTGGCGTGTGACTGAAAAGTTTTGGGGGTAGCTCTCGAAGGATATTATTTGCTAATGTTATCCAGGTTAGATTTCGCAATCCTTGGACGACCGTGTCGGGAAGGGATTCCAGTCTATTGTTGTTGAGGGCACATATTCTGAGATTATGCAAATTTTCAAAAAGTGACTCTGGAAGAATAGAGAGTTGATTGAATGCCAGGGACAATGTGTTCAATGATTCCAAACCCAGGAAAATACGTGGGGAGACCACTTGGAGACGGTTATGGGACAGAACTAATGTTTTGAGTTTCTTCAGAGGGACAAATAGTTGATCAGAGACATTGTATAACTGATTTTTATTGAGCAAGAGATATTCCAGTTTTGGAACATTGCTGAAGATATTTTCTGGCAAGTGGGACAATTTGTTGTTATACAGATGAAGCCCTCTTAGTTGAGGAACCCAAGCAAATAAATCATTAGGGAGAAAATGAAGATTGTTCATCTGAAGGTGGAGAATTTGAAGATCGGGTGTTTTCTGAAAAGAATTTGATTCCAATTGAATTGAATTATTTCTTAGTTTCAGAATGTTGACATCCATGGGTACATCCAGTGGAATGAAATTGAGTCCTGCACTTCCACAGTCCACTGTTAGATTATTCTGAGTCCAGTGACAGGTACACATGCTTGGACAGGAACTGAATCCCTCAACAACTGACAAAAAAGTGAAAATTACCAACTTCCACGACATGGCCCTTCTCTGTTCCCTGTACAAATACAAACAGTAGTATTTATATAGCACTGTTAACATAGGAAAATATTTCAATGTCTTGGAGTGTAATCAGGCAGAAATGAACACTAAGGATAAAAGAGCAACGGCTTGGACAAAGTGGAAAGTTTGGAGGAGGGACTATAACAAGGAGATGGATTCTGAGAGATGGCAGGAAGAATTCCAGACTTTTAGCTGAAGGCTTGACTACCAGTGACAAGAAGGGAGTGCTGGATGTGTCAGAGTCCTCAGCTGGAGGAATGCAGACCTCTTGGATTCTTGTGGGATTGTCAGAAGTTACAGTGTTCGAGGAAATAGGAAGAAATAACCATCTTAGGATAACCTGATTTAACAGAAATCGTTATGGGTCAACATCATTAACAGCAGGCAAGTTAGTTTAGGGATACAATAAAATTACTGCAGAAAAATAATTAAATACTGCTAAATACCAGGGAATTTGTCCATGCAGATTATGAATAAGGAAGGTCCAGCTGCAGTTGCTAGGTTCACACCAAAAGCAGAAAGATGTCAGGTAACACAACTGGATTGCTAGTGAGTGTTATGAAAATGTGGTTATGTATTTTAGAAATGGAGGTTATACTTTTAGGAATTGAAGTTTTAACTGTAGATAAATGGAGGCATCTGATAGAGAAACTGTGAAGTAACTCCGAAGTAAATACAATTCAAACAAGCTTGGTATTATTTACAGCTAAAACATAACCTTATTATTTTATTATACAAGATTTTAATTGTACATTCTATTGCTACATCCAAGTCATTAGTATAGATCGTAAATAATTGGAGCTTGAGGTCCTAACCCTGTGGCACCCCGCTAGTTACAGCTTACCAACCAGAAAATGACCCATTTATCCCAACTGTCTGCTTTCTGTTTGTTAGCCAATCTTTTATCCAAGCTAGCACATTAGCCCTTACCCCATGTGATGTTACGTTTTGTGTGGCACCTTATCAAATGGTCTGGAAGTGTAAATATACTTTATCTACAGGAGGAGGTTGAGGACTAATCTATAGAGGCTTATAAAATCCTGCGGGGCAAAAATGAGATGAATAGCAAAGGTCTTTTCCCTAGGGTGGGGAGTCCAAAACTAGGAGGCATGTTTTTAAGGTGAGAGAAGAAAGATTTAAAAGGGACATGAGGGGCAATGTTTGCACACATAGGGTGGTTCATATATGAAATGAACTGCCAAACGAGTGGTAGATGCAGGTAAAGTTACAACATTCAAAAGACATTTGGATAGCTACATGAATAGGAAAGGTTTGGAGGGATATGGACCAAATGCAGGCAAGTGGGACTAGTTTAGTTTGGGAAACTCATTCAGCATGGATGGGTTGGGTCGAAGGGTCTGTTTCCATGCTATATGATTCGATGACTCTATCAGATTTGATGGTGAAAAATACTTGAACGATGAATGCTCAATCTCAACACATGTAACAGAGCCAGGAGTTTTGTTAAGATTTGTCAAACTCTGTTAGCAATATGAATTATTCATATTGGTTGTAAAATCAAAGACTGATTAAGGGTGTAGTTTAGTCTTTGTTAGAAGATTCTTTTGTTTAATTTGTTAGTGAGTGCTTTCTGGCAGAAACAGGCACTTGAGTTTGGATTTCATGAGGAAAAGCAGCTGGGAGATTTGCTCTAGCTTACAGCTAGTGAAAGAAATGTACAGTGGCATCTAGAGGTTTGTGGCAGAGTAATGAGCTTGGAAAGAGCTCTACAAAAGCTGGGACACGCATATGGAAAATTTCAATCTCTGTTTCTCCACAAAAAGAGAATAAAACTTCAATATTTCATAAGATGAGGAACCTTTCGGTGAGGAAACAAAATGTAGATGTATGTTTATAACATAAATCTGTATGAGCTGTATTGTAGTTAGTGGTTGCATTTTGTTTAATTTCACTTGTCACTATTCCACATTAACTAATAGCTCATATCCTTTTCTGAGGAAAGATGCTCTTGTTCTCGAGGGAGTGCAGCGAAGGTTTACCAGGCTAATTCTGTGTATGGTGGGGCTGATGTATGAGGAGAGATTGACTAGGTTGGGATTGTTTTTGCTCGAGTTCAGACAAATGAGGGGGGATCTCATAGACACTTACAAAATTCTAATAGGACTGGACAGGGTAGATGCAGGGAGGATGTTCCTGAGGGTGGGGTGTGTCTAAACCAGGTGTCAGAGTCTGAGGATTCGGGGTAGACCATTTAGGACCGAGATAAGGAGACATTTCTTCAACCAAAGAGTTGTGAGCCTATGGAATTCATTATCACAGGAAGTAGTTGATGCTAAAACATTGAATGTATTCAAGAGGCAACTAGACATAGTACTTGGGGCAAATGGGATCAAAGGTTATGGGGAGAAAGCTATTGAGTTGAATGATCAGCCACAATCGTGAAGAATGGCGGAGCAGGCTCAAAGGGCCGAATGGCCTCCTCCTGCTCCTATGTTTCTATGTTACTCAACAAGCATTCCTGATTATTATCCAAAGACATTGCTGAAATCTACTTTTGTGGGCATCAGGTGAGAAAAGCATTTGGTTCAGTTTTCAACAGCTCATAGTTGAAAACGTCAACAGCACTCAATGGATTCTAAAATTAAAATTCATACTTTGATGAGGTATCAAATTATGGCAATTTACTCTGACATGACAGGACAGGAGAAACCAGTATTCAAATTACTTGAGCCTATGAAATTCTGCCTTAACAGGTTAGTTTGCTGCAGCTAGAAGTGCAATTGTTCATTTAAGCATTTCCCTCCCCTTTAATCATTTTGCACTTACCTCACTGCTGCAGAGCTAGACTGAATATGCCTGATGAAACTCCACTACAGTGCAACAGACCTTGGGTATTCCTTCTGTGAATTGTTGAAGCAGCAGCATCAACTTTCAACAACAGCTAATATTGTGCATGAACACACAATGTAATTAATATTTAACAGTATTAACAGAAAAGAGGCTGGTTTGTCCGTTCTGGTAAATGGTTCTAGATAAATATTGCAGGCATGTTTAACTGGTAAAAAGCCAGTATCTGCAAATTGTTGGAAAACACCTTGTTTCCAGAAAACTCTCCTGAATTATGACCTCTTCAGTCCTTCTCCATTTAATTGACACAGTTAAGATCACTATTCTTTGAGTTTTACTGTCTTAAACCTCCTAAGCTCAAATATATCTGTAGTTTGTTCCTTCTTCTTGCATGTCCACTGTTTTTTTAATCATCACATGACACTGACCTACTTTAAGTTATTCTTGTCCGTATTTGCACAATTGGAGACATCTTCAACCTATACATTTTGTACCAATTTACTATGGACTAATAGTGCTGGCTGGAACAATTTCTCCTTTGAAAATACCTTTGACACCTCACTCCACCTATTCTCCACAAATAAAAGAATAACGTTTTGACCTTAATCTTTAAAATCATGAGCTTAACCTTATATCAAAAAGACATTGGGGTTAATTGTTATCTGGGAGAAGACTGCCCATCCATTGTAGAGGGGTTTTTTCTTTATTCATTCATGGAATGAGGATGTTGCTGGCCAGACAGCATTTACTGCCCATCCCTGATTGCCCAGAGGACAGTTAAGAGTTAACCACATTGCTGTGGGTCTGGAGTCAAATGTAGGCCAGACCAGGTAAGGATGACAGTTTCCTTCCCTAAAGAATATTAGTGAACCAGATAGGTTTTTCCCTGACAATCGACAATGGATTCGTGGTCATCATTCGATTCTTCATTCCAGATATTTATTGAATTCAAATTCCACCATCTGCCGTAGTGGGATTTGAACCTGGTCCCCAGAATTGATTAACAGCCTAGCGATAAAACTAGGCCAACGCCTCCCAATTGAGTTCACTTCAATGTTCAACCCAATGATTTCACTCCACTATAACATAAAACCAAAAAATCACTTTAGGGCCAATAGAAATCGCCAAGATCGGAAAGGAAGCAGAAAACCAGACTCGCTACCATATACTTCTTACTCATTCCATCAGCAAAGGAAGCAGTTTTATCTGACATAGTCGAGGATCCTAGCAACTTCCAATTCTGAAGCAAAGAACACTGTTCAATACCAATTGTGATGTTTTGCCAACTGATATGTATTTTGAATCCATTTTTGGTGTTGTTAGGGCAATTCTAACAATTGGACTTCTGGCTGACATGGAATTTGCTGAAGCTCTTCCGGAAGACATTGCTAGCTGTAAACAGCTACAGAGTGGATTGAAGTGGTGAAGGGAGTTATTGGGTACTGCCTCTTAAAATCATAGGCCATTTGGCCCAGCATGATAGTGATGGCTTGTTAATCATACTCTTTAATTATTTGTAATTCTTTTCTCTTTCACAATAGCTCTGCATCTTTTTTGCTTTGAATATTTATCAATTCTCTTTTGAATTTAACTATCAAATATACTTTCATCATCCTCAGACTTTGAATTTCAGATTACAGCTCTCAGAGTTGGCTTAGTGTTGTCTGTCTTCACTGTGGAAACTATCTCTACGTACTCAGAAAGATCCCCTCAATGACAGAATGAATTCTGAGAACTGTGTATTCCTCCGGTGGAAAGAAAAGGATGGAAGAAGAATTATCTTTAAAAAGTAAGATTTTTGTCTAGCTGAGCCATAAAGATGATAAAGTCCTGAGCTCTGCACCGAGTCTCTGGTGAAAAGGTTTATCTTGGCTGGGACAATGGTAAGTGTGTCACAACTGCCAATGGATCTCTTGAATAAAAAATTAGGCTGTCCAATGCTGATCATTATCCAATTATGGTTGTGTGTGGTGAAGTCAAGATTGGTTCAGGTCAGATGGCTTCTCCATTCTAGTAGCCAGCCTATACTTAGTGAACTTGAAATGAAGAATGATCACTGTACCCTAGGTACCCAAGGGGAGAGGAGAAAACTGAGGAAATACAAAAATAACTTTTATAGTTACATTCAAATTGAGTGACTAAAGCTGACCTTCTGTTTAAAAGTTATAACTCAACTCTGTAAATCTTCACCCAGGGAACAAACATTGCATTGTGAAAGTTTCCAAAGCACACATTTCACATTGCAATCACTATGTTGCTTCATTAAGAAGGAAATGCAAATGAGGAGCAGAAAATAAATTGTGTAATATGCTGATCAAATTATAATGCTATTCCCTATTCTATATTTAACGCCTATCTTTTAGATCTTCCTATGTGGCACCTCACTCCCCATGTCATTGTAACTATGTAGTAGTAGCTGGCATTAAGTCAGTATAAAGTAGAATGTTCCCTGTCCCCTGATATGCAGATCTCCCACTGCAACAAGTTACATGCACTTGGATGGACATGTTGCTTAAGAAGTAGCTTTGAATACTGAAGATAAATGAGGATAATCAAAGCAGGGAGGTCATGTGAACACTTGGTATGCAAGTGTCACTAAGTGCTGAGGTTCAGTGCTGCAAAGGAGGGGTCTGACCACATTGCTGCAGAACAGTGCATTCAATTTCACAGTTCCATTTCATCTGTTGCCCATGGCAAGGCTTACGATGAAAAATACCTTTGATGAGTCATTGGTGGCTTCATGGCAATATTACTACATTAGTAATCCAGAGTCCTAGGTTAATATTCACAGTGCCCAGGTTCAAATCCCACTGTGGGAGATGGTGAATGTCAAATTCAACAAAAACATTTTGAAAAACAACTTTGACCACAAGTCCATCAAAGTGGTCTGTACATAACAACCTCAAAGTCCCTGCAGGAAAAGGAGATATTTGATCCTGTCAGATAGTTTCCTGACTATCAAATATATCAAACCACAACTTACAAACACCAAGACATATCAGGTGTTTGTTTTTGACTGGCACAGATACAATGGGCGGAAGGACACTTTTTTTCCTGTGGCGTGGACCTCGATGACTTGACTGATGATGAGAGGTACATCCTGTCAGATCCTTCTTAAAACACCCAGAGTGTATCTCCTACACACATTAACCTCAAGATGGCTGTAGCACAGAAGAGACCATTGTCCAGTTCTTTATGAAAAGTAAATTGTGCAGATGTCTCTGGCAAAAGATGCAGTGGTTTTTGCCAAAGTTCATCTCCATGACACAGAACTTTGCTCTGCAGGCCGCTCCTGGGACAAACACCAAAATTAGAATTAACTGCAGCCGGGGAAACTATCAACTCAGTGAAAGATGCCCTTTGATTTGTCCAAACTTGTTGGTCTTCCAGTGCAAAGAGATTTTCTCAACTGAGTTTTGGGATTGTCTTCCTTAGAGAGGCGATTTCTTAAATGTTTTCATAATCATTAGCAGGCTGGACAGAGTAGATTTGGAAAAACTGTTCTCACTTCTAAAAAATGATCAAGAATAAGAAGGGGCAGAGTCAAAGTAGAATCATAGACATGTACAGCATGGAAACAGACCCTTCAGTCCAACTCGCCCATGCCGACCAGATATCCTAAATTAATCTAGTCCCATTTGCTAGCATATGGCCCACGCCCCTCTAAACCCTTTCTATTCATACATCCATCCAGATGCCTCTTAAATGTTGTAACTGTTCCAGCCTCCACCACCTCCTCTGGCACCTCATTTCATACACGCACACCACCCTCTCCATGAAAATGTTGCCCCTTGGGTCCCTTTTAAATTTTTCCCCTCTCAACTTAAACCTATGCTGTCTAGTTTTGGACTCCCCTACCATGGAAAAAAGACCTTGACTATTCACCTTATCCATATCCCTCATGATTTTATAAATCTCTACAAGATCACTCCTCAGCCTCCAACACTCCAAGGAAAATAGCCCCAGCCCATTCAAGCTCTGTCTATAGCTCAAACCCTCCAAGCCCAGCAACATCCTTGTACATCTTCTCTGAACCCTTTCAAGTTTAACAATATGTCTTTCCTGTAACGGAAACCAGAATTGAACGCAGTATTCCAATAAGAGGAAAACGATGTGAGAAAAAAAGAACTTTCACGATGAATGACATAAGCATGAAATGCAGTCCGTGGAAGATCAGTAGAGGCAGTTTCAATTGGAGGTATTGAAGGGTGTACTAGCCGATTATTTAATAGAACCAGTGTACAGGATTACAGGGAAAGGGCAACAGAACGGCATTGTGTTCATTCGGAGGACTGTTGCGGACACAGTGGGCCCAATTGCCACCTTCTGCACCCTAACAAACCTGTGATTCTGTGTCTGATACATTTAAAGTTCCAGAACTCCATGCGGAGAGTGCATTAAATGTTTGAGCAGACACCAAGGGACATAATGGGAAACACAGTCACTGTTTAAGGTTTAGCAGCCATAGTATATTGAGGGGCCAGAATGTGTACAGAACTCTCTCAAATGTATGCATGATATCAAACCTATATTGTGAATATAAAAAAATATTGAAATTGCATTCAGGCATCTCAGAGCAGAGCTAGCAGAATGGGGAAATATTGAATTTTATTACATTGTAATTTTTAATTTAAATATATTTTGTAATTCAAAAGTAAATTATATTTTCAGGAAATAAAGTGACCAGAAACAAAATTTGTGACAGAATTTGAGTATATTAACAACAGGGAGACAGACAACATTTTTATTAATCTATATTACTTGCAAGTATCATTAACAGGTTCAAAGTTTTACTGACACATTTATATTAATTTACAATCTTGGCCACTTTAAGGCCCAAGATATAGTAAGCTTTACGGAAGCTTTGGTGTGCTTATTGCAATCACTTTTATTTGCAGATTTCCATTTATCGACGCTATTGTCCAGCAAAATGCAATAATTCAAATAATTTTCCCTGAAGTATTAAGAAGTGTGGGACCTTTGGAAGATGCAACTAGGGAATCAATATCAGAAAAAAAGGAAGTGGCAGATAGTTTAAAGCAATATTTTGCATCAGTCT